TCTAATAAAATACTTCTCTATTAAGAGTGCTAAAATATAAATCTATTAGACTATATATATATAGTTTAATATAGCTTTAAGCTAACCTTATAAGATATCTATATAATATCTTTCTATATATCTTCTATAAATTAAAAATATTAAGTTAGGTATTAGTTATATCTCTTTTTGTTATTAAAATAATATTAAGTAAAATTAAAAAGGAAAAAAAAAAAAAAAAAATTATAATAGCTTTGAATAATATTTTTTAAATTACTATATTTAAATCTTTAAAATTAATATCTTAGAATATGTAATATAGTATTTTTTATAAAAAGCTAATATAGTTTTAAATAGCAGTTTTTAAAAACTAAGCCTAACTATTAAAACTCTAATATAGAAACCATCTAGTAATACATATTACAGAAATCAGCTCTATAATAGAAAAAAAAAGTAGAGGTAATAGAGACTCCCTTTTAGAGATAGTCTCTACCCAATACTATACGCTAGTTGCTAACCTTTTGGTCTAGCTTTACTAACCTTTTGAGAATAATAGAATCTCTTTTAGAGATAAATCTTTTAGAATCAGAAAATAAGATTGTAGTAGGTATATTCTTCTTCTAACTACCTAAGGACTTTCCTTCTATTTAACCTCTTAAGATTCCTTCCTAAGGAATCTCTTAGAAATCCTTAGCATTATCTCTGCCCAATATATCTTAGGGAAATCCCAATCAGCCCTTCAGAAAATCCCAGGGAAGTCTGAGTGTATATTACCCCGCACTTCCCTAGCTTACTGCCAGAGAGCTTGTAAGGGAAATCCTAAGGACTTTCTGACTGGTTTTCCTAGGGAAATCCGTAATAATACCTTTGAGATCTAAAGGCCTATTAGGCTAAATAAAGAGTAATAGTATAATATACAAACCTAAATAAAGCTAGTACTAATAATACTAATATAGACTTAATAATAATAATTATTTAAGTTATTAATCTATCTGATTTATCACTTAAATAATTATTAGTAGAGTGAAATTATAGAGGGGTTTTTATTCTATAACTATATATAACAATTAGTATACTATTCTATACTTATAAGTCTAGAGTAGGCTGATTCTAATTAGTTTATATTAGTAGATAAATCAGATAGATTAATAACTTAAATAATTATTATTACATCTAATAATAGTAGAGTAAGAAGGATACTTAATATAACTAAGTTATACTAATAGCTAAAGAGCTACCTATTACTGGATGTATACTTCTAGTTTTACTATCTCTAACTGCTTAATTAGGTATAGATTATAGTATAGGCTGTAATATTGTAGCTGTAGTTAAAAGGTTTTTCCTTTCTGAATTATATAGTAGAGGTTCTATAGATCTAAATATAGATAAAATAGTATATACTAAATAATAATAATAATAATAGCAATTTTAATAATAGTCTTCTTATAAAATAGTATAGAATTCTCTTAAGTTATCTATATAATTAACTTATTAACTAAATAGATATAGACTATATATATTACAGTCTAACAGAATATAAAGAGCTAGATAGAAGTTTATTTAACAGGCTACTACTATAGAATTATCTATCTAAAGCTAAAGAGAAGAGAGAAAGAGGTAATATAGCTACTAGCTAGTAGTTAAGTAAATAAGGCCCCTAAGAGTGGTAAGTTAGCTAAACCTCAGGTAGTTAAGTTCAGTAAAGCTAGAATTCTTATACTAAGCTTTAGCCTATAATATAGAATCTATTTAAAATTTTAAGTATATTAAAATTAATAGTAAAATATTATATAATTAAAACTTTAGAAAAATTAAACTTAAATTAAAGCTATTAGATTATATAGAATCTAAAGAAGTTAGTTAAATATAAAATACAGTTACAGATTCCGTTATCCCTTCTTTAAGAGAGAGGGGGGAGCTTTTAGCTCTCAGTAGAGCCTGCAATTATATATACTAACGTCAGCCTCTAGGTAAAGGCTGCTATAGTATCTCTATTAAAGGAGAAACATTAGTCCGATCAATTAGTGATCCACACACTATTTGTAGACTATATTGTCCTCTGGTACTTATAGTTAATTATTTAATCAATTAATATTTTTACTTCTAATAGGTTATAAGCCCGGAACTGGGCGGTGGTCGCAGTTAGGACCGTGAGCGCGTGCTTTGCGCGCTGCGAAATGACTACGAGTGAGCGATAGCGGACAACGTACGGGAAGCCCCTGCCCATCTCTCTTTTGTCATAGTGATGAAGCTGGCATTCACTGAACTAGCGGCTAAAGGATTTACCTCCATTTTACTACCTCCCAAACACGCCCATTTTTTTTTTAATTTTTTTTTCTTTTGCTTCTGATGATACGTTACCTTTTCAACTTCTCAGTTGTTTGTAATTCTCTACCAGTCCTCATTTTACTTGCAAATGCTTCTTAGGAAGGCTTTCGGACAATGTGAGCATGACTCCTTTGTACGTCCTAGAATTCGTTACTAGTACGTCCTAGAATTCGTTACTACTCTTTTAAATAATAAGAACCAAGAAGGCCAGAGGCTACAATGACCGTCATTGTGCCCGTCAAAGTTAAACTCCATAGTGTCAGTGTTACTTAACCACCACCATACCCAACAGTTACAACCAATTGGACTTGCCCCGGTGGTATGTTAAGGCCAATTCCATCCTCGTTCTCCATGCCACCAATGTAGGCATTAGTGCCAGTGCCGCCGGGATTGACGGTAGAGCACACATCATAACTGCAGACTTGGAGGCCTGGGATATCGAGACCGTAAAAAGCAGACACCAAGCAAGACGCATCGGCTCCAGACCAACCGCCATTAGCAGCGTTAGCTATGTCAAACTCCAACCATGAAGACGCAAACTGTCCATACGCAGTGACTGGGACCCTTGGGTTGCCACAGGCGCAGCCACCTTGTGAGTCTGTGTCAATGGCAAGAACCTGTCTGCTATGACCAGGGAGGCTGAATTCGAGGACTTGGTTTCCCTGGAAGAACCCGTTGATTCCTTCATGTGGACCGATTTTCAACCAGCAAACACATCTCTGGGCTAACCCGGCACCATTGGTAAAGGTGACGGTGTAATCGTACAGAGTCGCGAGGTGATTCTGAACTAACATGAGGTTGCACCCGTAGTTGCCGTCAATACCGATGTTGCCCTTGTATGAGATGTCGCTGGCTGTGGCTCGTTTCTCATAAGATTTCCCTTTGCAGAATTGAGGAGAAGCTTCCCTGGCGAAGTTCCGCGGGCTGAGCATAGGTATGGCAAACTCTCTAGAAGACCGATTAGGTCCTTCGTGGTCGCGCGTTGCGCAATGCGCGATGACACCGAGGTGGCTGCCAAACGTATGGAAGATGTCAAAGAGCTTCATTCGCAAAAGTTTCTCAGTGTTTTCTCGTAAGCGCTTGGTGAATCTTGCCTTAATACCCCAAAAGCAAGAGTAGGCTGTCGAGGACGGTGAAGGTAATAGACTAATGGACCTGTTTCAACTTAGCTGCTATTCGGAGCACTTGAGGGGAAATTGGAAGGCTGTCCTCAAGGAGGGGGGAATGGCCCTGAAATAGGCGGCGATCTTTCCGCATGGTGACTCAAGTAACTTGAGTGATATCTGTATCTGGGGCTTGAGCCTACTTCATCTCTGGATACAAAAAATGACGTAATCTCCCTACTTACGCTGTATGCTCAATCGGAATGCTATCAACATTGTCCAAGGGTGGCCGCTCATTTGACGATTCTGCTACGTGTGTGCACTTGGGTGGGGGCAGACTGCCCGCGTCCCCTACAGCCAACCCACACGAGGTTTCCTAACCCGAACGAGCCCGGGGGTGACCTGGAGAGAAGGGAGAACGGACTGTCTCTTGACATGCCCAATCCTCCTGCGTGCCACCAACGGACCAGACACCGCGAGGTGCTTCGAAGGAGAGCACTGTTCTGCTGCCGAACATCAGGTGCTTTTGATGGTGCATAAGGTGAAGCCTTTTCAGCCCTCTGGAGATAAAAGCCTTACATCAAGACGAACCTGCCCTGCACCAGTAGCCGGGCCCTGATTAAGTCCCTTCCATCACGCGCCGCCAGGCTCCAATACAGTCACAATGACTTCTGGGCTGGGTGACACAGTCAATGTTGAGACCGTATGACTAAGGTGGTCCGATCTGCTGGTGGCTGGGATGTGGATACTATGTAGTGAGCTGTGCTCCTCACCCAGAGATGGAACCTACACCTTTTAATATCACCTGTAACCTTTTCGTTTCATCAGTCAACAAGCCAGCAGGGGAGTGTATTTGACCAACTGACGCAGCGTGATGAGGCCATCTAGGGCCCGCTGATGCTAGTCTTGGGGATACAAACCTACCAAAATAATATAGCGTCGCCGCGTTGAAGGGGGGTTCGGGTAATCACGACCTGGTTGGCTACTTTGCCCAGTTTGTGACCTTCCAAAGTCAATACAGTCAAGTTCAGCTCATCGTGGCTTCTTACTCTCTTTTCTGCGCTTGGGAATGCATAGCCGTCCGTAGCTCACACACCAGCATGTTTCTCGGATTTGTATGCGCGATCCGTCACATGAACATTACCTCAGGGCCGTTCCATGCTCACAAGTTCTACACGTCCGCCCCTGGAAGCAGCGCAATGTGAACACTACGCCACCTACACACTTTCTCAAGACAACAGGACTTTACTAAAAACACCACACCGGTAACCTCTTCTTCTATAGCCGTCAAAATATAAGCTAAAGCCTAGTAGAGAGTCGTCTACCCAATCATTGTGGCGCCGAGACTGCTCTCCCTTCGACGCAACGAGGAGAAGTTACTCATGTGGCCGGAAGTGGACTACGGTCCCGACACGGGCCCTCCAAGACCTAGCATAGGGGTATAAGAGCCCTACCAGCCAGACGTCTGATCAATTGGTGGGCATGGAATTCTTCATAGACAATTTGGACACTTCTTTCTTTCCTTCCTGACCTACGGATCAAGCCGGATAACTCTGAATAGATACCAGTAAGCGAACAATAAATGAAAAGATTCAAGAAGAAAGAAATCCCCTTATAGATGTACATAACCCTTCATATATTCCATCAATGGTTTAGTAGAGGTATCCACAGCAGGAGGTGTGTCCTCTACCTCAGCCAGATATTCAACGTGCGCATTGTAGGTAGGCAGCTCTGTATGAACTGTCAAGCTCTCACCCGGTAACTCAGCAAGACTAATTGGCGTAGCTAACTCTGGTTCTGTCTTGTGATAATGGTGGTGGTTCTCGATAATAACTGGTCTGCTATGAAGTGAGGCAGCCAGGAGATCTTTAAACTCCATACATTGCTGTCTCGAACAGATAAATTGATCTAGGATGCTACTAGACTCTTTGTGTTGCTTCTGAGACCGACGTCCTCTACACATAGCGCATTTTCTATCTGTGGATATTCTTTCAGGGTGGAAAGTTTCACTTTGCTGGCTTGTTCGTCTTCGTACGTCTATCGACCTTTAAAACTATTTATATCAGATGCATCTTAAAAACGAAGAAAACATACCTAGCTTCGCGCGATATAAAGCTACCCATTGCAAATGAAGATGTAATGAAGTGATAATTGAGTTGAATATGGAACGGTCGGCTTTGAAACCTAGCTCTGTGCTCTAGTTTTAAGCAGGTTTGAGGAGGCCTTGTTTTAGGTGACCTTAGTTTAAGCTTAGATGGCTAGGATGAAGTTCTTATATCTTTCCCTCCTATGCACAGTATGGCCACCATTTAGTCATAGAACATTGTCATCACACCTTTTGGCTTGACTAGGGTGCTTAGGCGAGTGTGTCAAATAGGCTTCGCAATACGTACATACACACAATTTGTTACGCCCAGGCGGCTTACAGCCAATAGGTCACTAGTTGCTATTGTACATAGCTAATGTCAGTACTAAATACTAAGCCTAGTAGTCGGATTGGAAGGTCAGCGACGGCAACCTTTGTGACCCAATTAGTAACTGGATCACCAAGCAAAGCAGATATCATGGCCGAGGGCTCCTTGGCGATCCAGCCAATGTCCGTCGAGGGTGAGAGGTTACTATCAACTCCTGGCAAGACAGCCTCGGGGTTGCGTACGCATCTCAATGCTGGGATTATCGCCATTTGTCAGGTCTTGCTCTCATGGCGCTGTGCCGGTCTTATCAAGGACTTGGATCCGTTGCCTAACTCACACCTTGAGAGTAAGACGAATGTCCCATGGGACTCTAAGCAACGAGAACCTAACGCTTGCCAAGTCAAACTAGTTTTGAAGGGTGGATTATAGCGCTGGCGAGGTTGAGAATTCATCACTACGCTCTGATTATTGATGAAACAATGCGCATCAGGCGAACCATTGTCGTGATTTCGCAGCCGCTGACTTTTTCCCCAGTAGGTGGCAAAGCTGGAGGCCAACGCGCCGCGGCGTACTTGAAAGAGCCGCATTTGCGGGAGGCAGGATGCACATCCTATTGTCCGCTCTCGCGACAGAGGAGTAAAACAAATCCTAGCAAGTCAACATCTGTGAAGCAGACGGCAGCCGCTAAAGAGAATAACCAAGCTAAGACATCTCTGCAAGCCTGTCCATACCATAGAAAGTATTGCAAGAAATATGGTGGCTGCTTGAAATTTGAACTCAAACGAGTCAAAGACGTCAAGCAGCACATTCTCAGAGGAACCATGTGAAGAAAGCTCAAGATCAGCATAAGCCAGAATGTCAAGGGGACCTTGAAACCCGGCCTGGCCTGGCGAGAGCTCTCCATGGCAACGCAAGGAGCTCAACGTCACGAACATACGAGAATGTACGACAGAAGAGTAATGGTTCATTCTTTAAAACACAATCTTTCCAGGTCAGCCGGGGCCCAAATCATGCTATCTTGGCAATCTTACGGGATTAAATGAAAGGTGAAAAAATCGACAAGGTCCTGGGTGATGGGAGCAATAGAACGAACAACAAAAGCCATTTAGAAAACGCGATGCAGGAAGTGTTTCGCAGATTTGAAGAGAGCAAGTCAGATGAGGTGACTCCCGGAATAGAGAAGACGGAGGACGAGAAGTCAACTGAAGAGAAGCCCATTGAGAAGAAGCCTTCCGACAACGGCGAAAGAGCTATTACTGGCAAGTTAGACCCCAAGAACGTCGATAACTCCAATGAATCGGTGTCGGCCTGATGAAACGAAAAGGTTACCGGTCATATTAAAGGTGTAAGTTGCATATCTGGGTGAGGAGCACAGCTCACTCCATAGTATCCACATCCCAGCCACCAGCTGATCGGACCACCTTAGTCATACGGTCTCAACACGGCCAGCTCTGTAATGAACATGCCCAAGTCGGAAGAATCGCCTGCCGATTTATATTTGGGCCTTGAGCTGACTGGCACTTTCTGCTCCTCCCCTTCCACGGGCGGTGAGGCAGGAAAAGGCTCCCTAATGGAAGGTACCTCCAGCTTGCTCTCAGTCGAGTCCACCATCTCAGAGTTCTCCGACCGGGAGGAACTTGTTGAGATCCGTGTTTTAACGGATCAATGGCTATTCCGATCCATTGGTGGATGTCTTCTTATCAATAGCTTCCGCTGGTTAGCGCTAGTTTTCTTCTTCTTCAATCAACATAACATGCTCATTTCAACACTCAGATGTGGCATGTGGCTCGTTTCACAAGGGTGGCTCAGAAACAGAAGCGGTGGCGCATCAAAAGCGGCTTAGAAGGCTCTGATCGTCGAGCGAACCGGGCGTTGAGGGGTCAGAAGGCGCGGAAGGAAGATCCTTCGTCACTTACGTTCCTCAGGCAAAGGCACCTTCGTCTCTACGATACAATACAATACAATTTATTACGCCCGGCGGCACCAGAGCCAAAAGGGCACTAATTACTAAAATACATATACATTGCCCAAATGGTGTCATGGTCTCCTTCAGCCCATATTGAGTCCTCTTGTTGCTTATACTTCCTTGCCTATCGCATGTTCCTTCTTCTCTGCGGGTTCCCATGGGTTAGTAGTGTTAACGGCGAACTAGCTTGAAGCCTATTCGTCAAGTGTTCAGTGTCCTATCCACGGCGGCTGAAGCGGTGTTCGCTATTTTGGCACGGGGTGAGGGTGGGGTGAAGTTGAAATAGTAGGGGTGTAAGGGGGTTGACAGAGAGAGGCCTGTCTCCCTAGTTAGCTTGCATCGAGGCGGCCTGTGGCCAATGCAAATCGGATTGTCGCTTGAACGGCCTTCATATTTGGCGTCCATTTTTGGTCATCAGATGGTGACTTTCCTCCAAGATAAAAAGAGACATTGCTCCTCTGGGTGCTAGTGCATTGAAGCATCTCTGTACGGTATGCCGTCCACTTTCGGCATCGGAAGAGGAAGTGTTCAACCGTCTCTCTCGCTTGTCCACAATCACACTGGTCCGATGATACCGCTTTGATGTGAAAGAGGTACGAGTTTAGTCTTGCCATGCCCGTTCTGAGTTGTGCCAGCACATTCGCTTCCTTCCATGATAGCTGGTCATAGAGTTGTTTCGTGTGTTTGCCTGGCAGTGCTGCGTCTATTCGCTTGGAGTGTCTTCTAACCTTTTCCGGCAGTGTCCTATTAGCGTCGACTTTCGATTGCGCAATTCTGAGCGTCGTCGACCTCATGCTAGAGCACTGTTTTTCAGGGGTGGCGCCTTGCTGTGTTGCCTTCCGGGCCTCCTCTTTGGCATGCTTGAGAAGCTTGTTCTCGCCGCTTGAGGGTAGCCAGAGAGCCTTTACAACATTTCCACCTTCCCGCAGCTCTTCAATTGAATCATAGATACAGCGTATATATTCCTGCCCGGATTGTTGACGGGGTTGCCTAAGGGAGAGTGCAGCAGCTTTGTTGCTCGTGATCAGTGCGACGCTGCGATATTTGAAGTATGGTAGGGCACGCCTCAAAGCATATTCCATCGCCGCGAGTTCTCCGCTGTACGGGTTCTGTTCTGTTCTCAGACCAAGGGTGAACGAGAAGGTCTGCAGTTTCGGACCGCCTCGCATGGACAACGGAATCTGGATTGCTCCGCCAACACCTACTATGCCGTTCCGCGCGGAGCTGCTCACCGCGACGCGTATGGCCCAACCTGCTTCTGCCTCTCTCGCTGCTGTCCCATCGGTAGTAGCTTCCACTCGTTCTTTCCATGGCGCTAGTGTAAGTGGTTGAATGGTTTCCAGCTGTTCCATTGGGATATCTACTAGAGTCGTTGCTACCTGGTAGAGCGGTGACCGGTGAGATCTTCTGAACATTCGTATGCGAGATGTCATTCTGCGAAGAGGATTGGTATCGGGCAAGGTGTGGATATTCGTCCACATCTTGATTGCCCTCTTCCAAAACCTTTGTTGTGCTGGAGCAATGTGGGCTTCTGCTTCTGCCACGCTTGTCGCCACGGTCCTAAACGTCCCAACAATTGCCTGTGCTCCCGCTTTCTGAACCCGGTTGATCGGTCCTTTGAGTCTGGCTTTGACCCGATGCATCCACACGCTGGAGGCATAGTCCACCACTGGGGCTACTGTAGTTATGAATAATTGTCTTGCCGTTGCTGGCAACAAGACCCTCAGCCTCTTCAGTTCCATTGCTGCCTTCAAACCCTTAGAGGCTGCCCTCGCAATATGTTCCTTGTACTTGAGCCCGGCGTCCATGACGACTCCTAGGATCTTGACATGATCTTTCGGTTGAACCACCTGTCCCTTGATTGTGAAAGGTTTTGAGTCGGTTTTGTAGTCTCTCCGAGTGAAGTGTATGATAGCCGTCTTGTCCGCCTCAAACGTCGCGCCGCTTCTCCTCTCCCAATCCAACGCGTCTTCGATGATTGACTCGACGCCCTTGCGGTTGCTTTGTGCCGTTGGCCCTGTGACCCAGGCTGTGAAATCGTCCACGAATGCGATCGCCCCTCTGTTGCTGTCGATATGACGCTGTACCAAATCTGCGTTGAAGAAAAGGAACAAGATTGGAGAGAGCGGAGAGCCTTGGGGTAGGCCTGCCTGTGGTAGGTCTCGAGTTTCTAATAACTCTCCATTGATTTGGATCGTTGCCGTACGATTGGAGCAAAACGCCTCAACCCACGGGAGTAGTTTCTCCGGGATGCCACGTGCTTTCAGTCTCTGAAGCAGCCTCTCCTTACATACTCCATTGTAGGCTCCCTTGACATCAAAACTGACCAGGCTTACGATCCGTCGACCTCGCCAGGCAGCATAGATTTGCTCCTGCAGGAGTAGAAGCGCTTGCTCTGCTGATCGTTGTTTACGGGCTCCAAAGTGATTCGTCGGGAGCAAGCCGAATGTTTCCACCTCATGCGAGATACGTTCTGCGACTACCGATTCCAATACTTTGCCGAGAGTAGCTAAAAGTGAAATTGGTCGCCACGCCTTTGCAATCGTGTAGTTCTCTTTGCCCGGCTTTTTCAGCGGTATGATCTTTGCATGCTTCCATTGATCGGGTAATATTCCCTCATCTAAGGACGCCCGGAAGATGGCCATCACCCGATGTTTGACCACCGGCCACACCTGTTTCCACACAATCACCGGTAATCCACCTTCTCCAGGCGCCTTCCATGATTTTGCCGCGAAGAGTTGTCGTTCTACCTCCTCCATCGTGATGTCAGGCATCGTCACAGGGGCTCTCTGAGGCCTAGGGCCTTCGTCTTTGATGTCGGTCGGCAAGGGAGGGAAGAACTTGGACAGCAACTCTTCAGCTTGTTCTCTGTGGTTGGTTGTGGTTGTTCCGTCCACCCTGATTAGCTGCGGAACTTTGCCGAATGCCGTGTCATCGCCGGACTTCAGGTACTTAGCTGCCTCCCAGATGTTATCATTATCTGCCAGAAACTCGTTCCAATGCTTCTTCTTTTGTTGCCTGATGGCGTCATGATACTGCTTCGAGGCCCCTTTTGCTGTCTCTTCCAGTTCCATCCTCGCCCATCCTGCCCGTCTCGCGGACCGAGCGCGGTTCCTCCAATACGTGTATATCCGACGAAGCTGCGTCAGATCTGCCGTCCACCACCGTTTAGCGTACGGCGAAGGCTTGGCTCTTGGTGTCAGGGAATGCACCGCCTCCATAACCACCGACATCAATTTGTCAGTCTTCTCCTGTACCGTGCCTTCCGACGGCATCGTCCCAAGCGCGCTTGCAATTCTTGCGTTGATTTCTTTCCAAGGCGCATTCTTTAGGAGAAGTCGATTCTGCTGTTTTGGCTGCGGAACCGAAATATCGAAGACCGTGTTAATCACCTGATGATCTGAGCCGTGCTCTGTCCTATGTATTGCGCATTTGACGGTCGAGGCCGTCAACTCCTCCGAAGCCAGGACCAAGTCGACCGTTGTTGCAAAGTCTCCACTACTCCACGTCTTCGTTCCTCTGGGGAGCAAGCTGGTGAGACCAAACTCGTTCATGAGGTCAATGATCTGATCCGCTTCGCCTTGTCTTACTAAAGAAACATCATCTCCTCCCCACAACTGGTCGTGCTGGTTGAAGTCTCCGACAACCATCACATCCACAAGCCTGCCAGCCTCTCCTCTTGTGTCCAAGATGACCTGGCGTAAGGTGCCGCAAGTGCCTCGTAAAGCCTGAGGATCCCCTCCTGGCACGTACGTTGATATCACCAGAACCGTCCGCTCCGGGAGACGTATGATGGCTGCCGTCATGTCCGGCGTCTCTATCGGTATCTGCTCTGCTTCCACATCCTTGTTCACGCACAGCATGCTCCGTATCGGCCATCTGCCCTCCCTCCAAATTGTAGGGACCATTTTGATCCACCTGGGGTGTCCCATAGGGGCTGTCAGCAGTTTGCCGTCGATTTTCCGTGCCTGTGGTTCCTGAATCGCTACAACTGCAAAGTCTTGGAGCTGCTTGTCGTTCATTAGGCTCTCGTGTACCATATCCTGTTTTCTCACATTCAGTTGGATTGCCTGAAACACTCTACTCATGTCGAGTAGGGTAGAGTTTCGGGCATCTTCGACTGAACGACTCATGGGGGCCACCACAGGGTACACACTTAGGTACCTGCGCCTGGCACTCACTATGATGATGGCCTTCGGCAGCACACCTCGCACATACCCGATTCTTGCTGCACGAGAATGCCTTATGGCCGAGCTCCTGGCAGTTATAGCATTGCATTGGTCCGGTTCTGCGCTCGAAGGCGCTGGTGTATGCCGATTCGCCGGCTGCAAGGAAGTAGCGTTCCTGTAGAAGTCTCATAGCATCCCTATTTTTAGTGAGATATACTACCATGGATCCATATGCCTTTGCGCTGTCCTTTCGGCTCAACCAGGCTATCTTTGCAATTTGGATTTCGTTCTCCTGGCCCAAAGCTTCTGTTATTCCAGGGAGGACCTTGCCTTCCTGGTCAAGGACGGCGGTACGGTTCACATTGTCAACTTTGACGGGGTACAGTTGGTCTCGGAGCACCCTCGTGCCTGGGGCCTTCTTGGCCTCGATGATCATCTTGATCCTCTTCAATTCTTCCTCATTCCTACCGATGATTCTCAGGCGCTTGGTATTTCGTCCATCTCTGGTTACCGCAACACATCGCCAGCTAGGTTGGTCGCTGGATGCTCGCATTTCCTGTTCAATGGTCCTGCGAATGACTGCTTGTGCAGTATCTCCAATATGATCCTCGGGCACCCTAGATGTGTCTACCGTGCAGAACACCGGTTCCGGGGTTGCTGATCGAACCGTGGATGGAGTTTGAGTGGTGATACTAGCAGGCGTCATTCTGGCAGCATCTGCATATGTCCGACTAGGCGATCTGGCTGCATGAGCATTGTTTAAGGTGTCCAGTTGTATCCGGGTCTGCTCCAACTCGCTGCAAACTTGGGTAAGCTGCTCTCGGGCTTGTGATAATTCTTGTGCCATCTGGGCCGTGGTCCTAGTGACTTCCTCAGCCATGTGGTCGCTAAGTTTTGTAAACTCGAGCTGAAACTCTGCCTTCATCGTTTCCATTTTCTTATTGAAGTCTTGTTCTAGGAATCGTTTCAGGCCCTGGATTGCCTCCGTCATGCTGCCGGCTGCCTTAGGCGTGGTCCTTTTCTTAGTTCTGGTGTGACTCAGAGCTCCCTCACTGCTCTCCTCTTCCTGCCATTCCATATCGCCATTTTGCTGCTCGGATTCCAATGCCCTCGTCGTTCTGGTCCTTTTACGCAGGGGACGATGATATCCCCCGCCCGGAACATCCGGTTCGCCTTCCATGACGACAATGACGTCTGAAGCGGGGTTCGCAACACCAGACATCCGCCAAAGGGCTGAATCTCCGCCACGCGGCTACCGGGTATTACAAAAGTTATAAAGAAGATAAATAATGAGATTTCGAGAAGTGTCGATTCTCCTCTTATTACTTCCCAAGAGATATATTGAAAGCCTATCTCGTCTCTACGTTCCTCAGGCAAAGTGACGCGGAGATCGTGGTGAAGCGGTTGTGGTGCATGCATCTCGCACGGACCTCTCGGTGGCCCGAGTTTACCAAGGGTTAGTGTTAGGGTTAGGGTTAGGGGGCGCGGAAGAAAGAACTTTTCGGAACGTCCCTCGGACCCTCTGGTTTCCCTGTGGCTCTTCGATGACGGCTCGGTACAGGAGACCGGTCCCCTACGGGTCCGCCAATGCCTTTTCGGAACGAGCTGAGAACTTGAGAAGTAAGGCACCTGGCACTGGATTTACAGGCGATTGGGAGACTTTTGGCAGGTGACTACGGGGCTGGTGGCGTCTGCGTGTGACCAGTGTTTTGGGCACAAACATCGATAAGTCTGGAAAGATGGTTTTGCGTCTACTGGCCCGGGTGCATCAATGTACTGTCGACTTTGATAAGCAGCCGCCGTCGCCGACGACCGTTTCTGGTATGCTGCTCGGGCAAGTAAATTGTCTCTGATTTGATACAACCTGCAAGACCAAGGCGAACGGTAGGATCAATCTTATGGGTCTGTCTAGCACAACGGAAAGACCCAGTGTGAGGAATAGGCGGTTCAGTCCAGTGCAGACACCCTGGACTGGACCGCCTATGTAACAGGAAGCACTGGACTGGACCGCCTGCCTTAATTGGACTGGTACCAAGGTCAAACTAAAACTTGGTATGGCGATGAAGTTTCGGTGTTGTGCCTAGGGTGGCTAGCGATAAGGTCTTTCCAGTGTGGGAAATAGGCGGTCCATAATGGGCTCTTGGACTGGAAGCCCTAGCATGCTCTTTTCATCGATAACAAGATATTTGACGTTCCGTAGGCGAGACTGAAGGGCGGCTGCGTCGGCTGGAGGAAGGTTGGCCCACACTTTTGTCACCATTTTATTTTATTTCGGAAGGTAGTAGTAACGATGCAAACTCTATAAACATTGCCCCCACTTAGTGCTATAAGCAGCCCGTTAGCTCCATGCTTGAGATCCTATCGTGACCCAAACAGCACAATGGAAGACCTTTTGAGAGTTTACTAACCCCCTGTTTTCTAGGGTTACAAAACCAATTCTACTAGAGTTCACCATGGACTGGGTTAGTAAACTCTCAAAAGGTCTTCCATTGTGCTGTTTGGGTCACGATAGGATCTCAAGCATGGAGCTAACGGGCTGCTTATAGCACTAAGTGGGGGCAATGTTTATAGAGTTTGCATCGTTACTACTACCTTCCGAAATAAAATAAAATGGTGACAAAAGTGTGGGCCATTAAACTATTCATAGAACATGGATATCGAGCGGTGACAGGATTAGGGACTCAAAGTTGTCCCGTATTATCACCAATTAACTGGGGAGGCATAACGGTTTCCTGTTGTTAGTTACGAATCCGCTCAATAATCAAGTGAATCAAGTAAAGGTCTTACGTCGAATATTCTCGCTACAAAGTTAGGAATCGAGTTATTCTAAACGCAGTACGCAGGCCGATGAAGCAAAGAAGAGATATAAAGGACGTCACTTGTCTTCATGCATACTGCCTCTTTTCTTACCCATCCACTCAACTCCTTTAACACCCTTGTCCTTGAACCTTTACCACTCTCAAAATGAAGATTTCTTCTATCCTCGCCTTCTCCTCCATGGCCCTCATCGGCGCCGACGCATGGAGCTTCACCGTGTGGACCGAAGATTACCAAAAGGGCAAGCACATGCACTTTAAGAGTATGGTCGCGGACAACAACTGCTACCCTATCCCTGATCAAATCACAAGGGAGCGCGTTGGATCCTTCACTTTTTGCAGCGCTGCCTGGACTCGCTGCTCGATTACAATCCACAGCAAGCCTGGTTGCATTGGTGACAAACTTGGCAGTGCGACGGCCGGCTCTCCCAAGGAATGGTACAAGAAGAGCACCAGCAAGGAAGGCTCCTATATGAAGAGCTTCAGAATCCAAGGCTGCAAGAAGGTCCCTATAGCGGACCTGGACGTCGACGTTACCAAGTGCTTGGATGATCCTTCTTATATTCACTAAGGAACAAATGTATCGGGCGAGAGCCTCTCGGAGGGGCTGGATATTTTCTTTCTGGGTAGGAGGTAGGACGGAAGGCTAGTTACACAATAAGATATGATTGCAAACTCCGATACCTATTTTTGGGGATAGATGGTGCTACGGGAAAAGGGGGAACATAGCAAACCTTATGTATCCTAGCTCTGTGAACAAGGGGTCGACGATATTTTAGGATGGATGCTGTCAAGATCAAGCATCAATTCAATCAATTCAACTTGATCTCTATGTTGATGGAGTCAATCCTTCTCGATGGCTTCAACGTTGACAACTGATCTAAAATTGAGTGAGTGTGTATGTGTGTGTGTATCGTCCGTCCATTGGCCGTAGGCGACTCAGGTCCCCTTCAGGGGCACTGAAAAAGACGATTTAAATAACCAATCTCGCAATCACAACCCACCGCCCTGGATCAGCCATCGAGCAGCCTCCTGAGGCGGTCATGCCGGCACCCGTAGCCTGGACGAGGAATGACACAACATCGCCCGAGTCGAAAAGCTTTGTCATGATTGTGACCCTGACAATTGAGCAAGCGATTGCCGTAGTTCCGAGGCCTCGGATGAGGCGTCCAAGGGTCATGTAGATAGATCCGGCGAAGAGTGAGGGTGGGTCTAGCAGAAGAACAGATTGCACGATATATGGTCCGAGCTGATCTGTCGCATTCGTGGTAGCAGCACGCCCTGCGTAACCGATAGCCTCGACTAGATGTCAAGTCAAATATCAGTGACAGTCCTTGTAACTGAATCCAACGCCATTCGTCCAACGGCCCAATTCATGTCCTGCCTCCAGGTCTGACATGTTCTCAGACCTGACATAGCTAGTTTCTAGACCTGATATGTCCCAATCCTGACATGTCCCTAATCCTGACATGTTCGTTTTCTCGGTCTGACATGTCCGTTTCCTAGGCCTGACATGTTCCTAATACTGACCGTCACGCGTCTTAACCTGAAAGGCACAACTGGTCTTGCCTGCGAACGGAGGGGGCTCTGGGCGGTATCGGAGGCTCCTCCGCGGGCGGAAAGTCATGGTGTGTGGTGAGCCGACCACTCTTCATGACGACCGGTCCACCGTTGATGCACTCGCTGCAAATCTTGCCCCATGCTGAGTGTCCCTTTGGCGCTCGTGGCTCCTTCCCTGGGACACTTTGAAGCCGTTCCGTGGGACTCTTTGACACCGGAGGATTCGCTGGCCGCCTCAAACTTTTCTTCAAATACCTGGAGTCGTAAAGCTGACAAAAGGAGTTTAGCGCATGCAGTCCAGCGTCCACAGTTCAGTGCATGATGCGATTCGATAAAGCTGCGCCACATGCGCGTGGCTCAGATAGCTCAGGCCAGATCGTGCCCAACTGACACAGGAACAGGCCAAGGGCAGAAGAGTAGGAAAACCATCTCACACGACTCTTCTAGGGGAAATACCCGGGTGAGTAATGTAGTAATAGAGTAATAGTGTTGAGACCGTATGACTAAGGTGGTCCGATCTGCTGGTGGCTGGGATGTGGATACTATGTAGTGAGCTGTGCTCCTCACCCAGACATGCAACTTACACCTTTCCAATATGACCTGTAACCTTTTCGTTTTATCAAATAGAGGTAATTTCTGCAGTTTTCTTTTTTGCCACAAGAAAAAAAAAGACGGAATGACTTGAGAAACCCGTCACCGATTCAATTTGTGCCACCCCAGGAAACAGGCCAAGGATGAGAGAGTAGAGGGGGTTACAATACAATACAATACAATACAATACAATACAATTCAATTTATTACGCCCGGCGGCACTAGAGCCGAAAGGGTACTAATTACTAATATACACATGACGTGAGGGGGAAAATTCGGTCCTTCCTACCACGCCACGCGCCCCTTCTTGTACTCAATCTTTGTCTCTTCCAACTCCCAGTCTCCCCACTTCTTAACTTCATGCCGTTGAAGCAAAGTAACTGTCAGCCCTGGCCTTTCTTTGGTCAAAGCGCGCATAGCCTTCATGAACAACTTGTTGTGTTCCCCTTCACCAAGGATCAGCTTCTTCAACTTGGGAACCCACTCCGGGTGCTCTCGCAACTCGTCAAGCGCCGTTCCAGAGAGTTTATCCCCACTGCCACGAGAAGTCCCGGTAAGCTCCACCGAGGTTAGATTGGAGCAGTTCTGGAACAAGCCGAGTAGGCCGTCGTCAGAGACGTGAGATGTAGCTTGGAGCTGAACTTTCTTCAGGTTGGGGCATGACTTTCCTAGACGGACAACCGCCTCGTTTGTCAAAGACTGTGCGTTATTCCGTGCACCGTAGCCCACATCCTCATATATGAAAATAAAGTGCACGAATTTTTTGCAAATTGGGCTTCCCAAGGCTAAGATATCGTCAATATGATCGCTTGAACGAGGCGAGGTCAGCATAAATCGCTTAGACCGTGGGAAGCTTACTTACTCGGTCAACACGAACCTACTGCCGAAGACGATGTTCCTGGTAGACGTTCCAATTACTTGCTCATACTTGCCGTCCCAGTCATGATCGCTACTTCCAAAGCGAGCATCCTTCACACCTTTGGGGATGGACTTGAGCAGCATCCTCTTTGGGGGATTGTCAGCAGGAGCTTGAGCACCTGAGAATGTGTTGTTCTTGGCTGTCCGAATTGGCGGCATTGCATTTTATGGCTGATATGTACCGAAGAGTTGTGTTTAGAGATCAATAAAATAAAAGCAAAGAAACCCGCCCGTGAAATAGGTATGTTGAGGATTGAAGCTAAAAACAATTTGCTTGTGTTGCAAGGTGCTAGGAGTGATTGGTCCGAGCAGACCCACTATAGGGGCTCCGCTCCAACGTACAATACGGCGGCAGACCGCCCTTTGCTCTGTTAGAAATTAAGGCTCATTCATACCATTGTTGGTATGCGCTTATAGGGAAAATTGCGCAGCTCGTGACAGCTTGGCCGATTTCCACAGCGATCGAATGTCGAGGCCACGTGACTATCATATCGATAAGCTATCGATACGATGCGCTGGTTCGCAAGATTGGAACACCCGTTTCTCGAACATTCCGTCGTTTGGGACGGCCAATGTTATTCGTTGAGCCACTCTTTCGCTGGCTTTGGGGGGCCCCGTGAAAGACACAATTTTTTTTAAGGAAACGGTGAACTGGAGTAGGAGTAGGGCTGAGAATGGCATAACCGCGTTGCTCCCAAGTGTGGCTCAAAAAACTGTGGCGCGGCGACTGTTTCGTTCCTCAAGGCATAGTGGCGCAGAAGCGTTCGATTGGAGTGGTGGCGCAGCGTCTGTGGTGAAGGGATTTGGCGCGGTCGATCGGCGAAGCGAACGTGGCGCGGGAGTTAGTGGTGCAGGCGTTGAGCACGGATCGTTTAGCGGCCCGAGTTTACGAAGGAGGGCGCGGAAGACAGGAGACCGGTCCCCTACGGGGTCCGCCAATGCCTTTTCGGAACGAGTTTAGAGCTTGAGAAGTAAGGCGCTTAAAGTAAGGCGCTTACAAGGGCGGGTGGCGTCGGTGTGTGACTAGTTTTTTTTGCCTTTTGCGCGCACAGGCTCTGGCTTACTACTCCGACCCCGCATTCGACAGCATTGTAGTTTAACGCTGCTTTGTGTATTATTTCTTTACCTTGGCATCCAATTTATTCAAGCTGAATCTTCCTCAAAAGAGGTAGCATTGAGTGATTCTCCATGACTATTGATTACTCGAAATGGGATAACATGGACACGGATTCAGAACCAGAAATTTCGCCTCCGTTAGTCCCTACGCCCCAAGCTCCTACTCCAGCAGCCCCACAATCAGGTGCATCAGCTACAGCAGCGCCAGTCACAAGCAGTATTCACCAGGATCCATCCAAGCCGTCATCGTCGATGCGATGTTGAGAGAATCAGATTCGCACCTTGGTCCTTGACAATGATCCAGGTAGATCATGTTGGAAGAACTGAGGATTCCCCCTCAACTTCAGGATTAAAGTTAAGGTTTGAAGTCCTAAAACTTAGATCGTAGGACTTGATCGTAGGACTTTCTAGGACTCAGGTCCTAGAAGGGACCACTCGAAGATATAAGGTCTTAAAGGTCCTTCGATTGCAAGAAGAACAATAACAATAAGAACTACTTTCTCATCAAGTGCACTCAGCATTCCTGCGCAATCCAACAACAGATCATCCCGTCTTCTCTAATTAAATTATATCCCCCCCGTCCCGAGACTCATCGAGGTTCCGCTGGTCTTTCACCGTGTCGGCACTCAGTCTGCAAACCGGGCCGACCTCGACAACCAAATGATCACGTATCTCAACAAACAATCGACGATGAATCCGGGTTTGCGCCCTCGGAGTGGCGTTCCTACCTTGCCGCGAGGATTTGGTGACTTTCAAATAAGCGTCTCGTTTCTGCTGCCAGATCCGTCAACCTCTGCATGGCATCAATTATGCCTTGGTCTGGCTTATTCCCGATGAAATCCTGCGGCCGTATGGAACTAAGAAGCTTGATTCCTTGTAGCGTTCTGCATCTGGATAGTTGTACATAGAGGCTGGTAAAGTCGCATTTGGAAGGCTGACCATTCGTCATACGGTTTCCTCGCAGCTCCAACAGTACAGCCTCAAACGTCTTGCCTTGAGCTTTATAGTCAGTAAGGACAAATGCCGGGACAACTGGCAACCCCCGCCGAGAGCATTTCCCCGACAGGAACTTGTAGTGTGAGTTGGCTGGATCTAGGGTATGCGTGATAGGCCGGATGAGCACGGTGCCCGTTGGGAGGGCCGGGATTGCTAAATCCTTTGTTTCTTGCGACTCTAACAATATGCCCAGTGGCGGTCCAAAATGGATGGTAACGTCGTCCGCAAGATGGTAGCCCGGGGATTTCGGATCGAGAATGACGTCAGCAGCGGTAAACTCCGCCCCTTTCACAACTTTCAAGCCGGTGTATGTATTTTTGTTGACAACTACAGGCATCCCCTGGGCGTAAAAGAAGACCCCAGGGATCTTGCAGTTGGAGTTGTCGCCTTGTTCGATGGTCTGGGCCACCTCCTGCTGTGATAAGGCTCGACTGCGCCAGGTGTGGGTCGAGAGGAAGAGCGAGATGTGTCTCCTGTGAAAGCGGGCCCAGTCTACCACGGCTTCCATGTTGAGGCTCCATCGGTTGCGATTGAGCGGTGTTATGGCACGCAAGCCATCCTTGAAGGTGACTTGGGAGCGGTCCACGAGCTTGGTGTTGAGTAGGTCAAGGTCCTCCGTTGTCTGGGTTCCAGCCCGTACTCTGTCCAGAAGAGCGCCTAGCTGAGGATCGTCTCGCGCGCGGACTTGCTCTTCAAGGAGGATAACTGTCTTGAACAACAGCCACAGACTGTGGCCACGGTGGTGAGCGATGGTCGCTTGTCCTAGGGAGGCCGTGTAAGCGAGATCCACCATCCGGTCCACCAGGAGACTTGTCTCGAGCACCGGGGCGAACTGATAGAAATCACCCATCAAGAGAACAACGGGAATGCCTCCAAATGGCTTATCGGCACAGTCACGGAGGGCCTGGAGGTGGCAGCTGGCGTTGAATAGAGTGGCTCCCCCGAGCATGCTCACTTCGTCAACTACGAGGGCCAGTTTCTGCTTCCACATCCATTTTTTCGCTTCCGAGAATATCGGAGGCTTTTGCTTGCTGTGAGAACGGTGGGTGTCTAGTCCCAAGGCCGAGTGGAGTGTCGTGCCTCCGATCTGAGCAGCAGCACTGCCGGATGTACCGGTAACCTGGAGGTGATGTGGCTGACCTCTAGCCGTGAATACGTCCCGCAAAGCATCGACGATTCTAGACTTCCCAGTACCGCCTGGCCCTCCGATGTACTGAAGATGTTGACCAGCGGAGTCAGGATTGGCAATATACCTGTCCAAGAACCTGCACACAAGTTGAAGTGCCATGCTCTGCAGATAGTTGAGCGTATAGCTAGACGCGGCAAGAAGCCCCAGCTCCACGAACCCTCTGGTGGGACCTATGTCAACAAGCATTCGAGGATTTTGTACGGTCGAATCTTCCAGTTGTCTCGGGATGGGAACTTCCGCGTCACACTGCCGAACAAGCAGATCGTCGATATCGGCATTACCAATGGAGGTTGTACCACCTTGGACACCGCCCTCCATCTCATCGAGCATCCGGAGATGCAGCATATCCTGGGCCTTTGCCGCAGCTTGAAGATCTTGTGCAGAAGGAATAGGACACTGGGATAATGGACTATTCTGGTTATGGCGGATTTGCTGATAAAAACTGTCGTGACGTTGGACGAACGGCCGATCCTCTTCGGCAGGGTTCTCATAGCACAGATCCTGGATCAGGCTCTGCAGGACTGGGGACTCTCTCGTTGCATCAGAGTCCCGCACGGCACTTCGAAGAGTCTGGAGGAGAGCTGTATAGGTTTGGTGATGCTCTGCCATGGTTGGTTCTGCTGAGGTGGGCTCGTCGCTATAATCACCCTCATCCAGAGGAAAGTCCACATCCACTGTGTCGTCCCCTTCCGACCGGCTGGCCCAGAGCTTCGCGTCTTTACGAGCATCCTCGGCCGACTTCCTGAGGAGGGAGATGTTTGAGACATGGGATCGCAGGCGAGGACAGAGCATAGCTGCATAGTTCTGCCATATGCCGGTAACATCACCACGCGTCTTGGAGAGGAAGTTTTCCCATGGCACAAATAAGGCCAGATGGAGAACCGAGTTGCTGTACAGATTGTCAGAGCTGGCTCGCGGGCAAATGGGGCAGCAACCGGAGCGTACCGTTTGAAATACACCGGGTGCTCGTCCATGTGGTCATCGCTAATGAATCCCTGAAAGATTGGCACCGCGTACTCGGGGGGTTCGCGAAGCTTTTGGATCCATCCGTAGCACTCTGGAGGTCCCTCCAGAGCTATGTGGGTTTCATCCTCATCTCGACCGCGGCGACGCTCCAGGGTAATCATAGACATATAGTCATAGAGGCACACATCTCTCAGAACGGGGCCCCGGTAGGTGTAGGCATCCAGGTACAATAAAGTCCGGCCACTTTCCCGAAATTGCACCGTCTCTGATGGCTCTTCGTCATCTGTTTGTGTGCTGGCCTGGCGACGGAGGTGTATCCAACGCCGGAAAATGGTCCAATAGAGTGCGGTCAAGTTTATGTAGGACCAGTGCGGTACGTTAGTAAAGTCCGTTTGATAGCCAAGCAAGAAGTAACAGACTTCCACAGCCGAAAGCTGTCTCTCGGAAAAGATTCGATTAGCGGCCCTCATCAAAAACTGACGGCTCTCGTTCACTACGGCCTGGCGCTGGGCATCCTGTTCGGCAAGATTCGGCCCCGGATGCCTCAGCGCTGCCGATTCATGAAGCTGTCGAAGCACATCAGCGGCGAAGACAAGGCGTTTCCACATGGGCGTGTCCAATTTGGTGGCGTAGTTCGTGATGTAGAATACCATGGCGAGTCCCTTGGTTCTCGTCAAGATCATCGAGATGTCGTGGTTGTGACGGAGGCCGACTGCCATTGCTTTGTTATACCGGTTGACGAGCGGGTGGTTCCGCTGGATCCTGAGCAGGCCGTCCTCCGTGAATCCGGTGTCGTCGACGATCTTCCAAGGCGCTTTGAACCGACAAGCTGTCCGTTTGTGCTTACCTGCACCCTCTCCGACGAGTCCTTTGAGAGAATACTTGATACAGGTGTAGGTGTGCGAGTGCACCTGGCAACAGTACGCAATGTAGTTAGACTCGTTGTCGAAAGCCGCTGCGAGAGCCTCGGTGTCGTGCATGATTCCCTCGATCGGATCGATTGGTTTTCGCTCCTTTCGGACAGCTTTTCCAGCTTCCTCATCTAAACATTCGTAAAATACCGAGTCTAGATACCGAACCACTTGGGCACGGTATTCTTCCTCCTCGGGCTTCGCCATATCATCGATCAGGGAAGGCAACTGCATATTACCCTCCAACCAGAGTAGACCATGCAAGTGCAGACTGCCTCGGTCGTTCGTCTCGACTGTTGCGTAGTAATGGCTGATCTTTCCGAAAACTGATTCTTGGCCCGTCCTGACATATTTCTCAAAGAACAGTGAGACTTCTCGATGGAAGAAGATGGCCGCGCTAACTGGGTCCATGGTGCTGAGAGCAATCCTGTCATACCTTCCCCGGAGATCGGCTAGCAGTTCCTTTGCCGTGTTATAGTCGTGGAGCCTGTGTATGGAGAGCCACATCTTGACCGGATTGTTGATATCGTTGGGGTTGACCGTGATCCAAATGGCAGGCATACCGGTCCAAATGTTAACTGCTTGTATCCTCCTCCGCATCAAGAGTCGAGTTTCGTTGGAGAGCGGCTGTGCGTGGCCAAAGATGGACAATTCGCGAAGCAAGAACGATATGTCCGGATCCGTCGTGGTCCTTGTCTCTCGCATCTCCTCCTCGGCTATTTTTAGGCGGTCCGCCGTCAGGCTTCCATAGACCCGTTCCAGTCTGTCGAAGGAGCCCCTTGCCATACGGACCATGCTGATACGGCGGTTCGTGGATCGGAGGAGGATGTTGAAGATCAAGAAACAAAAGACCGGATGTGTAGCAAATCGACCCCCATGTCGTTGCAACACATATTTGGCCCAATAATTGAGCGAGTGATTCGCGCTGCGCTGCACAGGTTGTGAAGCATCATACATATTGCCATCTGGCTCGCTCAGTGTCTTAGGGCCGCCCCTCCCCCACGGGAAAAGTATGGGAAAGGTGCGCGGAAAGAAGTCCTCGTGCAGGTTGTCTGCAAAATCCGCGCCACGCTCGACTCGAATGAACGGTTGGTCTCCCGCCGTGTGGACCATCATAGCGGAAGGTTCAGCATCATCGCCGTGTCTGGTTTGACTCGTCCGCATAGCCTCGGCTAGGAAGGACAGCTTGTCAACTTCAGCGAAAGCGGCAGGCCCGTCCAGAGGAAACATGCCGGACGTTGACGTCTCGTATAGGATATCACCGTCACGGTCGAGACTCTCTGGGCCGGGAGCAGACATATGGGCATTCTCAGGTGGTGGGTGAGGCTGTTCCATCGACGCATTGTCAACTGAGATAGGGGTGTCGTCGCTTGAGTCTGGTTGTATGGAGGTGAGGAGTTCTTCAATGCTTGTGAAACGGTTCTCCTCTAATCCACGATCGGTATTTGGGACGATGGGGTCCGTGTGCGTCTTTTCCACCTCTGCATCCTCTCCATGAGAACGGCGGGAACATTTGAGCGCTCTGCGTAGTGCCAGCTCTGTATTTCATCCTGGTCGATTTTTATGTCCTTGTAGAGGGGATTGTTCCTCTGAAGCCATAAAATGGCGGCCGTTACGCGAGACTTGCGCACCCGAAGGAGAGTTCCCACATCCGCCGGGCTAGGTCTGTTGGCGCCGTCCCAAGAGACATGAATGTTCTCGACCGTCTGAAGAAGCGGGTGAGGGAGCACCGTGGCGACTAGGTCATCTACATTGTTCGGAAATACGACAATATGCCCCTTCACGTGTTTCCTGTAACTGACACCCGACGGCGTTTTGTTATCAACAGTGAACTTCGTGATATAGCCGAAAGGCGCCTGAAGAGCGATCAGTCTCTCCTCGACAGGAGAGAGGCCATCGAGCTCCCCAGGATAACGATGCTCACATCCGATATCCATATTGTTGACCGAGCAGGCCTTTGGCAACTTCCCTTTTTCAAAACCGCTGCGGCACTCGAGGCAAATATCGACCACATCGCTACCATCTGGTGGGAGACACTTCTTGCATTTCTGAAGAGCCGTCGTAGCCTGCACCATCGCGGGAGTCAGGTAGTTTCTCCATTGGGTGGCAGTGAGCTTGGCTGGCGAACATTTCCTGTAGCAAAATATGCAATGAGAAATCGATAACGTACTTTCGTCGGTGAAGGCTTCATAGAATGACTTCGGAGTTTCAACTTGAAGGGAGAGGGGGACTTCTTTGCACCAGGATCTTGATAATGATGCATCCCTCTTAGCGTGAAAGCAAGACTCTCGGTGTTGTAGAATCGCCGAGTGGCGCGAGGATCCAGGCGAAGTTTGGTGGCACAGGTGTTTGTGGTGCAGGCGTCTAGCACGGATCGTTTAGGGGCCCGAGTTTACGAAAGGAGGGCGCGGAAGAAAGAACCTTTTCGTTCCTCAAAGGCAAAGAACCTTTTCGTTCCTCAAAGGCACAGGAGACCGGTCCCCTACGGGGTCCGCCAATGCCTTTCGGAACGAGTCTGAGAAGCAAGGCACTTGCCTTGTGATAGAAAGAGCCCGACACAAGCACTTGTCTTGCGGAGGATCGAGGCTGACAAGCACTGTCTTGTAAAGCTTTGCATGCGCGTTTGCATACCAGGTAGGTGGCGCCTTGGGGGTTGTCCTTGCAGGTGTCTGTGAAGGGAAAGGAGGAATGAAGATAGTGTGGGCGTGGGCACCTGGCACTGGCTTTATATGCTATTGGGACACTCTTGGCAGGTGACTACAGGGGCTGGTGGCGTCTGCGTGAGACCAGTTTTTTTTGCCTTCTGCGGTTTGAGACGCTGCGCACAGGCGCTGGCTTGCTGCTCAGACCCCGCGTTCGACAGCATTGTAGTTTAACGCTGTTTCACTTCTTATTTCTTTACCTTTGCATACATACAATTTATTCAATCTAAATCTTCCTCAGGGGACCGGGACAGACTGCAATATCAAGGACTCATCATATAAGATGTCCACTATAAGGATCACTAGAACGGATAGAGTTACACTCGAAGGAACAGATGCGGCGAGTGATCAAGGGATCTTGACTTCGAGCGTTGAAATAAATAGCGAGCGGCCGGAAACTAGTAGTGAGATATAGTCATGACAGAAACTGGTCCCCTCAAGGCTTGACTGAGGCAATTATCCAATGGACGTCGATTGAAGCAAGCCTGGAGGAGCTTTGTGCGTAGAAGAAATTGTAAGTTGGGGGGAAATAAGATACAAGGAAAACGCAAGCCAACATGTCCATGACCATAGACCGAGCGATGGACCTGTTGCACCCCCTAAGGGAGGAGAGCAGACAATGCAAACGGAGAACGGACCAACAATTCAATTACGGCAGAGCGTCCGGCTCATTATATCACAGACTGGGACGGGAATCCCACGTGTGTCTTTGGGGACAATCTTCGGAGGTGACTTTGCGAATTAGAGGAAACTTATAGTGGTGGAATCAACTCATAGGTGTTTTATTACTCCAGCGGCACCTACGCTCATGATGATATTACTATCAGGTGGTGGCTCACTCAAATCCCTTCTACATGGCGTCTCTGGTGACTTATGCCTGAATAGCCCGAGTTAAGTGTTCGCAGGCTGTCCTTGCCATCCAATTCATCAGTGAAGTAAAAATATTCCTGCCGGTCGTAATTGGAGTTGGTGACGGCATTCTCGGGATGATCCCTGACTTATCGCCGCGCCGTCAGTAAGAAGCGGGATGATGCAAGCAAGTCGAAGCACAGAGAATTTCAGCCTCGATCACATTAAATAACTGTACGGACTGCCCTGCCGATAATAATACAGTGCAATTATGCACATGATACCTCAACGCAGATCAATCACCACTCACTATCAGACTCATCTTCATCAGTATCAGTCGTCTCAGTATCTGAGGAGCCAAACGTATCATCCTCCTCAGCAGCCTCCTCAGCAGCAAACCTCCTCTTCAAATACTCGTCTAGCACTGCCGACTTGAACTCTATTTCATCTCTATCGGCACTCCTACGTTCCAAATCTGCAGCTTCATTGTATTTGCTCCCGTAAATCCGACGCTTATTCTTCCGCAGCCGCGAAAACACAGCCTCGCAAGCATCAAGATCGTCGGCTTCAGTAGTCTCTATGTAAGCATCGTTAGGCAGCGACCCCGGATTCGGCGGGCAGAAATCTGCGCTTTCACCTTCCTTCTGGTAGCCGCACGCCTCGATATAAAAGGACGTAATCGGCGACTGGATCATCGCCGAGAGGATCTCCTTCCACGTGCCGGACTCAAGGTAGACGCCTCTGAGAATGACCTCGTCGAGGGCTGTGGATTGCTGGATGAGCGCCGTGAAGGCATCGCCGGTTATCGACAAGCTCTCCAAGCTCAACGACCGCAAGCACAGAGGAGAGAATGCCGACTGGTCGAGCATCAAGATGTCAGAGCCCTTGAGTTTTAGAGAGTGTATGTTCGGCGCGAGTGGTAGTAGCTGCCGGATGTACTTGTCGTACTTTTCGTTTGGCATTCGAAACCGGAATTCTATGCCCTCGCCATCATCTGTGCTCTGTCCGTAGTGAAGGCTGAGATACTTGAGCTGTTGAAAAAGAGCCCTTGTTGAGTAGCCACCTGTGTCGGTGTGGTCGTCGTCCAGGAAGTAACCAAAGTCGTATGCAAGAGGTAACGAGAGGTCAACTTCATCTAGCTTATCAAGCTGAGACCTGCGCATAGCCGTAGCGAATGACTCAAAGAGGTTTGCGGTGTCCTGCACGTAGCAGCACACAGGCGGCCAGACGTCCTGCTCCCGGTTGAGGTTATACGGAATATCCTCAAAGTCGAGCTTCAACACCTTGACGCCAGAGAACTTTGGCAAGGTAGTATGGATGACGATAGCTAACCGCGCGAGATATTTCAGATTCTTTTTCTTATTCTTCTTCAACCTTGCGTCGTAAACGTCAAAGTCAGTCACAGGCTGGACTTCGACGCAGATCTCAAGGCGACGGACTAGGCGGCGCAGTGGAGGACTTTTTGATAATTGCTGAAAACGCTGTACACCGCTGCTGCTGCTGATGACGACATGCTGAAACAGCGATGGCGTGACCAGCTGGTGGAACAGCCGGTTGACTGAACGCAGAGAACACAAGTTGGCCCGAAGGTTGATCCCTTTCAGTTCGTACCGACCCAGCGGCGGATCGTATCCGCCGAAGCGATGTCTTTCAAAACCGTCGTGGACATGCAACAGGATCTATGCTGGGTTAGCAGCGGACCTAGGGAGACTTGATGGTCTAGCTTTCACCTGTTGCAGCACTTCGGGTGGGAGTTTTACGATCATGGCTGTGACAGGGTCGAGGTTGTGGGTTGACGATGCAAAGTGGACGCGTGGGCCGCAAATGGGGAGTTACCTCAGCAAGCTCAGGCCATTGACTGAGAGGGGTCTAGCCGTATTAGGACTAGTGCCATAGGTCACGTTACTTTTATGACTCCCCGAGTAAATAGCCTGAGCGTGCTGTCCACCCCGCGCATTGCTCTGCGGTCGTTTTGTATGTGGTTTTTCGCGATTCTTCAAAATGGCGATTTTTCATATTCCCCAATTGTCGCGTAAAAACACATGGGATTTACTCATAACTTCAATCAATTGTGTATCAGGTTATACTCTATCCATAAGTCGAATTGTTTTTGAAATCCCATAGTTATGTCTCGGGAAAAACGCAAAAAAGCCCGAACGAGATTGCCTCAGCACGGCCACCTAACAGGAGCACCTAGCTGTGAGTTGGCGGGGCTGTGGGTGGTTTAAACTGTGCACTCCGACGGCACTGGTTATGGACCTACCTGCTCCAAAATCCAATCGATTGTGGAACAACAGTAGGGGAATCGAATGAGGCTATCCAATCAATTGTGCACTGCGTTGTTGTGGATGAAAATGGGTTTGAATGTGGCCGTCTAGTTTGTTCCAAATGTCCCCGCTCAGGCCATTTGTTACCTCAGCTAGCTCGACCCTCAACTTGGAAACGACTCCTCATCCACGAAAAGGGTGGAAGTTGCTGCAGAGGCCGACTCTCCTACTGTATGTGAGAGTGGGTCAGCCGCAATCGATACCGATGATGACGTTTGGGAAGTTGAGGCGGTTCTTGCTAAATGGAAGCAAGGACGACAAGCCCAATACCTTGTGAAGTGGAAGGGCTTTGAGGATACAGACAACTCGTGGGTAAATCAAGGCGACATTAGTAAAGATCTCGTTGAAAGGTTTGAATTGGGTCAAAAGCGAACACGTCGGCGCAAGGTTAGGAGAACGAAAAAACGACAATAAGTAGTGGCTGGATTCTTAATCAAGTCGATCGACATAGAAAACATTATCTCCCTAGCGGTCAGAGCCCCTCATGACACCTCTGACAGTTTCTTTGGGTGATAGTCAATATGTCAGTCTTTGCTGACGGTCGCCCTGTGAGACCGATCTCAGTGATATCCATGATCCACTGATCCTAGTCTGAAAGGTCTCGGTCCTACGGTAGCGATTATGGGCCTTCGAGTCAATTTTGCCTTCCTTCATGATTGAGAGTGTCCCGCGCACTTGATTAGCTATCTGGATGTGTTGCGAATATGGCATAGAAGGCAGCTGTAGTCGTTTGCTTTAAACTTTTCTATAACACCCAATCTTGTCAATAAAAACCATCTGGTAGGAACATGCACACGTTTGTCTCGACTTAGAAAGTTGACACCAGTGCATGAATTCTTCGCCATGCCTATTTCCATCTCCAAGGAAGGGTACCCGAGTTACTGTGAGTTACGGTAACGATATCTCACCTAGGTATCGACTTCTTTCGAACACTAGCATCGATTGCGGAGACCAACTCAACATGAGATCCTGACCAAACCGGGACTCAAGTCCGAGCTAACCATGAACTGCTCAATGCAGAAGTAGAAACGGTAACGATTGGTGCAATCAAACTGCCAATATGCCCTCAGTACCAGGACAAAGAGGAAGATTAACAGGACGGCTAGATACGATATAGATCCAGTTTAGAGATTGATGCCTACTCCATATCAGGCTCTCGACTCGGGGCAGGAAATCTAGGATTGAGAGTCGTAGGGAACGGGCTAGACAGCAGCACCCAGAGGATAAATATGACGCCTCACGCACAGTGGCTAGACACGAGACAAGGTACATCAGCTGCGCAAGGGTTCTTTTAGCGTGACTAAAACAGAAGGCCGTAGATTATAGCCTAATTGGCAACGAGGATACCCACTGAGGCGCATTAGAAACTCTTAGGCTCTGTGATCCACCATACCTCGTTACCTTGGAGACTATTTTGTTGCCTGGCCTGACCTAACCTTTGGCTATAGAGGGGTAATAATAATCTCAAATTCTAGCCTTGAAGAATTCCGATCCATCCATCTATAGTGTTGTACCTGAAGCCGAAAAAAGTCCTTTAGCTCCTCAAATCTCTCCTCAAATTCTTCTTCACCGATACGAATCTCAGCGTGATATTCTCTTGGACCTGTACTTTCTTCTGAGCCTTTCTTGAGCGTAAATTTCACCTTCTCAACGTTCTCTGCAACATTGAGCCACTCGATAATGCCCTGAAATGACATAATCCAAAAACATCCATTACATCCCAAAAGCCTAGTCTGATTTGGCGACTTATTAAAGCTCAAATAGAACACGCATTCTGGCATATCTAGTTCTTAGTTAGCTACTACCATGCAGTACCCACCTCCCGCTGATACCCCCTGCCGTACACCAAAAAGAAAATTTCCCCATACAAAATGCTCATTTTCACTTGCACGGTGCTTGCCCAAAATTGAAGCTATTGCCATGAAACAATGTCTGTTTTATTGAGAATTTCATGACGTTTGATATTTTCATATGGCTTTTTTGATCACATAAGTGGTATGGTCGCATGGCATTAATGTAAAATGTCTCAAAATTCCTCCCTCATCACCCACCTCCCCGAAGTTTTATCGAATTTTTCTCTACACCAGCCTTTCTTAATCGCCTCGAAAATGCCTGAAATATATTATATAGAGAATAGTGTTATTGATGCCATACTAGATGCCACAGATAACGGCCTCTCCCAGGACCAAGCCGCCCAGAAGCATGGCATGCCTCCGACCACTCTTTCTGCCCGACTAAGAGGCATACCGTCTAAATCTGAAGTCACCCAGCCTGCCCAGTTGTTATCCAAGTCTCAAGAGGCCGGATTAGTTACCTGGATACTGAGACAAGAGGCCTTGGGCTATGCTCCTTCCCACAGTCAAGTTCGCGCCACCGTCGCTGCCCTCTTGAGACAAGAAGGCCGGGAAAGGCCTCTCGGTGTACACTGGCTAGCCAGGTTTATGAAACGTCATCCAAAGATCAAGACGAAGGTAGGAAAACGTCAGGAGGCTGCGAGATTCAATTCTTTTACCCCAATGGCCGTCAATTGGTACTTTGATATCCGGGAGAGCGAGTATGGCTGGATCAAGCCTGAGAACACAGTTAATGTTGACGAAGGCGGTATCATGGCTGGATTTGGAGAGTAGTTGTCATTTTTGTCATAAAACTCACTAATCCATTCCGAATCTAGGCTTGGATTCCTTGGTTATTGGCAGTAGCGATCCCAAGAGGAAGGCCTTCCTCGAAGGCTCTCAGTCCCGCGCTTGGACTAGCTTTATCGAAGCCGTGACTGCAGATGGCCGCCTTCTGAAACCAGGGATTATTTTCAAGGGCAAAGGACTTCAGCAGCAGTGGTTTATGGACGAGTTCAAGAAGATAGCCGACTGGTATTATATCACCTCTGAAAACGGCTGGACGGACAACCACATCGCAGTTGAGTGGCTCAAAAAGGTCTATCTGCCTCAAACCCAACCAGCGGATGAGTCTGATGCGAGGCTTATTATATTGGATGGCCATGGAAGCCATGTATCCGTGAGTATCTACCTGTTCTGAATCATAAATGTCGCTGACTCAAAATCCAGGATGCGTGGATGGCTACCTGCTTCTTGAACAACGTATATTGTTGTTACCTGCCGGCTCATTGCTCTCATGGCCTACAACCGCTGGAAAATGGCGTTTTCAATGCCTCCAAGGCTGCATATCGCAAAGAACTGCAAAAACTGGCAAGCCTGACTGATTCTGCACCAGTGGATAAGGTCAACTTTATCAAGGCATATGCCAAAGCCAGGGAAGTGGGTATGACCAAGAAAAACATACTCTCAGGCTGGAGGGTGACTAGAAATTGGCCAATTTCACGACGGAAAGCCCTCATCCATCCAGAGATTCAATCAGACAAGGAAACTACTCCTGAATCAGAGGGTCTCAGAGATGAACAACTTGACTCTGATAATACGCCAAAAACCAGCCGCCATATCAGAGATCTGGGAAAAAACAAGAGCCCTTCTACCAGAAGACGATATTCTGTGATATCGAAAGGGTTTGAAGTCCAGGAGTCAAAGATAGCTTCCCTCAACGCAAGAATCACCAATCTGGAGGAGGAAGTCGGCCGGTTGAGTAGAAGCAAGAGGAGAAAGGCCATACCCAATCCCAACAAGAAGTTCATCGCATTAGCCGAGGCTCTAGTGGCTGGTGAAACTATTTCCGAGCCAAACCAAGCAACTGAAGAGACAGGGGCTGTTGAGGATGTGATCGAGGTGGGAGGGATGGAAGACGATGAAAGCTCAAATTCGGAGGCGGAAGAGTTACCCGTGGTACGCACCCGCACAGGCCGTGAAGTTAAAAGACCGAGAAAATATTAAAATTCTTTCAATTCTAAATTGAATTCCGGGAATTCTTTTATTGTTGTTATTTTTGCTGACTTTTCCCTATGCGGTTGAAAAATTGCATTTTGCATGGAGAAAAAAAATTTGGTGTACGGCAGGTGGGTACTGCATGGTAGTTCTTATTAGAAGCAGGCCAATGGTTGTGCACCTCTGTTCTGTGCAGATGGGAAGTCATTTGTGGCTGTAAACACGGTGAGTTGGTCTCCCACAGCACTGGTAGGACTTTGGTATTGCGAGGCTGAAGACGGAGACCGTCCATAGTGAAGTTCAGTGTCTCTCCGTTGGTCGACGACTAACGTAGGACATAGAAAGGTCATGGCGGTGGTAATAGATGCCGGCTAGCAGGAGATCGGCAGAGAGCTGCTGCTAGAAGTCAAGTCGATAACCTTGGTGTAACATGACTCATCGCTCTGTGGATTGTTAGGCAACAGCGTCCTCTTTGCCACCCGGGGTTCCCCGTCTTGATCAGGGCGAGGGCGTTTCAGATTATTTTGGGCCTATTCTCAATTAATTTCCAATAGATAGAGATGAGATCATTTCGAACTGACAGAAGGATTTAATTGTGGCTTGTCGCCACTAGGTACTGGTCCCTGTCCTAACCCCGGATTGGAGTCATTGTCAGCCTGACCTGAATATGGGATGGACGGTTGGATCACACGTGGTGCATTGTCCCTAATAACTCATTAGAGGTCAAACTGGACATAATAACAGGTACACACTGACCTAGTCGAGCGGCTGTTGTGAGTCTGCTCCTCAACCCTGCGCTCCTGATTGTGTTCTTGCATGAGCGGGTGGGAGCCCCCGGCGCGCTGTGCTGTTGAGCTTTGTTGAACTAGCGGACCAGATAATCGCCCCTCCTTAATCATTCGATAGAATAGCACAATGAGTAATCGTTTGATCCTAAGCCCTGAAATTAGTATTGCGCTTGGCCGGAATATTCACCATGCAACCTACTTATCGCTATCATTTGGGTACTGTAGCTTCTGAGATGATGATTTATCTGAGGATGTCTCCGGCCAGAGGAGTGCCCCCTGGGCGCATAGAAACCTATTTGCTATGTCCTCCCGACCTGCCCTATCATCCGGGTGAGCCCACCTTGAGAGGCTGGTCTTCGAATTTCGAAGATGCGGCCGTATGTTCTTGAAGAGCCTTTCCTGATCCTCATAGTAGCCGAGCGCTTTTAAGATTGCATCCGTCTGAGGCTCATCTCTGATAGCGGGATACCTAGGGGTACCTTTCATAGCGTCAAAGTGAGGATGAGGAAACATCGAGGACAGCGGTTATTGAGGCCTTCCTGGGTTGCTTTTCCTTTTCTTTCCACAACAAAGTATCTCATAAATGAAATAGAAGAGGAAATCATATGTAAAAGAACTCGGAGGATTTGTAAAAATAGCAATGGAGTCATCCCCCCTTGAAGATTGAGGATCATAATGAAGCGAAGAGAGAGAGAGAGTCAGACAGCAGCGTCTGGAAGATAAATTGGGAGGCCTCGTGCACAGTGGCTGGATACGAGACGAGGTGCATCAGGTGCGCAAGGGCTTTTGCAGGGGGCAGGTCCCCTCAGGTGGCTTTTTTCAGTCAAAGAGATGAAGAGAAAGAGGAGGAGGGAAGAGAGTTCTTATAGCATCCCGGGAAGTTCAAAAGTGACCTAAAATGGAAGGCGGTGAGAATACAAACTCTTGTAGCATTCATCTCCTATCACAGTCTCTAGGTAAAGGCGAAATGTGTTTAGCCATGCCATTATGTTGAATTGTTGGCTCGTTATAATACAGGAAACGCCTATCGTCGGAAATTCTAACGTGGCATTTTTGTGCTCGCACCGCCTTTGCCGCACTGTTTACATCGACATTGAAGAGGTTCAACCAGTACTGGCTTGGCTCTGCCACAATCACTACAATAACCCATCAGCGGGTATTGTATGAAAGAATATAAAAGGTCTTTGATAAACTCGGGAGTATCAGCGGTTACCTCATCGAACGTCAGACCGCCGATTTGGTGATCTGGGCTAGCACTTGCTCACGTTGACGGTCTATTAATATTGAGTCGTGCTATTCATATAACCCCTTATTGCTAATGATACAACCCGTCACATGAAATTCGGTAATTTCTTCTTTCTTTCCTTACCTTCCCCTCTACATACCAAAAATTCTATGACAGCTAGAGGTGACTAAGAATCACGCAAAAAGTCTCTTAGCCTAGGTTCAAAGACCTAACCACAATCTCATCTCGCAGGGACGATTGAGTGACCGGTGTGAACGGCCTCTAGTAGCTGGATTCCAGCTGTCTAGTCCAGGATGCTATTTACATCAAAGATGAAGAAGAAAGAAACAAGTTCCTAAGCGCCCCTGAGCTGTGGAACGATTTCTCGTCCCTGGCCCGTGACAACCGGGATGAAGTTACCGCTGGACGGCGTTGGTGTTGCTGACAGCCTCGAGCTAGCCCGGGTTCCCCCTTCCGCGTCTACCTCATGTTCTCCTTCCCCTTGTATTTGTAGCTGTTCGTGATCGCGTCGATGACGGCGTTGAAGTCTGTTGAAGCTAGTGATGTGGGCAAATCCGCCTCGATCTCGGCTTGTGTACGGTTTCGACGGATACTCGGTTTCAGCTGCCGTGTATTATGACGGCTTTGGCACTGCCTTACAGCTGTTGATGAGCGCGTTGATGATAGTGTTGATGATGATGATCTCGTGGTCTCGCTGCTTAAAATTTCGATGAAAATGATGATATTGGGGATGTTATTGAGGAGTGATGTTGACACATAGGACTGGGTGATGTAAAGGGAAAGGAAATGTGGTCGGTGGAGGAATTTGAAGGTCATGTGAATTTCTACTTGGGGGGGTTGTACCATTAGCGATAAGGGGTTATATGAATAGCACGACTCATATTCTATTACTGGACGACATCGTCTGCGGCTTAGAGACTCATGATGAACGGCGACGACGGCTTCAATCTCTGGTCCGCCGCATTCCGGGCCGGACCGACATCGGGTCTCGCGAAGTAATTGAATTTTCGTCTTTCGACGCAGCGGAACAGCTCAGTGAGACATTCGCTCGAGCTCTCTCAGTTGTGAATGGCGTAGAACTTCAAACAATTCCTCGTACACCACAGGCAGGGAAGGTTGGTCATCTCCGTTTCCGAGCTATGAAGTGTTCGAGGCAGAGACGAGGTTCAATTGTGCACCAAAGCACCCGGTCGGAAAGGCCAGGATAGGAGAGGACGACGAGCAGATTTAGAGCACGCAGGAATTGTGGTAGCTGGTGAATATACAGGCCCCCTTTTCCCAGTTCATAGTGACAGTTTGCAATCAACTAGCTTATCAGTCCAATCCCATGACGCTGGCAAGGCATTGGCCAAGGCGGCTAGCAAGACCTTTTGGAGGCCGGCACGTGTTGGTGGAGGAGTACTTAAGGGAGCAACGCCGCCTATCTTTTCAGGACCATAATTTCCCCTTTTCATCAAACAAATACTCTCTATCCTTCCTCCCACTTCCCACAAAGTCGCGAATAATTATATGAACATGGATCATGATCTCAGATCAGTGGTAAGGGAATGAACAACTACGTTGATATAGCCCTCTTTAATCCTATTAGCGAGGTCTCATCCTTGAAATCGGACCAGGGTATCATGCGACGATGATTCTACCAAAAACGAAGACAGCAGACCTCGAGAAGTTGAAAAAATTTATGAATGTGAACCATGAACTCTTAGTAAGATACTTGGACACTATGAGGAAGTCCATTGCTAATATTGAATTCAGCGAAGCCGCATAGTCCAGCTCACGTCTGAATTCCGAGTGGTGTTGCCTGAGAAAAAAGATGATGACGATGTGGTCACAATTCAAACTCTTATGGAAGGCAACTCTGTAGGAGAGTCATGGCAAATGGCTATCCAAGGTTCCTCGTCTCTCATGATGAAGATTTGTCGACGCCTCCGCAATGAAGATGAGTCTGCGAGAAATGCTATCATCTGTCATGCCAGGGGTAAGGAGATGGGATTTCTTTGGACGTGCGAGCAGTGCTATGGGCGCAATATTCTTCCTGGTGGGTGCAGACAATTCCAGGATAACTTTGACGTCGCTTGCTCTGCCTGCATTCTTCAAGGTCATCAGAGGTTATGTAGTGCGAGAGTACCAATTGTCGAGGAGGAGAATTATTATCAGCCCTCAGAAGATTCTAATGGCGAGGACCAGTACCGCACAACCGAGAAGAAAAGAAAGAGGATATTTCAGAACGTAAATATTGTGGATGGCGAGGCGCGAGGGCAACAAATGAAGAAGAGAAAGTGTAAGAAGTGATGGGGCGAGCACTGAGACACGACGCCGGGCCTCTCAGGATGGCACCCGTAGACGCCGCTGGCAAGCTGGGCGCCGTGGTCACAAAATCTGTTCGGGGTCTGGGTTCCCTGGGGTTGTTGCCCCCAGTAGGCGTAATAGGGATCCGATGAGTACGGCTCTTGACCATGAAGCCTAGGAAGGTGACGGTCGTCATAGTAGCCGCCTCGCTAATCTGGGGGTGGGTAGGCCGGAGAGCGAGGGTCAATCTGAGACTAGAGCGGTGGATAATACGGGAGCTGCTGCTGAGGCGGGCCCTGCTGGACCGGAGGTGAGTAGCCGTTGACGGCATTGGGCGAAGCATACCGTGGATCGGGGGGATAACCACCTCCTGGAGCAGCGACGGGTGGACGGGAGATGGGCGGGAGGGAGATGATGGCGGGCATCGTTGCCGGGATAAGAGGGCACGATCCGAGTGAGGTGGAGGATGCTGAGGTCCGTTCTGGTTCTCTTTGGTGGCGGCAGTTCTGATGATACTCCTCCGTTGGCCGCGCTACGTCAGTGCCCAAGAGTAACCTCGGGATGTCCATCTCCAAATGATGAGAATTAGTTTCAGAAGAGTGTATCGAGAGCGAACGTCGAAAGGGTACAGAAGTTATTAAATAAGGTAGACAGAGGCGTGGAAGGGTACAGTGCGAAATTAGTAGGATGGCCCATTGTCGTGCTGTTCCCTGTTCAGGGAGCCGACTAGCATACACTTGGCCAGGGGGTGGGAGTGGCGAACCATGGGATGGGCCACGGACGTCTTGTAATGGGTCGTAACTAATAAGCTCTTCGCCCGTTATCATCCTCCGGGAGGAGGATTGAGTGGCGCACTAGATCTGTGCTTTTCGGATCATTTCCGTGCCGTAGAACCCCTGAACTGGGATGCCCTCAATCGGCAAGGCAGGTTTTGCCATGTACCAGGGAAGCAAACCAACCTCTTATCTTCACCAATTAAGCGCCGGTACTCTTGGTTGATTCCAATTCATGACTGTTCTTTATTGGCCTTTGCAGACGGTGAGCTGTAATGATGGAGTGGGGAGACAAAATCAAGCTTCATAGTAACGAACCCATTGACAGTCCGGCAGCCTGATTTTGACAGAGGTAGTTGGCTATACTGAGACCACCCTGCGCCTAAATAGGGAAGTCATTGTTGAGCCCTATATACAAAGATTAACTACAGCTTTAGCCATCGTGCATCGACCAGAATCCACGCATGCAACTGCGGGTTGTATGCAGAAGAGCTCAAGTCACAACTCCTCTCTCGTACCCTACGTATCCTGTCAAGCCGCCTCGCGTCTTCCTTTGTTATTTATTCGCGCATCGTTCATCATTTAAAACGTCGTGAGACTGCGAGAGGTGTTAACGAATGGCGTGTTGGAAACACTATGACGGAAACTGTTCAATTCAATATCGTCCAAAACTAAACCTACAACATATGCTCTCCATTCTTTGCGTGGTTCTTGGCTGACCCTCTTGCTATATTTCTGCAAAAGTATCATCCTGTTAATTTTTGAGGGATGTCCTCTATCTCTATACCTCACACCAATACTCTATTCAATGATACGAAATGCGATAAGCCAGGCTGGATTTGATCCATGTAAGCCTCTCCTACTTCTGAGACCTTAGACCAACTCAACATGAGTAAGCCGATAAAATCGAGACTGAATAAGGGCGTTGACTAACAAAACGGCACTTGTGAACACCGGATGAGCTCCATTTGGAAGAGAAGTTAGGTGTGGGAGGCCGCGGATATACCGTACACTGAGCCACAAAGGCTCCAGTCACTGGGGGGTCAGTATTATTAACACACACAGCCAGGTCTATTTCTCAGAATCACCTCTTCGTACTCCTTGAAACTGTATTGTCGTGTAGCGCCCTGGGCCTAGCTGCGGGATTACCGAATGAATTATTGCCCTCACAGCATTACAGTTCGAGTTCAGGTCATGTAGAGAAAGGAAGATGGCCATTACTTATGAAGAAAGATCGGGTTAGTATAAAGATACGTCGCATTGCAGAGTATGGCAAATCGGAATTTACACTCCACTCAGGTGTAGTACTAGATTGGCTTCTACTAAAGGACCTACTCCAGAGGGGAAAAAAACGACATCAACGTATTCAATACGACAGGTACAGATGGTGTATAAGTCAAGAGACCCTATGAAGTAGATCAAAAGTGTCATGGATTGGATTTCAAAACGTGTTGAATTGCTACGTCTAAGTAGTTGAGTTTCTAGCCAAAGCTACTAAATAACAGCAACCATTCTAATAGGATGCTATCTTTAGTCCCACAGTATACCAGGCTATTCAACAACCCTGAGGCTTGAATTTGCCTCCACCTCTTAGAAAATGCTTCAGCTGGTTCGCGCAATGTGCAGGATAGCTGTCATCAGCGTCAATGTGGACCAGCCGTGAAGAAAGAATGGGGGTGAATCAATGCGTCCTATTGGCTTGTCCATATTTCCGCAGATCCACCGTGTCATTCTGAACACTCGTAATTGGCTTATTAAGTACGGGGCTCATACTAACAATCCAATCATAATTATGTATTATGGCACAAATAAAGACTTATCATTGGCTTATTTTATCTCCCTTTAGCCGACCATTATCCCCCAAGAACGTGACACTACGATTGGTTTGGCACAATACATCCTCCCTCGCCCCGCCGTTTCGAATAATCCCCTCAAATTTTACCGACCACCAGCGCTCCGAATCCGATCCTGAAGCTTCACTAGGGCGTGCAGGTCCCTTCTGCATGTTCGTTTCTCGATGTCCAATCCAGTCCATACAAACGCTTTATCGAAATTACCGGTATGTTCAGCAATGTCTTGCGGATAGAGTCCGAAAATGGGTCCATGTTGACATGCAGCCAGGCTGTCATCCCTGACCATTCATCAGCACCACCCCTCCGGAAGAACTCGAAGACAAGACCACGACACAACCGCAAGAAAAACAAATCTCCCGAGGATAAATACATTACCCAGCTGAACGAAGCCTGGGGTCGCACTCCCTGGCTGCCTCCCGGTGTGCGTCCACAACGAGGCCCAAAACTAGGGCCACATTCATTACGAGCACTACTTACCGTCACACAAACCGCTCTGGATAATGGAATCCACCTTGAAGACATTTGGAAAACTGGGCACTATATGAGAAAGGAGCTACCAGGAGACTCTCCGACCTTCACCATTCTAGCCTGCAGGCGGGTAATTGAGAGCATAGAAGCAGACAGTCAACGCCATTCGGTTGTCGAATCTATTTTGCCGTCCGTCGAGGAACCGGGCATGAATTGCATTGAGGCACATGGATCACCAAAAAGCAGTGACGAAGGCGGAGACCCCTCAGCTAGCGACCACAGGAGTCCCCACAACCAAGATTGGGTTGACCTAACTCAGGATGAGTCCCCGGATCCACACGAACGCCCGACAAAAAGACTCCGCCAAGACGATACCCTGCCAAGTGTCGATAAGTTACAGCATCAACTCACCAATGAGGTTGCATTGAGTGATGATGTTATGGACCTCCTATCCCGAGTTCTCATAAACCTGACCCCACCACAGTCAGTCATACTTCGATACCCCCTATGGTTCCAAGATCCAGACTGGAATCAACTACCATCAAGGCCCCGTTCCCTGAATGCCGGGTCCTTGCTCTGCTTCCCCATTCATCATAAAGAACCACTCCATTGGACGCTGGCTATCATTCGAATCGATAACGACAAGGCCATATGCACCTTCTACGACTCTATCGGGAATGAAGAACGTGCCCAAGAGGTAGAAGCTCGACTACGGCAATGCATGGGGAAATGGGCTATATCACAAGAGCTTCTCTTTGAACGTCCGGTTTGTCTCCCATACGCCACACCTCCGATATCTGAAGCCAATCGAGATTAACTGAACTAGGCATGTGCTCAGCAGGATGACGGAACAAGCTGTGGTGTCATAGTCCTGAGCAATATGTTGCGCATTCTTCGTGGACAGCCGGTCCCTAAGTCGATTGAAGATCCATCAATGGAGAGGCAGACGCTACTCTCCTTGTTATGCAACGCTGACGGATCTCGCTTATCTCCAGAAGAAAATTCCCTCCTCAACGACTTGAGAAAACATGCCATCATGCAAGCCTCGCAGGATAAGCTCCAGGAGCTCATTCGTGCCGAAGAGCAGCGTCTCATGAAGGCAACGCATGCCCACAGCGAGGCAACCGCGAAACTAAGTCAAAATAAAGGCAAAGCCGAAGTGATGGAAGATTTCCGTGGATTATCCCGTTCTCTCAAGGATCAGATCTCCTCTGGTTACGAAAATACGAGAGAAGGCGGTGCTCCTATTGACAGCAGCAATAACCAATTAGAGAACGAAGAGGCGACCACACCCCTCCGAGCCGTAAGAAACCGCTTATCTTACGTGATGGATAAAGCCCTTAAAGTCGCGCGTGAAGAGGGCCACCAGGAAGGTGTGAGAGGATGTTTGAGCAAGGTGGATGAACTTGCAACAGGCATCGAGAGCCAGATCCAAACTAATTCAGATGAAATAAGCCAATGCTTGGCCGATATTGAAGATGCAACGAAGAATTTGAGACTGTTCAAAGAGGTATATGAACTTAAGCAGAGGTTGGATAAACTTGACACACTTAGCGTATATAGGTCACTCTCCTCTCATACTTAGGTAGGCTTTAAAACATAGAAACATGCCCCAAATACTTCAATGCTATGTTATGTAATCTACATCCCGTCCCAAGGTTAGCTTCCATCTGAGAGAGCTAGTTACGACAGGTTTCTTGGCCGCTACATGCGATTGCGCAGTGCGACATGGGAAACGAGCGACAAGGCACTCGGCGGACGCCAATGTACTAGAATGCCTACTCACATCAAATGTACCGTAAATAGGTCTACCACTAGTGAGAAACCTTGATTACCCCACCAAGAGATATTTTCGGGCTGTCAAGATTGCCAGCAGGTCGCGCTACTGTAGGCTGCGTGTATTCCTCTCTCAAATGGCGCTCGGTGAGCATCCTGTCGGACAGCGTACGGCACATTCAATCCAAAATATTAACGCTCAATAGGGTGTGGAGACCAAAGATGATGATTGTATTGATCTAGGATGCCTCCGGCCCCCTCTTTTCTCCAGAGGGGTTTTATGTCATCTCACGCCCCCTCCCTGACTAAGGTTAGGACATCGATCTATTAGAAGTTTCGTAATACAGGGTCACAATCCAACAAATCCCATTAATCGATCATCTCTGCATACTGTACCATATTTTTTATTCAAACAGTTCCTTGTCACTACGTCCACACCAGGTCAAGCGAGTGTAGAGCAGCCATGGCACGTCTCCCGCTGCCTCATTAGAATCTGGACAAGTTCCAGGCAAGCTAGAAATGGATTTTCCTGTACTTATTTAGACAATAATTTCTGAGTCGGACGTATTTGGCATCCGTTGATATCTAGATAGCACGATTACAGTCAATCACAATTCATTACGCCTGGCGGCTTAAGCCGAAAGGGCACTAAGTTAGTTACTAATATAACCATACATTGCCCAAATTGTGTCCCTATCTCCTTAAACCCTTACTGTGTCCGCTCCTTGCTTATACTTCCTTACCCATTGGCTCTCTCTCTCTGTGTGTGCGGGTTCCCGTGGGTTAGTAGTGTTATTAGCGAACTAGCTTGAAGCCTTTTCTTTAAGTGCTCAGTGTCCAATCTACGGCGGCTGAAGCGCCACGATTATAGTATCGGAAAGCAATATCATTTTTCACCTTGACGTTCCAGGACCGGTTTTCCAATTGTTTGACACTAAGCCTTCGAAATGGTCCTAGTACGCAATGTTCCGATTCGAAATACCTGACGGACTATCGATAACCGCTGAGATTTGTGAAACCTCTGAAGCGCCGGGGACATAGCCCTTTCAACGGGCTATTATATCAATGCTCCACTCGCTGCTACCAGAACTAATGGAGGCAATAGACGACATCTAGGGGATTGGATATTTTAGTGTAGTATTACTCCCTATTAAACGGTTAAAGGGATATTTATGAACAGGATACGGCATATTTCCGTTGGCGTAATGGCTCTGGGAATCCGGTGTCTTTATCCACCAGCTCCATCTTATGAATGATAGGAGATCAGGAACAAAATTCTAATGAACTGGGTGCTCTAAGGGCGGTTGATCTTATGATAGCAGGGGTTTCTTTCCAAGGCCAACTTAATATCAGAAGATTAATGTTAAATCAGGGCTATTTAAAGTTAGTGTCTATTCTGTTTCAAGCAGGGCATGTTTTTATCATAAAATAACGACCGAAGTCAAGTTCCACTTTTGCCGTACAATTCATTTAACCCAGTGCCATTTTTGGCCGACGTGACTGAGAAACAGGCATTGGTTTGGATAAGTCTGTGGCAGCAAGCGGAACTTGATTTTGCCGCCACGATATAAATCGGCTATGGTCACAATTGATTAATTTTCTCTTTACACTGAAAGGCATCCAGCTGTTTTACAAGTTCTCAATGGAGGCCGTTGAAGATTTTCCCACACTCCGCGCGCGGATGTTCAAATACCAATGCACTTCAAGGACTTGGCAACGCGCATACGAAGCAGAGTTGAATACTAACCAGTACCTCTCCGTGGAATTATACCATATAAAGGCATTACTCGCTGGAACGGAGTCGCGCAGCAAAGTTGTAACAGAAGAAAATCAACCACCAAACCTAATTACGGAACACCTGGCACTTCCCACTTGGTGCCCATCAAGTTCTTGTGCTTGAATTATCTAGATGCTTGAAGATATCGATCCTCCGACTTCTTATTAAAACTCAACTGACGTGGTAGGACATAACTCGGAAAGGGTAGAAGTTCTCCAAGAGGAGAAAATGGTAGTGGAGTTGTTCACACATGGGCAACTTACTCTGTTATCCTGTTGCTTGTTCTGTATAACATGTTAATATTCTTTATTCTGCTATTCTGTTATCATGTTATGGCTCTCACACTAATCTGTTATAATGGAATAACAGAATAAATAAGATAAGTGGAATAAGGTTTTTTTATTGCTTTTGTCACATCCAACGGACCAAAAGGTCATACATTTGATCAAACCAGAAAGGCTGTTCACTAGCAAGTCGGAAGTCCGAACGTCCGGTCAGAAATTGGTGTCATTTATGTCTCCCAAAAAGCAAGTTCTTCGACACAACGGCCCCGGTGGCCCTTCACCCTAGGTATAAGAAATCGACCTATTTTCCATTCATTAGAGAGAGAACCAAGAGCTTCTGTGACAATTAATTCATCCCTGAATGCGACGGCTTTTTATTGCCGCAGGCATCATAAGTGTCGGGAAATTTTCACATTAAGATAACAGTTTCCATCTCATACCCATCGTTATTGGAAATACAGTGTGGTTGTTGAATTCGTCATCAAACCTCCACCCTTCATATAGAAAAGGAAAAGAACTACAACCTTGCTCGTCATCCATCTCCACGAGATTCTCAGTGCAAAACCCCAGTATTCGTAAAGCAGGTCCGAGGGTTGCATGTCCCGAAATGGAAATAAGAGTTTCCAGACTTTGTCGTTCAAACATGACATAACGAGGCTTAAGAAGCTTGGCCTATATTAAAATTTGTAAGCCAGCCGTCTAGTTGGAAGTCCAGTCTCGGTCGGACTGGTCTATTCTATATATCAACCCGAGCCCGCACACGAGCTTGGACAGGCTAGAGATCATTCTTGTCATTATTCAGACTCTATTATCTGTTGATTTGCGCGACTGGCGAGAGTTCCGCTAGGCTGTAGCGTCCCACCACCTAGAGCAGCACCCGTTCCCTCTTCGTATTCAGCTTGCCACAACTAAAAGAAATCAAATACTAAAAACGTTTAAAAATTCACTAATCTGTAAGAGTACAGAAAATGTAGTAGAGCACTATATACAGTTACATATAGTTCTTTCAGTTAATAGTCAGCGTATCCAGTCAAATGCAATTATATTGGTAAATAGCCTTAGTCATCTCGGGCAAAAGGCGTCCTCCACTGGGACTCCACTAGGACCCCACTGGGCTGCAGGAAAGCAGAGGAGAACCAGTACGATGAGTGAGTTTTACGGGTAATAGTGGAAAAGTGGAGGAGCCAGCTATGACAGCAACACATTGGATTGGCTCTCTTCTGCTTCCTGCGGCTCAGTGGGGGCACAGTGGAGCACGCCTCTTGCCCGAGATGACCGAGTAGTTTACGGTAGCTTCTTTCTGTTGCCTATTATCCCCGCCCACTACCTAGTAACTGCGCCAATACTTCCTCGCGACTCAGCTCCACGTATCGTTCCGGCTCGCCAGGGGCCGAGACATTGAACACGCCGCTATGTGTGATAGACACCTCCGGGTTGAGATCTGTGATATTGTCCAACGGGGTCTGGTATCCTTCCACGACCGGGTCTCCTGCGACTACGGGGTCGTTCGAGGTCGCAGCTATCCTAGTAGATTCGCTGTCGACATTCGCCCTGGCGGCGCAGTCCTTCTTGTGTGTCTTCCAATCCGCCTTCTGGTGGTCTTTCCCACAATAAGCCACGGCCGAGCACCGCGAACACCACTTCGCCCCTTCCGTCTTCCGACATACGTTACAGTGTGCAACTTTGTAAGAAGTGGTGGGTCCCGGTAGATTTCGCCTCTCGCGCTCTTCGTTGGCTTCAGCTGTGACCTCTAGCGATGCTTGCAGTATCTGAGTTCTGCAATGCTCCTCTCCACACGCTGGATAAACCCAGACGAGGACCATAGGATCACCCGGTCGGTGAAGCCAGGACTGGGTCGTCTGCAACGCTTTTACCGTAGGCGACCCACAGTTTGCACAAGAGGGGCCCGACATCGCCTTACAGGCCGGTTCGTGCTCCTTAAAGATGGGCCGCAGTGCGTCCGCAAAACGCTGTTGGTATTCGGCATCGGATTGTGCCAATCGAGCATCGACGTTGAGGAGACTACGTGGGATTTCGTGGACAACCCGTAGCTTTCCGTCAGTCTCCATACAGTGGAATTCGAAGCGAACGGCTTGCGTCGCCATAGTAATGAATATCGAGGATCGAGGCCCTGCACTGCCGAGCTTTGATGTAGATCCGATCTTGCTGACTTCTGGCGATCAACTTTGAAGGAAAAAGGACAACCGAGGAAGACGCGATGCGAAACATGTTTTAGATCTACCTGGCTCGGTGGGTAATTAAGCCGAGCGAGCCAGCCACGATTTTTAGCCACCTGTTGGATTGTGACCCTGTATTACGAAACCTCTGATAGATTGATATCCCGACCTTATGTTAGATGTTGGAACATGACCCTGTATAACGAAACCTCTGATAGATTGATATCCGGGCCTTATGTTAGATTGTGGCTGTGTATTGCATCAAGGAGGTTGTTCAGGTATCAGAATACTGGGATATCTGCATCTATGACTGAAGATGACGATAAAACCCCACTCTGGAGGAATATGGAGATGGGAGTCAACGAGAAAAGAAGAACAACCAAACATATCATCAAGAATTGATTTACATTTATCTGGCTATCCCGAATCTTCACTAAAGACACACCGCGTATCCAACAATTAAGAGTCTCATTTCGCTTTCGAGCCGACTGCGTACTCCAAGGATACGCGACCAACGATGACGTCAAGTAGTTCCTCTTCCAAGAAGGTGCTGCTGCAAACCTTCGAAGACTGGGGACGATGGGACGAAGAATTCCAGACGAAGGCCACAGGTCTGCACTTATGGGCCTCTATAGACCCAGACAGTGATGAAAGTCTGATGGCGAAGCCCAGCAGACCACAAGTCGAGCTATACCCTCGAAGGATCCCTTCCCATACTGCGGACCTACAAGGGAGACAATCCCGAAGCAGGGGCCAGTCGAGTCAGACCCAGAGTCAGAGTCAGTCGACAGAAACGACCGATCCAAACCATAAAGCTCGCAATGTGTCAGAGCTCACGGCCGAGGACAAGGCTTCCTTCACGTTTGAATGGAAGATCTATGAACAAGATTACCGAGAATACAAGGAACAGGAGACCAATTGTGAGAAATTGAAAGCATGGGTTACAGAGACAGTGGATTATGGTCTACGTCAGAGTTCCTGTCGTGCAATGTGGAACCTTCGTACCTGGTATATCAATCTAAAGACCAGCGTGGGCGCCACTGAGCAAGAGCAACAGACAGCAGCACGACGGAAGTATCAGAAGGCTACAGCTCTCCTCACCAAGGTCCCAAAGGACTTTCCAGGATGGATTACGACGTGGGAGATGGCTACCAACCATGCCTTGGCCAGAAAGACAGGAGGCGTTGAGAACCCAAACATTTGGTTCGATGACCTCACTAGGACTATCCAGCCAATCCTCAGCAGTTGGGTCACTATCTATGCTGGGATCTATAAGGATAAGCTTGAAGATATGAGCCTAACAATTGGAGAGGTGGCAAAAGATCTTCGAAAGGAAGCAGAGAGACGGAACCTCCTCCAGTCAAACGAGAAGAGCTCAAAGGTCACCAGAGGCGCATTTGGTCCAACATTTGCTGGCGCATCAGACTCAACAACTCAGACGAACCCAAGCACAGAGGAAGAGGAAGCTATTACTCACGCTCCGGAAAAGAGTACGAGGGGAAAGCGCAAAGCAAAGCAGGAGACACAACCACGGAAGAAACGCACAATAGACGCCAACGAGGCTCATGGAACCTGCCTAGCGTGTGACGGCAATCATCAACTTGAAAAGTGCTATTATGCTTTTCCAAAAGGTGCTCCAGAGCACTTTCGAGGAAGAAAAGTCATCCGCGATGCAGTTGAACATCGTCTCAAAGTCAACTCATCACTGAGGAATGAGATGGAACGCATCAAGAAAACCAACCAGCCAGAAAAGAGTCAATGACTTGGACGGAGTGTTGGAGAATATGCAGCAAGCTTTGTCATTATTGCACTCAACTCAGGATTCTCCACCACTCCCTATCCACTCAAGAACTCAGCAATCCTCGACTCAGGAGCGACTATCCACATCTTTAATAATATCAACCGATTTGATAATTACATCACTGCTGAACCAGGAGACTTTGTCTTTGCCGGGGAACAGCAGGTTCAAATCCGTGGGTACGGCAATGTCAAAATCCTGACTCAGGGACCTCAAGGCATAAGGGTTATACAACTGCTTGATGTTGCGCATTGCGAAAAGTTTCCATGCAACCTGGTATCATTACGTCAACTCCACAAACAAGGGTACTGGTGGGACAATCGACCACAGGTCAACAGCCTTCGATCAGCAAGTAACTCAGTTATCTGCAAACTCATCGATCGGTTTGGCCAGTTTGTGATTGAGGATATTCCAGAAGGAGACCCGAGGGGTACATTTATTGCGTACAGACACATATTCAATTCATGGACCCTACGACACCCGGCGAAGGCAGATGCCCGAAAATGGCACTTACGACTTGGACATCCTGGACCACAGGCACTTGAACATCTTGTCAATACGTCACGAGGGGCAAAGATAAAAGGGATACCTACAACTGAATGTGACGACTGTGGTGTCTCAAAGCTCAAGCATCAAATACGTCGCCAACCCCGAGACGTGGGAGACATTCCAGGAGAGCGATTAGCTATTGACTTTCATGACTTCTCAGCAACGTCTGATGGGAAAAGAAGTCTAATGCTAGTTACTGATCGATGGTCCGGGTTAATATGGGATTACTACCTAGTTTCCCGACAAGCATACGAGATTATATTTGCTCTTAAGGACCTCTTTAGCATCCTTCTACGCCAGTACCAGATCGAGCCGAAAGTGGTTGAATGCGACAACGAAATCGTTAGACCTAACCAGTTCTCACAAGAAATGGGCTTGGTCTTTCAATTCCTTCACGAACTGGGTATTACTGTTGAGTACTCAGCTATTTATACCCCAGCTCAAAATGGAGGGGCTGAAGCCTCTGGGCGTATCATCAAGACTAAGGCAAGAGCGATGAGAGTGGGCGCCCGCCTACCGGAGTATTTGTGGGTTGAGATTTATCGATGTGCAGTATACTTATACAACCGAACGCCAAAGTATATGTATAAGTGGCAGACTCCATACGATCGATTTCACACCTACTATGCGCATAGAGATGGGATTGTTGTGGAAGACCGAAAACCCTACCAAGCTCATCTTCGGGTATACGGATGCAAGGCGTTTGCTATGACCCCAGATGCTCTAAAGGGATCTAATAAGAAGCAGAGATTAAACCCAAGAGCTTGGATTGGGTTCTTAGTTGGATATCGATCCACGAACATCTATAAGATCTGGAACCCACAGACTGGAAGGGTTATCTCAACGAGAGATGTCATCTTTAATGAGGAAGATCTCTTTAGTGGGGATATCAATCAGCTAAAGGATGACTTATTACACATCAAGCGACAAGAGTTAATTGAGCTGCTCGACCAAGTGGAAGAGCCTGAAGCGGATCAAAACGCAATGGCAGAAGAAGATCCAAACGGAGCCTTAATACCCCAAAACAATTGGGAGGGCCTTTTTGGAGAAGACGAGGATGTCGATACCCAGCACAGTTGGGAAGACCCCGCTCTCCAGGAAGTGGATGCAGACACGGGAGCTGAACAGTCAGAGGCTGTGCCTGATCAGCCAGCTGGTACTGACGAAGGCTCTAGAGTTTCTGGGGTTATGGAAGCCGATGCGGGGAAACCAGAAGGCGGCACGGAAGATCAGGCTCAGCCTGGCACCGATGACCAAGCCAAGGATTCTGATGCCCAATGCAGGACTTACCCGACCCCTGTGTCTCTACCACCGACGGCACTTCTAGCTATGGCGATTGAAGAAGCTTTAGACGATTCTCATGAAGACTCAGCTATGGATAGTAATGTTGAGAGGATTGAGGTATGGAAGGCAGCATTTGTGGCAGGACGTCAAGCCAACCTGATCGGAACATTCGAAGGTGCAACAATCGATAAGGCTAAGTTCCAACGTCTATTAAAGAACCCACGATGCTTGCACAGACGGCATATGCCTCAACTACCCAGAAGCCATGGAGATCTACTGACTCATCCTATGGGAAAGCTATTCGAGGATGCAGAGAAAGCCCATCTACGCAGCCATGCAGAGATGAAGTCCTGGACAGAGATCTCCCGACAAGACCCGAGAACAAGATGCAGTCAAGTCCTTGATTGTATGTGGGTTTATGTGTACAAATTCGACAAACACGGTCGTTTCCAGAAATGCAAGGCTCGCCTAGTAGTGCGAGGAGACCAGCAACTCAAGGCAATACACGAGGAAACATACGCATCAACTTTAGCAGGACGGTCATTTAGGACTCTGATGGCTATTGCTGCTCGCTTCGATCTCGAATTGATTCAATATGATGCAGTCAATGCATTTGTAAATGCAACACTGGACAAGGAAGTCCTGATGCGCATGCCACCAGGCTATCGGAAACCAGGAACTATCCTACTGCTCCAGAAAGCATTATATGGGTTAAGAGAATCTCCACTGCTATGGCAGAGAGAACTTACATCTACGCTACGAGAGCTTGGATTCAAGACCGTTCCCCACGAACCTTGCTGTATGATGAAGGGAGGAGTTATTATCTTCTTCTATGTTGATGACATCGTCCTCGCATACAAAAGGGAGAGAGAGAGCGAGATCCAAAGCATCTCAGAAGCCCTGAAGAGGAAATACCAACTCACCGGAGGAAAGCCATTGCAATGGTTCCTTGGGATTGAGATTATCAGAGACAGAGAAAAGAAGCTTATCTGGTTATCCCAATCTGACTATCTGAACAAAATTGCTAACCTTGTGGAACAATCAGACAGACGTCATGATACACCTATGAGACGGGAAGAACTTCTGGAGTTCTTGGGACGTGCTACCCTGGCATCCATCCGACGGTATCAGCGAAAGGTCGGATCGATACTCTACGCAGCAGTGATTACCCGACCGGATGTGGCATTTGCAGCTTCAAGACTTGCCCGATTTAACTCAAATCCAGGACCCGAACATCACGCAGCGGCCGACCAGGTGTTATTATATCTAAGGAAGACAAATTCACTGGCCTTGCAATTTGGTGGAGAGGACATTTTTACAGTAGCAAGCGACGCATCATTTGCTGACAACTCGACTGATCGCAAGAGCTCCCAAGCATACACTATGAGACTTTTTGGAGGGACGATTGGATGGAGAGCCAACAAGCAGTCAACAGTCACCACGTCAACCACAGAGGCAGAACTGCTTGCACTATCACAGGCAGCCAAGGAATCAATGTTCGTCTCACGACTAATCAAGGAACTGGGAATCAGACTGGATGAGCAGCGGATACGAATACAATGCGACAACCAACAAACAATCCAACTAGTGACTAAGGACATCACAAAGTTGCAGACTAAACTTCGGCACGTCGACATACACAATCACTGGCTGAGGCAAGAAGCCCAGCTAGACAGGATCAAAGTGGAATACCGGCCTACGAAGGACATGGTTGCTGATGGACTTACCAAAGCCCTAAGCAATGATACATTCCAGAAGTTTGTGGAACAAATTGGACTCGTGGATGTCTCCAAATATCTAGGAACACGACCTATCACAGAGATCAGGGAGGAAGAACTGTTAGAAGGAATGGCAAGGCTGGACCTTGACATCGATACGGCAGTCTCTGCTTGACAGGCCTCGACTGAGGGGGCGTGTTAGATTGTGGCTGTGTATTGCATCAAGGAGGTTGTTCAGGTATCAGAATACTGGGATATCTGCATCTATGACTGAAGATGACGATAAAACCCCACTCTGGAGGAATATGGAGATGGGAGTCAACGAGATCAAGAAAAAAAAAGAACCACCAAACATATCATCAAGAATTGATCTACATTTATCTGGCTATCCTGAATCTTCACTAAAGACTCACCGCGTATCCAACACCTTAGTCAGAGGGGGCGTGAGATGACATAAAACCCCTACGGTCGCACATTACCACATGGGTGACATAACCCTTTTGGGAAGCCTCAACCATGTGGAAATACTTAGTAATTTTGTGCCCCCTTGCAAGACTACAGTACCGCGCACTATCCGGAAGGTATCTCTTCATTTAGATGGCATCCCCACCAGGGAATATGTCGTGATAATTCCTTGTGACGCGTCACAATTCTTCCACTCACACATCCACACCAGCGTCAATACCCAGCCCATCGCCACCCCATAGCTGTTATGGGCTATCCCCATCCATTCCCTAAGTAAGCTCGGGTCTATCCATTATGAGATTGTGCGACTGACCTTGTCTTGTACGTAGATATGCCCGATCACGTCCTATCGCAAACATGTCCCGATATTCCGAAGACCGTGGCCCCTAAATCGTACCAACGGAGCCACGATTTTATCCGCGATAGCTACCCAGGGTCGAATCTGTGTCCATATTGCGGGAGACGTTGGCCCACGAGTATCTCCATCCTCGACAGCTCGCCAGTCCCGTTTCGAGACGTTGAGACAGCTTCCACCTCCTCCGCTATACAGTCTATCGACCTAACAGCCTCTGATCGTTCCACGCCCTCACATACGATCTTCACCGGCTCTGGAGACGGCCCTGGCCGTATCCTCGCAGCATCGCGGCTCTCCGCCGTGTATCGAGATGCCAAACTTACCCAGAGTCGGATCGCGAGGGGCATGAGGGCGAGCTCGTCGCAACTCAGTGAGGTTGTGGCTAAATAGAGCCAAAACAAGAGCAGACGGAAGATCTCGATGCGCCTCACCGCCTTCCTTGCGAGGCCTGACCCATGAGAAATACTAGACGAAGACGAGGAGCCCCAGTGGTCTTTGGCTAGAGAGCTGCTGAAGGTCGCTTTGCGCCCCTTCGTCGACGAGGAACCATCTTTGCCTGTCCACTTCTGGTTCGACAGCATCTTCTTCCCTCAGTTCAAGGACAAGCCTGCCCTCTCTTCTGTTCTTCAATTCGACAAGAGACTCGTTCAGAACGCCCATATTAAAGAGGGTATCACGGAGCTGAGCGACCTCGGCTGGGAGAGAACAGACAGTCGCAGAGCTTTTCGGCGAGGTTATCATGCGTCTCAGGATGACCCCGAAATGTGACAAGTGCATGTGGGACCAAATTATCGAAAACTCAACTGCACATTTAGATCTTTCTAGAGATAGCACGGACAGGCACCCTCATCAATTGTTGACAAGAGAAGCTCACCATCATCGTGAACGCCCCCGCCCCCGCCTAAGAATACAACGTACAGTGTGCCCGACCAAAACAGCTAAAATTATGGAGACACAGGTATGACAGCATATACTAAATTCAGCAACAGCTAGGTGAGTCTACGCAGGCACTGATTCAACCCATGAAAAGGAGGTTCACAAGCATTGCCCTGGTTGTGGGAGTTCGCGCCCGACCCGCGGCTCTGGTACGGAGTGGGCACGCCGCTCTGATTGGACCGAACTTGACCGCCCCGCGTACGTATAACATCACGTGAATCGACTTTCCTCCGTCCGCCATTGTGACTACCCTAGAGCCAACCCTTCTTCTCCAAGGGAGAGAGGCCAAATATATATATGTATAGGGAGAGGGGCGACTGATACATGGGCACCTACAGTGGGTGGCAATAAGTGTTAGCCCCCTGTCAGGTACTGATAGGCAATTCGCGGCCCCAGTATATAGCCCCGATCAATCGGCACATTAGATAGAACGATGAGGCTCCTTAGCTATCAATAACAACTTGATTACCTCAATCTACCTGACTACTACGTATCAGTCCGATTGACCATTATCAGACGCAACACCCCAGTGACCCCACGACCATCGCTCGACGACGCTCCTGATCTTACTGCCAAGATAAACCCCACGACCGGTTTATCCCTTGGATCCAGACCGACCGTTACACACATCCTAAGACGTCGAGACACGACAATATGTTGCCCAATCATCAAATTTTAATTTAATTTTGCTGCCTTTCACCGATAACCGCCGTGGCTGATAGATCCCATGATCCCAAAATATTTGGCATGGCTGCAACGAGATAGGCGTGGCAGACTTCTGGTGGTGGATATTGTCAGGGTTAGCAGTGCGGGGCGCGCTGGCCTATTGATCGTCAATGCAGGTTTCGAAAATGTGAGGGCACGATTGGATGGGACCTGGAGGTACAAGGAAAACTTTTTTATGTTTTGGAAGAAACTTCACAGGTACAATTTGTCAGCGTACGTTCGGGAACTTCAAGGTGCACCCGTCGTAGGGGAACTCATGCCGCGAAGCCGTGTTGACATCTTATGAAAGTGACCCTGAACTAGTTCCCGCAGCCCGCAATTTAAGATGAGACGATAGAGCTAGAGGACAGGACGCGTTTGTGGGGAGTGCAGGGGCCATGTACCCTATTCGTAGTGCGATCGTAAATTTCACGATGGCATGAGTACCACCACACGTCCGTCAGGATGAGACTCGCCAAGAAACGCGGTCCGACGCGTACGCCCTTAGACGTAGCATCCTTGCACGAGTGAGCGGGAAAAGGGACTTGTGTCCCGCTCCTGCAACCCGCTGCTGTTCTGGGCATTGATGTACCCCACCTTGCCAGGTCCATGTGCGCTGCCCGTCGTTCGACTAGGGTGAACTCCGATGCAAGCATAGTCCAAAAGGGTTACTTTGGCTGCAGACATTCGATGCCTGCTCATCACTGTTGAAAAGGAGAGCTCAGCTCTGGACACACTCGGGTATGATCGACATCTCCCAAGCCACAGTTACAAGTTCGACCATGATTTTGCTTTATGCCTACAGTCCACCATAAAGTGTGCCAATTGTTTGTGACCCACTTGCCGCCTCATCTGTCCTCCCCGGTGACCCTAACCCCTGCTCGCGCCAAGGTCCACAGCATTACCTCCCGCGCGGTGGGGAAAAAAGCGATTACCTAGCCCTGCATACTCCACCAAGACTGTGTTAGTATTATGTTATCTCCCTGCCATGTGCCATTTATTGTTTCCCCCACTGCCTACTTCCCGTTTTTATATCATAGCTCGGCTTGTATGGTTTCCATTACAGTTTCGAGGAGCTATGCCGACCTCTTCCATCGTCAGCGTCCACGACTGAGCTCGCGGGCTCGCGTAACTCATAGCTTCAGCCCACCCGAGGGGGTTTCTCTCGGTATGGGGATCGTGTTCCTGAGAGATCCAATGCCCCTTCTCCCAGTTATCCCATAAGAGATACCTTAGGTACAGCGAGGCGGTGTTTCTCAGCCGCCCGTTCCCCTCCGCAGGTGACATGTAGCTAAGGAACCTCTGCTGCAAAGGACTAGCCAACCTAAGTACTACTTGTGCAGTGCCATTATCGATCCCGGTTCGACCCTAACACCCATTGCTGGGATTGAGAGGGGAGTTGGGCAGGCGGGTAGGTCATCTTGGAAACGGGATTTTCTGCTGGGAGCACCCTTTTGGGAGAGAGACAGATGATCATGGTAGCGAAAGTATGGAAAGCATCGGGTACAAGTGTACCCGTCTGCTCCATGGTTTCAATTCAAGATTTGCCCATCTGTCATAGACACTTCATATGAAAGCTAATGCCCGCTGGCAAGAATAATGTACATTGGATTCATAAAGTAGTGCTAACAGATAAAGCGTTAAGCAACGGTAAATTGCGTGGCTGGTACGGAAAGGTAGTTCAGCCCCGGCGGAAGATACAAGTGCATTACGGTTAGCCGATAGCAGGGTTACTGATAGCAGGGTTGCCGAGAAGGCGAAGTCACTGCCAGAGAACCGGGAGCGTACAGTACGTGACTCGCTATGTTAGAGCTAGTGCTGAGTTATACCCAAGCACACGCCGCACGGCTCCGTCGCGGTTTGGTCGCGTTGCATTTGGCCCTCCGATAGCGTCAAATTCCAGTTGGATATCTCCACTCGGCGGCTGCTCAGACAGAAACGCGTCTTCGCCTGCCTCCACCGTTATGCCTACCATGGATGCTCTCACAAAATGCTCTCTCCAAAATTTTAATTTTATGATAAATAGCGAGGTACACACAGTTTGGTTGTCCTCGGACGCGTGGCATGTGTGACGCGCGGGGATCATGTTTACGCAGCTGGCGACCTCGGAAATGCTGCACCTCTTGCTGATAATGAACTGGCAACTACTCTCTACGTTGGCGTGGATAGCGAACCCTCAAGCTATGAACGTACGCCAAGCGGTGTCGCAGGAGTCCACTATTGACAAGGTTCTGCCTCTCCCGCTCTGGTTGTCGCACAATCTGCCAACACTTCGCCACGATTACTATTAGCTCGATGCTTACGAATGTCTTGACAGATTTAGGCGTTTCTATCAAGTGCACTCACCATCTGTGCGCAATCCGACAAAACCGCCGATGAACTGCCCAGCCAGGTTCCCAAGCTTAGGGAAGGAGGTATCAAGAAGAGAAGGTGAAGTGAGAGAAAAAAAGGAACTCGTCTTGTCAATTTCGCAGTGCATAACCATTCGATTCACTTTTCGTTGCTTCCTTTGCTTTGAGTTTTTGGTTCTCTCTTCGCCCTCTGCCTTCCGGATGAATGCTGCCCAGACTCCTGAGCACCTCCATGACGGGCATTTCCTGAGTTCCCGCCTTGGCCTTTTCACACTTCTCCCGCTGGCGGAGCTGGAGGGCGCTGATGCTGAGGACCTTGCCCGCCTCCTTTCCCGCGACGAGAACCCGTTGTTCGAGCGTATGGATGTTGTTGGCGAGCTGATCGACCTGGAATTCGAGCGAAGACTGGATGTTGCGTAGCCGTGATTCTGTTTGGGATCGAGTAGCCTCAAAGGAGGTCGTCTCGTCCGCCAAATAGCCTCTGATCTGCCCTTCTTCTGGATCTAACAGATCGAAGTCCGGCAATTCAATCCGACCTGTTTCGCTCTCATCAAATAGAGGCGGTTGTTCAAGTGGTGGTCTAGGTGGTGGTTTACGTATTGCTTGCCAAGCCTTCTTTTCATCTCGTAGCCTCTTGATGTTGATCTCCAACTGTGCTAGCTTCTCGTCGAGCTCAATATTTCTCGGATTTGGTTTCGGGATCACAGGCGCCTTGGGTACACTGTCATCTCTGCTAAACCAATCCGAGAACTCTGATCGAGCCGCAAAATTTTTGAGTAGGTGATCTTGAATTGCACGAGCGCCGAGAATCGCATGAGCATTAGGCGTCCCATGAGGGGGCTTTTCTGACAGAGAGCGCTCGCCACACCAGGTCAGAAGCTGCTTCATTCTTCGCGGCTCCAACAACGAAGCTTCGATGTGCTTGAAGAAATCAGCCGGATTGACCTCGCGATGTGGAATTGCCGATTGTCCGCCGTCGATGAGAGAACTCGCCCGTCTCCCCCTCATTCCCAAACTGCTTCGTCGGCTCCCACCATTCCTCATGCGCATCTCCTTGTTCCGATTGATCACCGGCGTGTCGCTCATCGGGAGCGCAATCTTGGAGGGCACTACACGCGGCGGAGGTGATTCATCCCAATTTGGCACGGGGCGTTTCGGCGCTTCTCCTGCATTGCGCCCGCGCTTTATTGACGTGCTATTTGTCTGCGGCGTTGTCTCTTCCCCCGGCTATTCCCCGATATTCGTGCGCTCCTTCGTGTTCCTCTCTTGGGGACCTTGAGTGGCGGTTTCTCCATCGACGCGTCGACGCTCGGTTTCTGCCTTGAAGACTTCCTCGTTGCCTTGGTTATCACAGGTTCCGTAGTCGCTACCGTCGCCGTTGTCTCCTTCGTGCCCTGGTCTACAGGTGCTAGATCCTGGGCAACGTGTTCCTTTGCGGCCCTTCCCCGCCCCGACGTCTTTGGAGGTTCTGGTGCCGGCCCCTCGCGCCTTTGCGTCTTCACCATCTTCGACTTCCTCACAAACCGGAAATCATCATCCCGTTCGTAATCGGCGATGGCTGTTGTTGGGCCGCCGGCGCCTAACATTCCCTGCATCGTGGGCTCATCGTGCAACCCATCGGCGGCGCGCTTGCTCGTCCGTTGCTCCGCCTGGTTGCTCGTGTTAATAATCCATAGCGGCCGGCGAGTCGTCACCACAGTCGTCATGAGCAGCGTATTGGGGACCGCATGCACTCCAAGGCTTTCGCATTGGGCTCTGTTTGAAGGCGGGGCAGTTCAAACTCTCGGTCGTATCGCATGGCCCGGAGGGTCGCGTCGCGTTGTGCTCAAGTCGCGCAATCAAGGTTCCGGTGCAATTCGCAATGGCTCGGCCATGCTCGGGGTAATGATGGAGGTTTGCGGGTCGCGACGAGGTTATGATGGTTGGGGTAGGAGCCAATGAATAAACGAAATCTATTCCGTCCGGGAGGCAAAACCTCATAGAACCACGACCGTAAGCTATTTCCAGTTCGAACAATTTACTTCTGGTCCCCCCACTAAAATAAATTAAAAGCCCCACATTTCTCTTACACTATTGGTCTCACCTGCTTGAAGGCCAACTTCTCCCAAGTGTTCAGCTGAAGCATGGCCTGCCAACTTGAGGCTGTTTGGTGTTAGTATCACCAAGTTTGGTCGCTACGTGTGGATAGTGAGTACGCTGTCAAGTCTGGCTAGCATCACGTCTCCTTGTGTCCATGGCGAATTGAATCGCTGCTTGCACCTCTAGAATGGTCCATCGGCAACGTCAGAATGTGTGTTCGGATTGCCATTGAGCAGATCCTTGTTAAGCGCACCGTGTACCTTTGCCCTACCAAATGCTAGATTTTAGGGTGCCTCACTCCATGTAGGAGCTCACGAACTCGGCCAGATTGACTGGTCAGCTTTGCTGTAATATACGCATCATAATGCATTCCCGAACGGTTGCATCGAAGAACTCTTGCATATTGAGTGTCACGATTATAGTCATGTCTATCCTGGAGGAGTGTCCAATGTCATACATGAGACACCCGAGAATGTTGATGGCCAAGGGTGCTGGGGGTGCGTCTGGTTGTTGTTGGCTGATCACCTCCTGTATAAGTTTGGCTTAGGCGATCCGTTTTGCCATCAACTTCTCTTGACCTTGCCAGGGCAAGAGAGTAGTGCGATTCGCCATGAGAACGCAGTACTGTCCATTATTCTAACGTATCGGCATCTTGGGCTCATTCTGTCTCAACATAACAACCTTCTCATATTTCGCCGGGTCCCAACTGTGGTCCACATCGTCTGATCAAACGTTGTATCGCCTTTTTTCGGACTTCTGCATGCGACATGTCCTTGAAGGGCGAGTCGTATTCAACATTGCCGTGATCAATGGGCACAGATGTAGGACGCTCCATTGAAGACTCGGCCCCTTCATGCCCCTAAAGAGGTGGAGGCGGCCCGCTCTATCAAAGATTCCATAAACGGCTGGCGGGGGGGTCGACTTATTCCAATTCATTACCCAACCTACCTTAAAATATTTGTTTCTGATCTCGAAGGGAACAGTCGCTTCGGAGGATAATCTTGGCCCCGGTCTCGTTCTCGGTCCTCGGTGGCCGTGGCCGTTTCTGTCCGACACACGTCTTGGTGAGGTTGTATTTGCTCGGCGAATGGGATCCATGGTTCGATCGGCGGTCGCAGCAGTAGGCCCATGCCGAATTGCGCGTGGATAGGTCATTTTGCCACCAGGTCTCACTCTCGTTCTCGGTTGCTGGTGGTGGCGGCTGCCGCTGTTGTCTAGATTTGAAGCCGTATTCGTTTCGGGAGGAGCATCGATTTGGGCAGCGGTCGCAGTCGTCAGACGAGCAGGTGCAGGAGACCCACGACGTTTGCTGCCTAGATAGACCACTGAGTCACCGGAGTCATCGGGGTCGTCGGATGCCAACATATGTGCGATGAGAAGCGGAACGCAGCTCTGTGTAAAGCCGGAGCGCGAATTGGGAAATTGGGAGACAATTTTCTGAGGAGCAATGGGGACTGTTGCAAAACTCCCTGTCAGTCCCTTTTGAGTCTAGGCGCCCCGCCCCATGGTTGGTCGAGTACTTCGGGTCATCATGGAAAATGTACTGCGGACAAGCAGCGAGCCCGCGCGTTATCTTCTCTGAGAGTCCGCCTCTACGGTGGCACATTAGGCATGGTCCACCAACGGTTGAAAACACAAAACCGCAAAGTTTCTAGAAAATTGAATATAGGGCTGCAGCCACTATAGCCCACTATAACCTGCATGTTTTATAGCGGGCTATAGTGGTCATAGCCCTATATTTTATAGCGGGCTATAGTGACTGCACCTCGCCCACTATAACCCACTATAACATCGCAAGCTCTAGCAGCTGCAGCCCTCACTTTCGCACTGAGCTCCAGCAGCCGCAGCCCTGCCACTTGCACAGGGCTACATTGGCTGCGACCTACTTTAATACAGCGGGCTATAGTAGGTGAGACACGTGGTAGCCTCTAACGCAGAGGTATAGGGTAGGTCCATCCCAGTACGCTGCCATATGCGAGACTAGAGCTTCCAAAAGATGCCGATTTTCAGCAGAGTCGAGTACTCAAGTTCGTGCTTCCCCGTCGCCGACGTGTTCGGGCGAACAAAACTGTCGATCGAGTTCTCCGTTCTCCATCCCAGCCAGTCGAGTACGAGAGCAGCATGGTGCCGACGTGTCGCGACACGGTCACGACCAGCCCCTACCATTCTCGCCTGCATCGTACTGCACAGAGCTTCATGACTTGGCCGCCGCAGGCCGTCGAGTCACGACCTACATTGAGGAGGAGCTCGACCTGGAGCGGCCGGCCAGCATTCACAGCTGACTCTGGGGGGTGGCCTGGCCCATACCGCTGCACACTGTATTGGGGCGCCCGTGGATTCTCGCCCATCCACATCAAGGGTTAGAGCAAGTACTACCTATGCTGGCAGATTTCAATACTGGAGTGTCGTTTTGTACTGCTTAGGATTGAAGCTCCTTTTGTGGAGTAGAGATATAGAAATACACCTGTGACTCTGTCACACTTTGTGATGGATTGAGACTCATAGAAGCTCTTGATTTCTATCTAATTGAGGGCTCATGACAGCTTCTTTATTCACAGAGAGGTCTTGCTGCTAGAGGGGCTGTTATAAGGCTCTTGAAACAGTTGGTGAGGATCTGACGGTCCTGAGACCGGACCTAGAGGCTCCCTGTGACAGACTCAAACCAACAACCGTCAATGCATACACGCGGCTCGAGGCCCTAGGGCGAAGTGTATGAAGGCATCCACTGCGGCTCTAGTTCCTGCATTTGTCCATCTCGAAGTGCCAGTTGACCCATCTATACTGTTTGACGTAACTTATTCACGAACTCGAGACGACCGCAGTGCCGCCTTCCGGCTGCGAGGCGTCCTCCTAACCGTCCTCCCGCCAATTTCCACCTGCGTCCGTCCGCTGAACGCTACCGCAGGCAAGGAGGCTTCGAAAGGATAGAATATGTGCTGCATTTGTACCTGCATGAAAACATGTCCGTCATTACCCTATTCCAAGTACCGGCGCAACGGAGCTTCAGTGCTTCGTTAATAAATGGTCCAAAAAGCGATCTTCGCGAACATATTCTACTCCCCTTGGCTTGCTGTGCTTTAGAGGACAAGAATAAAGGCCTCGACTATTTTAAATTCAGAAAGACTTGGATTTTCATCCTTGGACTTTGAGTTGTTCGCTAATTGACGAAGAATATGCGGTGGAACAACAAACGGCCGTACGCCAAATCGGGGCGAAGTTACTCGACCTAAAGCCTGCGAGGTTGGTCGTGCACTTGCTGCTGATGATTTCCGTGCTTGGATGGCCGTCGAACCAGAATTTCCTAGCAATGGAATGCGGACAGTTTGAGACAAGGTGCGCTCCTGGCCGTTACAGTCCACCAACGAGGTGACTGTGCCATGCCACTGAACGGTGGGGGGCTGAGTTTGTAGTTGTCTCTTTGGATCGATTGGTGGTAGCTCGTTTTGTAATGTCTCCGACGTAGGCAAGCTCGCGACGGACTGTGCGTCGATAGGTTCCAAGTTCAGAGCACAGAGTGCAGGCAATATGGGACGTGATTGAAGTAGCGCACTGGTCAAGTCGTAGGAACCCCTTTGGCTCTCTTCGCGAATTGTTAGGGGTCCAGTGCCCTGGGTTTAAGAACCATCAAGCGGCCGAGACGGGGCCGATGCGGGCTGCCTCAGATTGTGTTGCCGCATGATTCCGGAGAAAGTCCTGCACTGATTTGAAATATGGGACGAGAGAGGAATTGGAACCTTTAACGTCGAAAGTCCGGAGGTCTCCGGCAGCCACCCAACCGACTGAGCTCCTCTCTGGAAATTTCAAGCCGTCAAAGTACATAACGGGAAACTCACGCTTCGCAACAAGAGGCCCGCCATTTTCGTATGCTTCCTGCCACTTGAACTTTTTCATGCGTTGATCATAAACATAGCACTTTGGCACATGATCCATAAGACCCAGGCCCTCAAGTGTGTCTGGCACGCCAACATTATCGAGACGATCCTGGGGGAGGAGAAGCACGGGCGACCAATTTCTGGACATTTCCCAGTAAGCGAGATAGATTTCGCCCGGAGTTGGGTGAATTACGGCATCGAAGTCCTCATGTTGTCGTCGGCTGCTGTCATCAGCGGGTTGGCCCATGCCAGCTCGGCGGCGTCTCCTATCGCATGTAGACGGGACAGGACCTCTCTTGAGCTCATCAGCCACGATACTCGCAACCGAATGTTTAGATCCACTCCTATACGCGTCCAGAGCCACGGAGTTATTTTTCTTGGCCAGAATCGCGTTGCAGCCCAGAACCTCAATGCCGAGGTGCCTGATGACCACTGCAGGCGCTCGCGACATCCGACAGTGCTTTTCACTCCACAGATGCATCGCAACGCCCTTAACCGGGTGGTTCTTAAAATTGAGTCCATGCTCGTCACATCGAAGAATATACCATGGCCCGTCTCCAGTTGGAAACTGGACAATGATGTGCTTGATTGGAGCATGTCCAAGTTGGTAGACGTCCTCAAATTTGATGGACTTTTTCGCTATTCCAGAGACATGTTCCCCGTCAACCTGATGACGTTTCCGCTGGTACTATTTTGGTGTGGTGGTCCGTCGTCGCTTACGCTACACATGTTAATAGAAGATCTAATTTGATAGGAGGTATAGTATACTCACGGCATATGATGGTGTCCGCTACATAGTCGGCGACCGGAGTACATTAGTTAAGCTCAATTGGCAACCGCGCAGAATTCCTGGCCGCTGGCTGTGTACTCTCCGATGTCGATGCTCGGTTTGCTGAAGCGGAGTCATCCGGTGTGCCAACGGGGACGGTTTGACATGACTTTCGACTCGAGAGCCTTTCCAGTGACGTCTGCACCAAGGATGATCCAAGAGTCACGATCAAGTTGTCGCAAAACCTCTTCATGGCTGCCCACCACTGTTGTTCATAAACTGTCACCTCACTCCTATGTCCAAGCTCCAATGCCTTCAACTCAGCGACATATCCCACAATCGCGTCTTGGAGTCCAGGCAGATCTGCTGCACTAGGGTTCGAGGAAAGATGTTCTTGGGCCTTGGCAATATAAGCGTTCATAGCTGCCACCTTCTCTTCATATCCGTCACGCGACAATTTGATCGCCCCTAATGCCTGTTTGCATTGCGCGACACACTTCTCCACCTCACTGAAAATGCGCACGAGCTCCGGGGTGGTCATCGTGCCTGATGCTAGAATGCACTGTGTCGGTTAACCACGCGCGCGTGCTCGATTGATTGAATGCTCTTGGCAATGAAGGCGTAAGCGTGTGGCGGAAATGTGCGATCGTGTCAAGGCCTCGTGTGTCGGATATTGATTGGGATTGGCGTGTAGCAGAGGGTGCATGCAACATCTTATTGAGATGGGAGGAAAGAAGTCGAACTGGACGCTCGATTGGCAGAGGTGATGAGCGGCGCTGTTTGGCGAGGGGCCAGAGCGGAAGTGGGTGTTGGTTGGGAGACTGGACGGGCGCAGCTTGCTTTATAAGGAACTGTCGGCTTGGAACGCGACACTCTAGGTCATCACATCATTCGCCAACAAGGTATGGTGCCAACACAAGTAGCGCCTCACGGAAAACTACCCTGAGTTTCGCGAAACTATCGGCAGGTTGGCAAATTGAAACTTCAGAAGTCTAGAGGGCGAATTCCCCGAAACGGGCTGGACTGTTGAAGTGGTAATGATGCGGGGGTCATGCTAAAATTGACTACATATTACGTGCATACGGCCAGCATCATGTGCGAAAAATTGGACAAGAAGCACAGGGGAAAGGGTCCATGCGGCAAGGTGGCAATCCGGTTTTCGCCGAACGACTGCCTGTCTTTTGTTACATTTCCACCGACGGTCGCTCAGGCAGAGCGAGTCGCGGTCGCGTGGGTGATATGATGCAGCTTGCCAATGAGAATGAAGGATGGTAGACACTCTGGCGCGCTACGTCAGATCACAATGCCTGGCTCAACCGAACATAGTGGGGCAAACGCCGGCGAAGCTCACCCGGCTCCGCCGGGCCGCGCGATTGGCCGAAGTGTTGGAGCAAAATGCGCATCTTCATCCAAATCCCCCCTATCGCCCACCGGACACCATGGCGAGACCGTATTCCGGTTTGGAGGAATATTCGAGGATTTGTCTTGAAATCTCTATATCTTCTCACTTCAAAGAGTTGTGTTGTGGTGGACTACCCTGCATCATGAGTTCCCTGGAGAGTGCGGGGACCGTGGTGGGGCCGCGGGGTCGCATATCGACGCCAACAGGGCGCCGAGTCATGAAACGCAAAATTGACGACGAAGGGAAGGAATCGAACAAAAGCAGCCGATATGCAACAAGAACGACGACGAACGCGAGAACAATTGAAGTGGAATGTGCGACCGACACGAGAAATGGAAACAGCAGCGACAGCACCGACGAGGGAGGAGCGACGCTCCAGAGTGCGTTGGATTATTGGGCCAGTACCGCGCTGAGTTCCAAGGGATGAAGGAGGCGATCAAGGAGCAGAGCGAAACCATCCGTAACCAGCAAGAGACCATCCGAGAGTTGAAGGAAGCAGCCGAGGGGCAGCTGAACTGTATACGAGATTTGAGCCAATGATTCGAGGACACCAAGCAGCAGATGGGCCATGACCTGAAGCGAGCACACGAGCTGCTTGAAGCTATCGCCCCGCCGGTCTCTTTCGCTGACGTCATGCGTTCGTCACCCTCATCCGAGCCTAGCAATATGAGGACGAACGTCTCTAACAACACCTTGGCATCGTCTTTGGCAAATGAGCTTTATTGCACGATTGACACGTCGCGGGTCGAAGAAGGGAACAGAGACTGTGCACAGGTGGGACCAATCCGGAAAGCCATCGAAAGTGAGATGAGGGCGAAGGATGGCCAGGCGGCCTGGAGATGCGCGGCAGTTGTAAGGGATGCCCGGAGCGCAGAGCGAGTCAAGGTCATCTGCAGAGATGAAAACGAATTGAAGCAGGTCAAGGAAGCCGCGCAAAAGACGGCGGCCGTGGGAGTGAGGGTGATGAGAGACCAGCTCTACCCGGTCAAGGTGGACAACGCCAACCGAACCGCAGTGCTAGACGCAGAAGGGAACGTCCTACCTGGAGCGGCTGAAGCGCTCGGCGCTGAGAATAATGTCAATATTGCCAAAATCTCATGGCTAAGCAATAAGGAATCGGGAAAAGCGTACGGGTCGATGGTAGTGTACGTCACGAAGGGGTACGACGCGATGCGGCTCGTGGACGGACACTACTTTGACCTAGCCGGGGAATCAGCGTGCACAAACGTCTTTGAGCCACGCAAGGGACCAGTACAGTGCTACAACTGCCAAGAGATTGGCCATAAGTCGTTCCGGTGCATGAACCCTCAGATTTGCGGAAAATGCGCGAGACCGGGGCATCATCACAGGGAGTGCCAGGCGGTGGAACCGAAATGCGTGCTGTGCGGCGGGCCACACGAATCGTTCAGCCGGAACTGCCGAGTGCGGAACGCACGCAGCGATGTGTAAGACCTTCCGCATCCTACAGCTCAATGTACGAAAGCGAGAACCGGTACAACAAAGTTTGATGAACGACGTAGACCTCAAGGACTACGGAGTGCTGGCGGTTTCTGAACCGTACGCAAAAAAGATCGAAGGCAAGGTGGTAACGAGCCCTGCGGGGCACAGCAACTGGACGAGGATGATACCGACGCACGATGCGCCCTGGCCGATCCGAAGTATGCTCTGGGTACGAAGCGACATCGAGGCGGAGCAGGTGCCGATACCATCAGCAGATCTCACGGCAGTGGTGCTTCGACTGCCAGAGAGAGACATCCTGATGGTGTCAGTGTATGTGAAGGGGAAGAACACAGAGGCGCTGACATCTACAGTTAGAGTGCTGCATGGCTTGATCCAGCGATTCCGTAATGGCACCGGTACGCGTACGGATGTGGTGCTGGCTGGAGACTTCAATCGCCATGACCTACTCTGGACCGGAGACGAGGTGTCGGCAAGAAGACAAGGCGAAGCCGAGCCGATCATCGACCTGATGAACGAGCACGGCCTCTGCAGCCTCCTTCCGAGGGGCACGAAGACGTGGCAAGGCCCGGACAAAGAGAGCACCATCGACTTGGTGCTCGCAACGTCGGAACTGGCAGACGAGATGGTGACGTGCGCCCTCCATCCGACCGAACACGGGTCAGACCACAGAGCAATCCAGACGATATTTGACATCGCGATGCCCGAGAGGATCACGACACAAAGATTGCTGTTCAGGAACGCTCCTTGGACTCTTATAAGAGCCAGAGTGGAAGATAAACTCCGGCCGCTCCCCTGGGCTGTAGACGTGCAGACGCAGACGGACCAGCTGATGCGAGTCGTCATAGAGGCAATCCACGAGCTGACGCCTCGAGCACAACCTCCACCGTATGCAAAACGCTGGTGGACAAAGGACCTAACACAACTGCGGCGGGCATACACGTTCTTGCGGAACCAAGCGGGCGCAACGGCGAGCAGGTCAAGCGCTGCCAGACCTGGAACGACGAGCCAAGGAAGCAGCCAAGGAGTACCACGACGCCATACAGAGCCAGAAGAAAGCACATTGGGACGACTTCCTGGCCGACGATGCCAACATCTGGAAGGCCGCCAGGTATCTCGAACCTAGCAAGGACACCATGGGCGACAAAGTGCCACCCTTGAAGAGAGGAAATGGATCTATGACCAAGGACAAGGCAGAACAAGCCGAGGAGCTTCTCGGCACGTTCTTCCCTCCCTTGCCAGGGAGAATAGAAGATGAAGGAGTTCGACCACAGCGGAAAACCGTGCCCATGCCGGGCCTGACCCTGGAAGAAATCGAAGAAAAAGTCATGGCAGCAAAACCATGGAAAGCACCCGGCGAAGATGGCCTCCCGGCGATGGTGTGGAGACGACTCTGGCCGGTGGTAAAGTACCGGGTGTTGGCTCTTTTTGATGCGTCGCTTAGAGACGGCATAGTGCCTCGCCAATGGAGAAGTGCGAAAATCATCCCGCTGAAGAAGCCGGACAAGGGAGACTACACGGTAGCGAAGGCGTGGCGACCGATATCGCTTTTGTCAACCCTTGGTAAAATAATGGAAGCGGTCGTCGCTGAGCGCATCTCCTACGCAGTAGAGACTTACGGGCTCCTGCCCGCAAACCACTTCGGAGCGAGGAAGCGACGGTCGGCCGAGCAAGCGCTCCTGCTCCTGCAGGAACAAATTTACAAAGCATGGAGAGCTCGCAAAGTGCTCAGCCTGATCAGTTTCGATGTTAAAGGCGCCTACAACGGAGTGTGCAAAGAGCGACTACTCGAGAGGATGAAGGCGAGAGGGATACCAGACAGACTGGTCAGGTGGGTGGACGCCTTCTGCTCCGGGCGAACTGCCTCGATGGTGGTGAACGGGCACACGTCTGAGCAGCGAGAGCTACCCCAAGCAGGTCTCCCTCAGGGATCGCCGCTGTCACCGGTCTCGTTCCTCTTCTTCAACGCAGATTTAGTGCAGAGAAGGATTAAGGCGGAAGGCGGCTCAATTGCATTCGTGGACGATTACTCGGCCTGGGTGACCGGCCCGACCGCGGAGGCGAACCGGGCAGGCATTCAGTCGATCATTAACGAAGCGCTCGAGTGGGAGAGACGCAGCGGTGCAACGTTTGAAGCGGACAAGACGACAGTCATCCACTTCACGCGAGTCGCCGTGCGCAACAGTGACAGGTCGTTTTGGATCAAAGAGAACGAGGTCAACCCTAAAAACAGCGCAAAAATTCTGGGAGTGGTCATGGACGTAGGCCTGCGGTACCAGGAGCACATGGCTAGAGCCGCCGCCAAGGGGCTCACCGCCGCCATGTGTCTGAGAAGGTTGAAAATGCTGTCTCCGAGGGTGGCGAGACAGTTATTCGTAGCGACGGTCGCGCCGGCGATGGACTATGCCTCCAACGTCTGGACGCACGCTCGCCGCGCAAGAGAAGCTGCCTGGCTGAACAAAGCGCAGTTGGTGGGAGCGCAGGCAATTACAGGAGCGTTCCGTACTGTCGCAACGGCGGTGGCCGAGGCCGAAGCCAGTATCCAGACTGTAGAGGAACGACACAGACAGGCCGCAACAAGATTCTGCATCAACCTTCGGACCCTTCCGAAGACACACCCGCTGGCAGCTTTGAAGAACAAGGCAAGCAAGCGATTTATATCACCAATGCAGAAGATTGTCTCGGCGGTGGAAAGGGTCCATACGGAGCGGATGGAGGTTATCCATGAGTATGCGTTGCCGCCATGGACCAGTCGCATCCCAGTGGTGGTCGAGGACGACCTAGCGAAGGCAGCCAAGGCACCAAACGACGTCGAGGGCATCATCATAGCAACGTCTAGCTCGAAGAAGGGCGGCATAGTGGGAATGGGAGGCGTCGCGCGCAACGCGACTCGCAACAGCGCAGGCGAGGTGGTTGCCAGCTATTCCGTCACTCTCGGGCCCGGAGACGAGCAGAATCCGTACACAGCGGAACTAGCAGCAATAGCGATGGCGCTGGAGTGCACGCCGCCCAGGCTTCCTTTTCGGGACGTAACAGTCATGACGAGCAACCGCTCGGCCGTGGAAGTGATCAGGAGGCCTCGGCAGCAATCCGGTCAATGCACTATCCGTCAGATATACGACCGCACCAAGTGCCTTCGGAAAAGAGGCTGTTCTGTTAGAGTCATGTGGGTGCCGGCTAAGGCCGAAGGTTTTGCGTTGGGACCGATGGCCAAGGCAGCAGCGCAGAGAGCTACCAAAGCAGAGTGCATGGTAGAGACACCGTCGTACCAAGCAAGGTCTACAACACTTCGACTGGCGCTCCTCCAACAACGGCAGTGTGGGCGACTTCCGGAAGGCGTTGGACAGTACTCGAAGCGCATCGACAAGGCGCTGCCGGGCAAGCACACCCGTGCGCTATACGACTCACTGAAAAGAAAAGAATCGAACGTGATAGCCCAGCTTCGGACCGGGATGATACGACTGAACAGTTATCTTCACAGGATAGGGGCAGCGGAATCGGACATATGCGATTGTGGACAAGCAGCAGAGACGATTGAGCACTTCCTATTCCGATGCAAAAAGTGGACAATACAACGGGAAGTCATGTTTAAATACTCACGAACAAAGATTGGGAATTTGTCATTCTTCTTGGGAGGAAAAGCTGCATCGGACGACGAAAAGTGGAAGCCAAACATGCAGGCCGTGCGTGCGGCAATCAAATTTGCTATCGCGACAAACAGGCTCGATGCGGGCCAGCGGCCATCGACAAACTAACCTCTAGCGTGCGATTATACTAACAAAATGCAGCCTCAATTTGGCAGACCGTGCTTCAGCTGCTGAGAATAGGATGCTGAACACTTGCAGAATTTGGCCTTCAAGCAGGCCTGTCATGGAACAAGCAGCGACGAGGTTGAGCAGCAAGCGATGAGACGACGATCCGTGGGGCTTGGGGTGTCAGGTACTAAATGTACTGAAATGTGAACTAGATTGTGTCAAGGCCTTATAGGGACTTCCCTCCGGGCGAAATAAAATCCATCCATCCCGCCGTACGTACCCATGTCATGCTAGCGCCCTTTCATGTCCCATGTAATTGAGTTCGTCGGCTGCCAGGCGACGAATTGCAGTCTCAGGGGTAGGTGTAAGATTTCGACCTTTTGACTTGACAAATGCAGTTGGGGTTCTAAGGAGGCTTTTTAGGTGAAAGGACATGTAACAAGGATTAATAGCGAATGAGGAGGCGACAAAGCGTCTTTTCACTAAAAAAAAGGAGTGTAATGGAGATGGGATGTAGAGATGTGGATAGCTTCAGATCGGGTTCGCAGCAATTGACTTTCCTTGAAGTTGCGGATCCGCAGCTATTACATTCCCCAGCCAAAGGCTATTTTCTATGCTGTTGTAGCTGGCCGGATCTAGTAATATGACAGATTATAATGCTACCCGCTAACTCATCCCACAATCTCAACATCAAACCCCAGCGCCCTGACAATTTCGGCGTGGTCATCTGGTAGTGGTACCCGTTGTTCCTTGACAGTTATGTTTCTCCCGCTTGTATCGTCCAAGTGTATTTCCATACCTCTCTCGGCAGGACCCCCAATTGTTTGTGGCCATAAGTCGAACCCATACCGCACCTTGAGGCCATGGTTTTGACCTAAAAACAACCTCCCAAGCTTTGCCATGGCGCCATCCATCTTCTTCAGTTTTACGCAATGATATCCAATAAACATAATTGTTTCCCCCTCATAGCATCCAGAGTACCAGTACTTACTGGAAACTCGATGCTGAATGCTAGCACCAACCTCTACCCCCAAGGAGGGATTAACAAGCACCTGCTCTGTTACACTATTCGTTCGTGAGTTTCGAGACTCTACGGCCGCCTCATAGTTTACCAGCGTGACGATATCTGTAACGAAATACCCCTCATGATTCTTACTATTCCTCAGCAGGTCGACCACCTGCTCCAAATAGGCTCTTTGTTTTAGGAGTTCCTTGAACTTCTCGCCTGGTAAATCCATATGCCATAGCAGCGCTTTAGTTACCATTGTTGCATTCGAACCCTCGTGGAATCTCTCAAGAACTTCGTTGACCGAGGATAAAACCTTGGTGTCTTTGATTCTATGCGTCCAAAACTTGATATTCCGGACCTGGGTGGGAGGGTTCAGTTTTAATATGATGTTCTTTGGCAATTTTTCGATTTTGTAGGGGACATATCTCTCTGTGGGCATATCTGGATATTTGACGACACTGCCCATAAGATTATCTCGGTACTCCACTGCATCTAAAGGGGGGTGTACTTGATACAGGGGCTTCGTGTGGTAGTGAAACATTGCGCTAGGTCGTGTATAATCAAGGGTGAGGTCTGCTGGAAGGCACGTTTACAGAGGTTGGATGGCCCCTTTACGAGTGGTGGCTAGCAATTAAATATGGCGTCATACTTCGTCAGTCCCTCGCCACCATATCATCATCCTGGTCTCGATGCTACGCTTCCGTGTCTCGCCTTCTGATGCACCAATGAGCCATGGGGGCTCACTGTCATGCGAGTGACGTGTCGACGCCCAGTTCGAGAGGGCGGCCATTAGCTTGATTGCCGTTCGGAAATATCACAAGTCACTACTGGGCTGGTGGAGACTGTGGGGTAACGCTTGTGGTTGGGCATTTTCCGCATGCAAGAAGGCTGGAGAAATCCGAAGGATTGTACGGATGCTGTTCTTAAGGATTGGAGCGCGCTACCCCATAGGGCCTTACCTATTGGCTAAAGTGGTCAACTGCGGTTTCCCCTCCTTTCCTTGCATACTGAGGGGCTGCAATGACAGTGGACTCGGGTTGCTCGCTGGCCTACCATCAGGCATCAATAGCGTATCATCACGGGGAGATGACGTGTCTTTAAATGACGCGCACTCAGCTTGCATAAAAGGCTGTTGTTGCGTGAACGGGCTATTCTTCAGAAAAAAACGAGAGTGCCCTTTCACCCAGCGCCCCAAGAAGTATCCAGAGCTCATGAATTGGCACTAGAGAGAGATCCGACTTGCCCACTATACCCCACTCCTCATCAAAGGGCCTTCGCCTGCCGCTGCTTCTGCACACTACTTCTTCCTGGGTTCCTCCTTCTGTTCATAACCAATCAGCTTTTTACCCCGATGTGTCTTTAAAGACCCCTGTGGCCGTCTGTATTTCTGAGGAGTAGTAATGGCAATTTTTAGGCAGAATAAAAGTTCACGTGGCAAGTTCCTTGGTCCTTCGGAAGCCTATTTGTTTTCGTGCTATCACCGACATGCCCAGAAACCGAGTGTAACACGGCATCAGCACTGACGAATGACAGAGGGACATATTGCGATGCAGCTAACCGTGGCAACTCCACCCACAGAGATATCGAATCAGGTCGTCATTGGACATTAGCTCTAGGGTGGGACAGCCCACGTCTGACCATCCATCGCGAACTTGTAGCTCTACAGCATGAGTTCTTGTGGTCATATGTGCGCATGTAAGTGGTCTGAGAAGCTTGCCATAGGGTTGAGAGATCGGTGCGACTGATATATTGGATAGACAATGTCCTGTCGTACAGTAGAAGGGCATTTCAGTGGAGAGAACGTTGACGGAGCAGTAGATTTCGGATCCAGTTGGGCATCAATACGTTAAGTAGTAATTGCCTAAGCAATTCATAGAAAAAAGACGGCCTGAAAATGAAATAAAAGACATCTTGTTTACTGATTTGGGCAACTGATAGTTAGGTGGTTTGGGGAATGAGTTGATGGCGGGCTTGGTGAGATCTTACCGGCTTCTACAACGATGTATCTGGATTGGACGGGAAGATCAGGCGGATGATCGAGTTCGCGTGCAAGAAGCTCATTACATGCTATTACCGACCTAGTTAATATGCAAGGTGGCGTGAAAATCCGGGACGCTTACGTCAAGGCATAACAAAAATATCGCAAGTTATCCTTTCTATCCGACTTGGCTGCAGCCGGTGAGAAGAACCTGGTGATTCGACAAATCAGCGCCTAGAGATAAGATATGTACTTTCAACCAACAACCATCACATTACTGCTTGTAATACTTCGAAACGGCTGACAGCCCCTCCCCTCGTCACAACATGTGAGCTAACATGCGTGACAGTCAAAGCGGTGCAAACATTGGAAGATGCACAACCCATGACTACTCACACTGACGTGGCATAAGGGTTAGAGATTGCCTTGTATGTGACCAGAAAATCCTAGCTGATAATGCAGTCGCGCGTACCAGGGAACAAATCCAACACTCAACACTACCATGCACCGTACTCCATGTAGGGTAGCGATATCATGCATTCAAACCTGTTCTTATGCTTTTTGTTGGATAGCGCACGGCGCATTCAATCCAAGGGATGACTGCTCAATCGGGTGTGGATCCTGAATCTGTTGATTGTGTTCATCTAGAATGCCTCCGGCCCTCTCTTTTCTCGAGAGGGGTTTTATGTCATCTCACGCCCCCTCTGACTAAGGTCAAGAGGTTTCGTAATACAGGGTCACAACCCGACAAATCCTGTTAGATTATATACCTGGACAATCACAGCTATAAGCATAAGCGGGTACCCTAAACTTTTGCCTAAAATAGCGCAGCTGGTTAATCCAACAGATCCCGAAAATGTAACGGTGCGGCAATTCCTACCGAGTAAATCGGCTTGTGATTGGTTTAACGTACATGTTAAGCGAGCGACTCAGACAAGCGAGCGACTCACCAAACCACATTTTCACCTCAACATACATTTAACATACCATTTCTCAACACATAAGAATGGCATCGCCTAGTAAAGAAAGGCGCCTTATTACAGCTGTCCAAGCTATCTAAAAAGACCCAACTCTAAGTACACGGGCCGCAGCCAAGATCTACACGGTCAGTCAAACAACACTCAGCCGCCGCCTTAAGGGCACAATTTCCCGACGCAATAGCATGCCCAATTGGCGAAAACTTACGGATCTAGAGGAGAAGACAATTGTTGAGTATGTCCTTGACCTAGATTCGCGATTATTTCCTCCCTGACTTCACGATGTGGAAGATATGGCCAATCGACTGCTTGCCGACCGCGACGCGCCTCCAGTCGGCAAGCGCTGGGCTTCAAACTTTGTCAAACGCCAACTAGAGCTCAAGACGCGTTTTACGCGTAGATATGACTATCAGAGGACCCAATGCGAAGATCCCAATATTATTTGGGGCTGGTTTCAGCTTGTGCGGAACACAATCGCGAAATATGGTATTGACGAGTCGGACATCTACAACTTTGATGAGACTGGGTTTATGATGGGTATTATCTCAACCGGAATGGTTATCACAAGCGCCGAACGACGTGGAAGACCGAAAATGGCCCAGCCAGGGGACAGAGAATGGGTTACGGTGATCCAGGGCGTTAATTCCCAAGGGTGGGCGATCCCGCCGTTCATCATTGTTGCGGGTCAATATCACCTCGCAGCCTGGTATGATGAAAGGACCCTACCTCAAGACTGGGTTATCGCAACCTCTGATAACGGCTGGACAACCAATGAGAGAGGCCTAGAATGGATCCAGCACTTCGACAAACATTCAAAGGCGCGTTCCTCTAGCTCTTATCGCTTTCTTGTGTTGGATGGGCATGAGAGCCATCATTCGACTGAATTCGAACTATTCTGCAAGGAGAATAAGATTATTACTCTCTGTATGCCACTGCATTCATCTCATATCCTCCAGCCACTTGATGTTGGCTGCTTTGGGCCACTTAAGCAGGCCTACAGTCGACAAATCGAGGATATGATGAAGACCCGGATCACTCATATTACCAAAGTTGACTTCTTTCCTGCATTTCAAGCTGCATTCCAAAGCGCAATGTCGGAAAAAAACATCCAGGGAGGTTTTCGAGGTACAGGACTTGTTCCCTATGGTCCAGAAAGTGTGCTTTCTCGCTTGGATGTAAAGTTGCGGACTCCATCGCCTGCAGAGGGGGATCTCGAGGTGCCCAACCTCTGGGTTCCAAAGACCCCAAACAACCCAATTGAAGCTACTTCACAAACTGATTTTATTAAAACTCAAATTAGCCGTCATCAGGGAAGCTCTCCGACATCGATTTTAGCTGCCATGGATCAATTTGCGAAGGGGGCGCGAGGAATAATGCACCAGATGGCATTATTGAAGGCAGAGGTCAGAGAGCTTCGGGAGGCAAATGCGACCCTTAGCCGGCGGCGCGGGGCGAAAACACACGTCTACGACTCTCTGGGAGCATGACAGTAGCTGAGGGACAGGAGCTACAAGATCAGAGGGAAATTGCTGAGCAGATACAGCAGGAAACGCAGCAAAGTAGTGGTCGGAAGAGGTGGACAGAGACGAGGGAACGGCGATGTGGAAGATGCAGAAAACCCGGGCATAATGCGCGTACTTGTGAAATTGATGTAGATGCGTCTGAAGAAGACGATGGTACTTGATTTTAATTGACTTTGGGCGTTGTGGTTGCTTTATTATGATATTTACTGGCGAGGGTGTGGTTGGTGAGTCGCTCGCTTGTCTGAGTCGCTCGCTTGTCATGTACGTTATCTTCAGCGTGAAATGCATCGCCCTCATGTCATTCTCAACCCGTCTAGTAAGAGCAGCACTACGAGCAATAAATTTACCTAAAATAAAAAGGCGAGAAATCCGGCAGTAAAGACGCCACAACTCCTGCAAGAGCCCTCCCTCCTCCCAGGGTCCTTCTTCCAAGGATTGGGCTGCAGCCCGACACTCTCTCGAGACTGCTAGCATTTGGTGGTTTTAGAGTGGATTTCCGAGTTACGCTTCCTAACCTCAGAAGAATTTCCCATGTCAGAAGTAGTCCTGCCTCATTAACGCTGATAATAAACACCTCGCCTAAGGACATGCGAGGAGGGAAAGAAATGACAGCTTGACAGGGTTGGCCTAGAGAAAACGTTGACGTGGGCACTCAGCCTGGTGACGGCAATTATGTCAACTATTTCCCCTATTTTCTTACCAACGAGACATAATTCAACACCTTGAGGCTCAGCCATAGCCGCCTGCCTCACTGTTCGTTACATTAAACCGGGTACTTGAGGGACTACCCGTATCTACCATACAGTATGATAGCCGAAGAGATCTACGTCCCTCCTTTATAGTTAGATCAGGAGTATGCATTAAAATGTAAGCGTGCGTCAGAGATCTTCGGATTCAAACAGGGGGACTTTTCCGAATCCTGACCATCTGAAGAAGGGGTCCGGAGGTGACGCATGAGTAATTGGTGATGCTCCAGTGATGGCCAAACAATCTAGAACACCCATCAGAACGAAAGACACGGACCAAGTTTTGCCGATCTATTATTTTCCTCGAATAAAAAAACATTTAGTTAGACGTATAGCATGAATTAGACGCTTGATTAATCGCGATGGGGCAATGTTGATCCCTCCATCTCACGCGCTAATGGTTCCCCTTCCTCAGTCGCAATTGGATATCCAGGGGTGCCATCGCGTTTTGTGTCAAAGCTGGAATGGCACTTTCTTGATAGTTCACTAGGCCCGGGTATAGTAGCTGAACCGGCGTTTGATAGGGAACGGACTGATCAGTGTAGTACATGATGTTCCCTTGAGGCTGCCGGTGTTGAGGAGGCCCTGGGACATAAATTGGATGCACTCGTTGTACCAATGTCAGAGCAACACCATTCATCCACGGCTGCAGAGTCGTCCAGAGACCCTTCTTCTTTCTCATGGCATTGGAGAAAATAAGAACGAGGATAACAAAAAAAGCCCAGATATCGAGAAAAGAATCCAGAAGTTGGGAAACGTTGAAGCCTAATGTAGGTGTAGAAGTCAAGACAAATACTACCTTGAGTATGAGTAACCAGGTCAGTGGAAGAAACCTGAGAATCGAAGCCGTTAAAAGGATGGCTGCACTCCAGTGACAACGTTAAGAAAAAATCTCATGATAAGCCACTCATCTCGCTACGACTTACTCCCCGACAAGGCTTGACGAAACTGTATTTATGCATGATCGCTGGCGCATAAACTAGGACCGTAGTTGAGGTGACCCAGCACAGTACCGAATAAGAGTCACGTATGCGATCGACAGTCCTGAGACCGGGCATCAAATTCTCTATTGCTTCGGCGTCAGGCCTGTCGTTTTCGTGATCCCCTCGAGCGTCCCAGATTTGTGGCCACACGGTATGTTCCTGTCCGAATTCTGCCAGTGCAACGTCGAAAAAGATGATTACTGCAAGGAGATCAAGATAACGTATCAGTATTTGTGATGCCGATCTCTGCCTCTTCCGCGCAAACATGAAGCCGTTGCCGAGCTCAACGAGGGTGAGCAACAAGAGACTATCGGCGAGATGTCTCAAGAGCGTAGCAACTTCTCAGCGAGGAACTTGCCAGTGTAGTTCCGAGACGTTGCTAAGTGTTTGCTCTCCACCACTTAAGGAGAAAAGCCGTCGTTTAGACCCAGCGGGTTTCTTTCTGCATTGTTTGTTTGTGGCGAACACCCTGCAGCATTACCGGAGTCACTCCTGTGCCGAGTCGTACGGCACCCGATTTCGTCCAACAAGGAGCCCTGAACGTCCAATCGGTCTGGCAGGTTCTTGACATCGGACTCGTTCGGTCGCAAGTTCCCAACGTGCCCGTTGCGGCCAGTGCTCTCACCCACAGGTCTCCCAAGCAGCACACGCTCATGGTCGACCATCGCGTGTTCGGATTGGTGCAGAGAGGAGCTCAAGGTTTCAGCGTCAGGCATCGAGGTATCATCTTGCCTCGGTATGTGTCTGTCCGTGGTTTGGCTACCTTGTGGTAACCAGAGGCTGACCATTGGGACTACCACACCACTGGCCACATTCGAGCCAGAGCCCAGTATGGGTCTCTCTTCAGCGCTTGATGCTGGCGAATGCTCAATCTCAGCTGGTTTTATTTGCGTCTCTCTGCCGGCATCCGAGCAACTGGTAACCGAGGGACATTCCTCGGTCGCATCATCAGTTCCACCAGTCTTGGCTTGTCTTAGAGCCTCCCCCCTCCAGTGCCAACAGAGGAGCGTCGCATACAAGGACGATCTTCACGTGGTCGACTCGTCATCTCTTGGCCGAGATCATAGTTGGTGCTAAGGAGCTGATAATCATCAACACGGGACCATACAGAAGATCAACATACCGTGAAGAAATATTTCAAAGGCGCGGCAGCGGAAATCTTCGAACAGCATATACATCTGCCATGTGATCCATACCGCCAAAAGCCGATACATTTGCAATGTTTTCAGCCCTACTTGGCAGCGTGATGAGCGCAACCTGCTGAGAAAATCTTTCATGGACTTATCGATATGTTCTATGCTCACCCCCATCTTGAGCGCAACGCTGCATTCTCCCATAAATACAAGGTCCCCGAACATAGGCAAGGCCACGGAGCGCTGGGCTTCGGAACCTGCTTCGCCTGCCTCGACGGCGCGATAGGCGAGATAATCAGAGACCTTGACCGGCGTTTGGGGAATATCTGAGGGCTTAGCGTCAGCTTGTCCTCGGCGACAGGATGTCGCTGAATGCTCTCAAAACGCCCTGGGCGTCGTTCAAACCAAGCTCCGGTCTTTTCTACTGCCATTGTTCTTCATCGCGGGGAATGCAATAGATGAAGTTACGAATGGTGGCCGCGTTGGTCTCGCTGACCTCGCTGCTTTGTCTCAAACTATCAGGTCGCTGCGGACTAGAATGACATTCAGCCGTCCACTCAATAACTACAAGGGTAGACGCCTGCGGAGAGAGAGGTGCATTTTGAAAAAGGACCGGCTCAAGATTGGTATATTGGGGAGTTGGTCGAGGGAGAGGTCGAGGAGAGGTCGAGTAGCTGCTGGTGCTCTGAGAAGAAAGTAGAATAATCCATCATTTGTTCGCAACCCACTTGGAAAGCGGCACCCTCGATGACCGCAAAAAGGTTGGATCCAGTCCCTGAACCATATGCCGCTATGCCACAAAACTTGAAGCGTTGACAACGTCCGTTCAGAGGTCCACAAGCAGCCCCGTTGTTCACAGGCTCCCGTAGCCTTATAATAGGCTCTTCCTATCTAGGAATAGGGATTTGCATGAACTCAATGTTTATACTCTAGGAGCCTCGCCCACGGGGATTCGGGCTAAAGAGTAATCAAGCCTGCAGAATCTACCCTCATGGCATCATTGTAGCTCTTCTAATATCCTTCAATATTCCCTGGTTACTATCCTAACTACAACGCGGGCCTAGGAACCCCAAAGACTAGCGAAGTACAGGAAATGGTGTATCCGTTGAAGCTGGACCTCTCAGCACTATAAGAGCGTGGTGGTCACGAAGGTTAGGGACTGGAATGCTTAGGCTATAGCGAAAGCTGTCCTTCAATAACGGATTAGGGTATTTAACTACTTCTGGAGACCCAGCTCCTGAATAAGGATAGCTGCCGCCTTCTCGCCCACTACAATAGCAGTGTTATTCGTGTTGGCACCTACATTCATAGGCAGGATACTCAAGTCCGCAATCTTAAGCCCCTTTGTGCCCCACACATTCAGAGACTCATCCGCGACGCCAAACTCCTCGCGAGGAGCCATCTTCGCGGTACCTAGTGAGTGCCAGGTGGTGCCGATATTCTCTCGCAGCCACTTCTCGATGGCCGCATCATCCTCAGGCGAGTACTTCAGGTCCTTCACGTTGGAGAGCGGTGTATATGTCTCGATACATCCGACCTCAGACCCGGCGGGGAAAGCTGGGTGACCAGGTGCAAGCTCGCCCCGATACATAGACGTGCGGCGCATGATCTCGCGTTGCTTCTTGTACGCCCAAATCTGCTTCTTCAAGTCGATGTCGTGTGCGTCCGAGAAGAAGCCAACATCGAAGTCTAGGGGATCGCTGAGCTCTGGCCCGGTGATGTACATGTGTCCACGCGAGTAGGGGTACGCCGTATAGTTTCCTATCGTGACGTACTGTGCCTCGGGACAGACGATGGGTCGCCCAAGAAGCTGCGTCTGTTAGCACTACTGCTGAGGGGAACTTTGCTAGGACTCTAGGAGTCCTCCCGGAAATCTTACCATGACACGACACCCATGAGCATCAGAGGCCTGTCCGGGGCGTTCTTGAAGTCCTGGTTCCAGGCGGCTTGAAACTCGGGGCCAAGGGCTGCCACATCTTCTTCTGTTGGTCGAAGCTTGGACGAGATGCCGATGGAATTCCAGCCCAAGGTGTCATCTTTAGCGTCGATGAGGTTTTGGCGATTGCCGGGGTTCCTGAGGACGACGTCAATCGTCTCGCGTGGTTTAAGACTTGTCCTATAAGGGTAGAGAGACAAGTTGTGGTCTTGGTAGTCACGCCCGACTGCGGGCAGATCTACAACGACAGGGACGCCAACCTTCTTCAATACCTCGGGGTCACCTAAACCAGATCTCTCGAGCACTGGTGGTGTACCACACGCGCCACAGGACACAATAACCTGATTTCTTGCTCTTACTGTGAGCTTGGGTTGTTGCGGTGTTGCCAGAGTGGGTTGCAAGTCCGGATTAGGTGTGTATTCCACGCCGATAGCCCGCTTGTCGTCGTCGAATAGCACACGCACGACCTTTGACTCCACCAGCGCATGTAAGTTCGGGGAGTCTCTAGAGCGGAGCTTCTCATGTAGGTATTTATGCGCAGTGTCTTGTCGCTTGACGTCCTTTGAGATATAACGTTGCCAGCGTTCGATGCCGTTGTTTGCGTCAAGAGTCTGAAGGTCCTTGATTTCTGGCCAGCCGACCTGGGCCGCGGCGCCGATGAAATCGTCCTGAGAACCCCGAGCGCGGAATGTGCTGTCGGGAACATGGACGGGGCCGTCAGAGCCGTGATGATCTTTCTCGCCCTGACCATGGTAATTCTCCAGCTGTTGGGGTGATCAATTAGCCAGGCGTGCACCTTGGGAACCCAAATAGCTCGGACATACCTTGAGGTACGGCCAAAGCTCATCCGCAGACCAGCCACGGGACTTCCATGAATCAAAGTCCGATCTTTGGGCTCGCGTATACATCATGAAGTTGATGGATGACCCGCCGCCTATGGTTCCGCCGGAAGGCACGATGACCTCCCGGTCCGCGTGCTGTTTGGCTTTGTTACTCTTGTAGAAGAGAGCTGTTTGGCTTTGTTACTCTTGTAGAAGATGGTTGTCTGGCTAGTGGGATGAAGGTGGTCGAGGAAGAACACCGGGTGGACAATGTTTGGCATGTTGTAGTTGTTCGGGCCGCCCTCGATGAGCAAGATCGACAGCTTGGGATCGGCCTCCGCCACATGCCGCCGTACCACATAAGATCAATCAACCATGAGCAGACGACCTTAAACCAATAGAAGGCGATGAGACTTACCGCCGGCAATGATCACATCCACCTCCTGAACATCATCGGCCAATTTGGTATAGACGCCCATTGTGATTCAGCGAAAGTCAGAAGATGCTCAAGGTAATCGTGATAAGAGAAGGTCAAACAAGCCTGCAGTCTCTAACAATAGGCAGCCATTTATTCCCGCTCCGGCATTTATACCTTCCCTTTTTTTCAACCCAGGATACTCAGCAATTACCGCAGAGCCCCTCTCCAACTGCATCTTTGGGCCCCTGCCTCTCCTGTTACATATGGAGAAATCTATCCAATTCAGAAAGCTCGTCGGGTTACACTGCTTAGTGCATCAGCTGACACCGTACCCTGCCTGGAATGTTACGGGGTTTCCCGACTTTGCCTTGTTGGTGAAGGACCTTTGAGAGCAAGGGTTCATTGGACTTTTTTAGTAGAAACGGCTCTCCCGATGTCATTGAAATTGCAACAGTGTGTTGGTAATTAAACCTCGGCTCCTCTAGACCCAGTTTTGAAATTTGTCCGCTTCAACGGTCGGATCTACAAGATCATCTCGTGTCACTTAGCGGGGCCAAGATCGGTCTAGACATGAATCCTAGTGATACCCTGACTCGCCAGCTGCGGTGTTTCGGCATTATACGGATACACGTCTTCCTTTGCCAGTCACAATGAAGTCACGCAGCATATCTCCGTACCGACCTGTGATTCCCTCATCTCTGTATTTGGGTAATCTACCAAATTGCTGTGCTAACCTTCCAGGGTCCAGCGTCTATCTAGTCCTCCAAAAAATGCTAAGGCCAACGCGACGAAATCATACAAATTGTTCTCGGTAGGCTTGAGAATTATGCTTTAGCCGGCGTGTCGATGACTGCGAGCTGCCATCCTCGTCGTCTTCCAAGTCGTCACGATTCCGAGGTGACACAGTGACCCGCGTCTGCACAATTTTCGTGATCCCCTGGGGAAAACTCTTAGGTGCTTCATCCGCTGCCTCGGCTTCAACGTGCGTCCGATTTCCGGAGACGATGTTGTTCGAAGTTATGGCAGCTCCGGACCTGTTTTTCGGTTTCGACTGCAATTCGGTGCCGCGTGCGTACGAGCTGCCGTCGCCTGTCGCGCGGACGACCTTGACAATTAGGGAAGAGATATTCATCTCGATATGCAGCTTGAGCATGTACACCAGCGGGTGAAACTGGACATAACTAGGTAAAGGGTGGTAAGCATCAACCGCAGAACCAAAGAGCGCCGACGACGTACATGAAGCCATTTCCAATTGACATGCTACCAATGAGAATTATCTGCGCATCATCGCGTTAGTATAGAGACCGCCGTAGCCGCATTCAGGCTTCGCTCACATCTAGACTCATCGATACCGCCACCATCATGAGGTTGAACCTGAACAACGGGACGTATTTTTCGAGGCCATTCGCGATCAACTTGACTCGAAGCAGATAGATGAAGTAGAGGTGTAGGCATGCGTCGATAATCAAGAACAGACCCTTCTCGATTCGATCGTAGATTTCGTTGACATGGACCCATGTCGTGGATATTTGCAGGCGTGCAGGAATCCAGATGACGAATACGCTGATGTTAATCAGGCCCAGAATGACTGCGGTAACCCATCGGATTTTGGCTGCGTCGCGCTTGTCGACCATCAAGAGAGCGATTCGATTAATTATGATGCCGCAGATGCATTGGATCTGTACGACCCAGAGGCACACTGAGAGCGATGGTTAGCGGATTTTCCCCTTTCGTAGGATGGATTCTGCGGACAGAATGCAAAATATATCCAAAAGCTATACAGCCTCGTTAGCATCGAAAACACCATCAACACGCCGTCTAACTCACCTTGGATCGATGAATCCGCGAAGGAAGACCCAGGACAGAACGCCAATAACCATGGACACGATCCATTCGGCCCATATCATATACGCGTAGGCGTGTAGGCGACGCGACCGTCTCCATATTGCCCACGTCTGTTTGAACGCCTTGGTGCCTGAGAAGACTCCCGTGGCTAGGGTAAAACCCCAGATGATGCTGGCAATCAACAGGTCATTGAGGCTGGGAGTGACTACCACGTAGGTATCCGGGACGAGGAATCCCGCCATTGCCAGAATGGAAAGTCGGAAAGTCGCAGTCCTCTCTCGACGGTGGCGCTTTGGATGGAAAGGAGTGGTTTAAGAGTTGGTCTTGTTTCATGCCGATGATGGAGTTAAAGCAGATTATATCTATGCGATGGCAATGACGGATGGAATTGAGTCTGCGGCAGCTGATTTTCTGGGTCTCGCAGAAGCGATAGGAACCCTTCCCCGGCAGTGCTACCCTGGCTACATGGAACACCTTGGTGACGATCTCACTTTCCACGGATGATGTGGAACAGTGGAGTATATTCTAGCTTGTTGATCCTGTTTTGCAACCAGCCCCACAAACTGTCACCATAATGTCTCCATTTGTGGCAGCTTCCAAGCCCAAATGCAGTAGCGCCTTCCGAGGCTTACAGGGGCAGTTCGCCCGAGAACCCCTGAAGAGCTGCATCTATCAACACTGTCTCCCCTAAGCCTCAGGCACGGCTTACGGAGCGCGGAGTTGAAAAGTTGGTGGCTGACCGTCCATTCCCACCTCTTTGCGCCAGGCCTCGAGAGTGTTCACCCATGACACACGCAGTGTTGAAGTAGCCTGTTTCGCTAGTGTGTAGATCAAACCGCAGTGTCTGAAAACTTCTATTTGCAGACCTAGAGTAGTGCCTATCCACAGTCAATCGCCGACCGAGGGCTGTCTGCATAACAACCGTCTCGAAGCGACATTTTGCAATGTGTCAGTAAGAACCAGAACATTGTGCTACCGCAGTGTTTGAGTCAGCTAACCTAAACGCTTGTTAAGGCCGGGAAGGACCTGGTAGTGGATTCCTGCTTCTCCCCTGAGCAAGTTGTTGGGAGAAACCTAAGAAGACCTAGTACTGACGCAAACTAGATGTTATAGCTAACGGTCAATGCAACCGCAAGTCTGGGTCCTTAGCACCGAAAAATTCTATCGTTTCACGCTGCCATCCCGCCGGATTTGTGGCGTCAGCGTCAGCGTCGTTCTGATCGGCGTAAGACATCTAGAGGTATAGCTCTTCAACACTGTCGAGATGCCAGTGGGAATGGATGAGCGGCGCGCTGATAAACAAGGGGAGGGGACGCACGACGGCAACGGCTTGATCTCCATAAACGGACAGTCAAACTTCACCCTGCGCGGGAAGCTCCGCCGGGGCAATGACATACCGGCCTTCCACAAGCCACAAAATGGCATCCAAAATGTATCATGTAAGGAAAGCGTCGATCACATTGTAGCAGCCCCAGTACCTGCTTCCCCGCACCGGGCCCTCCGGGAATGCGAACGGAACAGCGCCACCTGTCTCAAATCAATCTGCGCCCCTTTCAACTTTTCTTTTGTCCTCTGAATGGCTTTATTCCTATGAAGCGACCGTGACCCACGATATTACGACTCATAGACCCACTCACAAGGTTTTCGTCTCTGAAGCGCTAAGAGTAGCAGATGTCACGCTTGCATGTCTCGATATCAGCGGCCCGTGGCGTTGGGATTGGTATCTGCCACTTTCACATGGCTTCCGCCGTTGACAACGCACTGGTGCCGTTTCTGCCCTAGCGGTGCACGGGCTAGGAGTGGACAGGTCGGGAGTGGACAGGGTCACTTCACCCAAAGGAAAGACGAACACCTCGCGTGAACCAATTTGTGTCAGTAGCTATTCTAGCAAATGACCCGCGCAACGCCTGTCTACATGTTGTACTAGTGGCATCTCGTGTTTGACGTAATAGATGCTGCCCAAGACGTTGATTCTTTCGCGCCGGAAATCTGGAAATACATCGAAACCCTGGCGCTCATCGCTCTCTCCATAGCGATGGTCGGCGTTGTGCTGATTCTTAATTTTCTTCTCGACGACGGGGGCTACCAGGCTTGCTATCAGGCTGGAAATTGCACATTAAAGTGCTGAATTGCACAGAGGATGGACCCGACGAGATGTTATGCTAACTTGAAGGTATAGTCAGATGTGATTAATATGGAAGGGTCAGTTCTAGCTTTCCTTAATAGCTATGTCTTTTCGCCTTTAGCAAAGTTTACTGCCGCATTCCCTTCTCCTGGAGTTGCTTAGTCAACTTCTCCTCCTCCTCGAGTAAGTGGTTATCCTGCCCAACTGGGGCCACAGTAGGGTACAGTGCCTCTAAGGGCACTTCACGAACATTAACAGACGAGTTGTCCTTGCTTCCGATAAGCAATGTCTCAATAATATTACCATCGCCATATTGCGGCTCCTTTAGGACACTCATCATAACCGAGGCGCACTGCTCAGGCGTGAGAGTCAGGTCATCAGGGTGCACCCTATCGCGGCAGTATTCCGGGTGGAAGATTGGTGTCTAGAAGTAGGAAGTGACGCCTCATTAGCAAATACTCCAACAAATTCCATTAGATACCAAGTGACTCGGGACTCGCGATGTAACCAAGGAAGAAAGCAGTTTAGGAAGGAATCAAGGGAGGATAAACGCACGTAAACAGCACCAGGGCAAACAGCCGCATTCCTAATACCCAGCCGCTTTCGTAGCTGGCCTAGAGATCGAACAAAGCTCACAATAGCTGCTTTGCTAGAAAAGTATAGGGGCGTTTGGAGCGAATGAACATAGCCTCCAAGGCTGGCGATCCAGAGCAAGTTGCCCTCAATATTCCGGTTCTCCAGCCAGTAATCAATGGCAATCTGAGCGAGGCGGATAGGTCCCATAGTATTTACTGAGAATGTATGATAGACGCCCGGTGAGGCGTCTGCCTCATCTTCAGCTAGAGACGAGATGCCAGGCGCGTTCCAGAACGTGCTAGATGGTGGCTCGTAGACGCCAGCGCCGTTGACCACAATATCAATACGTCCAAACGTTTCGAGAGTCTTCTTCCACAGAGAGGCAATCTGTCCCCAGTCACTGATATCCGTTTTGTGAAAATCGACCGAAGGTGTGGTGGCGTCTTTGGAGGCGTACTTGGTTACAAGAGCCTCGGCTTCGGGCCGAAGCTTCACGTCGGCTATCATGACCGAGCAGCCTCCCTCAAGAAGCTGCATCGCAAAGGCCAGGCAGATGCCTATATCTCAGTCAGCTCTCACGAATTCACAACCGCACATGCCCATCATACGTGGGTATTGTGAGTATTGAGAATGAAGCTCCATCTAAAGGTAAAACCTACCGGATCCAGCACCAGTGACAATGGCATATTTGCCCTTGATATCGTAGGTGGACATGGCGTCAATGCAAGGTACGACTTTGAAGTAGTTGTCTGTATGTATGTGTGTACCCGAATAGAGGCGAGGTTGAATGGCGGGTACCATGTCTCTAATAAGTTCCTCAAACAGCGACATAGCCCCGCAGACCTGGCTCTTACCTCTCGAGTGTACGCGTAAATTGACCATGCTTCGAAGCCACTGTTGTGGCTAGCATGGGTATTCTGCAAGGCACCTTTTTGGGGGAGATATCAGCCAACGGCCTATGGGATGCCACTTACCCGAGCGGAATGTCACTCAAATGCCGATCGCTGTTTCACCGCCCGAACCCCTTTTCATGCGAGTCGTGCGAACATACTACGTAGTGTTGGTTACAAGCGTATGTAGCGCTAAGGATTCAGCGAAGTCGGACGTGTTCCCCGGTTTACTAGCAGCTCCCCCGCAAGTACTAGGCGCGGCACTAGGCAGGTAGTTGCCGGCTTACGAACCGCTATTTGTTGGTTGCTACCCGTTAGTCCGTAGCGGTACGGAAATCTATGTCTCCATCGATTGGTTCGTGTGCCTGCCAGGGGAATATTCAGAACTGACAGGTCAAGGGATCATGACTCGAACATGGTAGGTTTCCTGACACCCTAGCAGCAACAAAGAAATCCCTTTTCTCTCACCAGTTGGCCTAGATTAGTTCCCATGGTAATCTTCACCCAGATGGGGAATGCACTAGAGAAAGTTGAGTTCCATTGTCTTGCATTATCCGTACATCTTCCCCTGGATGATTGAGCCAGCGAGCTCGTCCACAATACAAAACCCTCGCGGCCCACAGCTCCTTGCCGTCGTACCTGGTGTCTCCTGCGGTTTCCGATCCCGAATAAATAAATCACCTTGAAAACGGTCTTCACAACCAAAGCTTTCTCGCCGTTCTTGATTTGCCAGCCCATCATGGCGGATTCTACGGAATGGGAAGCTGTGAAGCCCGGAGGGCTTGCAGCAGCGATCCTCGGCGTAACGATTACTTTCTCCCTCCTATATATCGTTGTTGTCGGCCTCCGCGTCAACGCTAGGGTATCAATGGGAGTTTTCGGACTTGAGGACTGGCTCATGTGCGTTGGATTTGTGAGTGTTAGAGCGAACGACACCCTTATCAGAAGCAGACTGACAAGACCAGACCCTCAATATGGTCCATAATGGGATTGTTATTTGGGGAACTTTTACAGGTATCGGCACCTACGATTCAAAGCTGAATACCGCGACGATGATAGAAGGGGCTAAGGTTTGTGTGTTTTGAAGTTTTGACGCTTACTTGTTTGGCTGATCCCCTCCCCTAGTCTATTGTGTTCTGGCAAATATTCTACATCAGCGGATCGGTATTCATCAAGGCTAGCATCTGCGCGACATTGGCACGAATTGCGACGCAGCGGCGATACATCTACACTCTTTGGGGGCTTGTTGCTGTATCAGTCATAGCTACACTGGTTGCCATTTCTGCAGTCTTGGTCCGGTGTAAGCCGGTAGCAGCGTCGTGGAATTCTGCTCTAGGAACGTGTATTGACCAATCCATCATTATTGCCTTGACATATGCTGTCTCGGTAATTAATATCGTGACGGACTGGGCTGTCGCAGTTATCCCGGTATTCATCCTCTGGAATCTCCAGATGCGGAAAACGCTCAAGAAGATGATTGCCCTGGTCCTAGGCCTTGGTGTGCTGTGGGTTCCTTCTCCAAACATCCTATTCGTGTCCTCTCGTTAATCCAGTATCCCAGGGCTTCTATTGCGACCATCATTCGAATGCCATACTCCTCAGTGTATTCCCACACTACCAATCTACTACGTACGTCAGCCCCTCCTCAAACTAGATCAAGTCGATTAATATTGTCACTTTTCTATCAGATGACATCGGAAACATCATCCTATGGACTGTAATCGAATGCGATCTTGGTATTATCGCGGGCTCGCTGCCAATGCTCCGAACGTACATCCGGAAGTTCGCCAAGGACGAGAGCTCCTATCAAGGGGGTTCAGGAGACTTGAATCTGGTGACAATTGGGAGGGTCAAGGGGAAACACCACCCGATCCATGACGCTGAATTTATGGTCACCGCAGTTGGTGGCGATGATCGTGAGAGCGCCAAGGATGATGAAAGTACGAAACAGATGATCAAGGTCACGAGGAGGATAGATCAGGTTTCAAGCAAACGGTATGAGCAGGTTTAGTGCCAAGACTTAATACCATACTTGATAAACGAATGAGACGGACAAGAAAGTAAGAAACCGAACTGCTGACTTATAGCTTAGCCTACATTTTAGAGTTAGACTCTACATGAGGCACTGAGAATAATAGTACCCAGGATATAACATAGTTACTCCCCAAGATCGATATCTTTACATCCATAATCACCTCCAACCTCAATACCTAAGCATTAGTTTGGCTCTTATCATAATAGTAGTGATAAGCCTTCTCGGTTAACATCCATAGCTTATGTCTGTTTTTGAGAGAGACATTTACATTTGCGGGATTATATATCGGAACTACATAAAATAAAGAGCTGATTGCTGAGATTGCTGCATTCACTCTCAGCGTAGCATCTAAAGCTTTTGTTACTATTACCATTTATGCTTTATATTCCCCTCTCGTCAAGAGCTTCCTGGATCATCTTCTCTTTCAAATATGTCACTTCGGTTGCGGTATAAGGGCTCACTTCTGCCCATTGCCATTGTTCAGCTTCCTATTTCCACTGGACCGAGACTACTTTCGTTGTCCTATCCTTTATATATGAGAATTATTAGCCGATATACCTACTCAGCACGATCGTACTCTCTGACATGCTTAGAGAAGTAAGTTGGTCGTTTATGGATAATAGCAGAGCTAATAGGAACAAGTACATATGGACGGGAACAGCTAGAGCGGCGGACAACGGGAATTCTTGGATCAGCCTCTCCGTGACCTGATCTGACTAACGTGTTAAGGCATAAATCTTGATTCTCAGCCGGCGAAGGATTTACTGCTCAATAAGGCATCTGATGGGATCCTGCCTTCTGGTATGGGGCACCAGCACCATGCTATCTTCTCAAGGTCGCTGGAGGTTCTATCGAGGACGCTCCGACGCGACATGTACAGCCTACGTGCCCCAGGGTTGCCCATCGATCAAGTCTCCCCGCCTGACCCTGACCCATTAGCTTCGACCCGATATCCTTGTATCTACTGGGTTGACCATCTCGGTGACTCGAATCCCACGCAGGGGATGAGACATGGCGAGGCTTCGCAGAACGGCGGTGTCGTCCACACTTTCCTCAGAAAGAAGTATCTGTATTGGTTAGAAGCTCTCGGTCTGTTGCATGGTATGTTGGAGTGGTCATGGCAATGCAGAGACTCGAGGATCTACTGGTTAGTTCAGATACTACGACATCACCTGAGGGGCAATCTGACATATTCGCAGGGAAACATAGAAACCCGACAACTAACGGAAATAGTTCGAGACGCGCGTCGATTTATTCTTTCCCACAAACGGGCAGTAGAGATTGCTCCGTTGCAAGTATACGCATCAGCCCTCGTGTTTAGTCCTCCCCGCGGCTTAGTGAGAGGGCTTTTCAAGGAGGAAGTACCGGAATGAATTATATCGAAGCCAATAATGGAAGCGGGCTGGAATTCTTGTCTCCAGACGCTCGAGGGCCATGACAGTGGGATGAACTCAGTTGTCTTCTCGGCAGATGGTCAGTGGCTCGCATCGGGTTGGTATAAGACCAGCAAGATCCTGGGATGCAGCCACGGGCGCTTGTCTCCAGAGGCTTAATATGGGCAGGGTGATAACCCACCTTTCGTTTGACCCGATGACCAACTCTCGTCTCTCTACCGACCTAGGAGTTCTGAACCTGGATCTACTGTCTGCTATTGATACACAACCGACCGAGGCTTCTTCACAAGATATTAGCCACTGTGGCTACGGTGTAAGCACTGATGGTATGTGGATCGCGAAAGATTGGAAAAGGGTAATTTGGCTACATCCAGAGTATGAACCGGGGGGATCGGTTGTGACGGGATCGACAGTCGCTATTGGCTGCCGCTCAGGTCTTGTATTAGTGATGCAGTTCTCAGAAAATGGGCCGGATTCGTCGGGCGTCCAGTAGTCTTAATCGCATCTCACCTGGCGACAGTTTTCTCATTTAGCTAGCCATCTTTGGGCCATTGGCAGATCTCGTGTGGGATGCCACGGCGCTTGGTGCAGCCGATCGTCTCTCCCGCCTGCGACGGTTCCTTTGTCGCTGGCCTTGATATCCGGGGAGTGCCTCAGCCCTTGCTGCGGTAGACGAATTCCCGGACCTGCCAACACCGACAACATCGAGGCGCGAGAGCGGATCGTGGTTCGTCTGCGGCGGCGCTTGACTTTGGGTTATTAGAAGCGTCTGGGTCCCTGCTGGTCTTGATCCATCCACCAGAGATTACTTATTGCCTCCCATTCTTCACAGTTACTTCTGTCACATTCCTCATCTTCACGCCGCGATCTGATCGTGTCTGCCATCTTGAGCTTCCGTTCTTTGTACGCCGCTTCCGACGAGCGCGACCGAACTGCGTCCCATTCCAAAAATTACCATTGCCATTCCCATCGGTCATCTGGCCCCTGTGGCCCGTCCATCGGTTGGCGGCGAGCTCGATCAACACCTCTCTTAAGTTTTCCTAGCCGCCAGCCGCGATATGCCTTTAAATATGGGGAGTACACGGGGCCGAAACCTCAAGTTATTGAAGTTTCATACAGAAAACATCCTGAAGAGTCAGATCTAGACGAAGGTTGCTCGGACTCGAACGACGGCTTTGCCGAGCCCCTTCACCTGCGCTCGACATGCGGCTTGTCAACTTGGCTGCAGCACGATTACGACGGTATCGGCTCGCGGGATCTGGAAGAAGACGATCCGCGCTTGTCCACATCATTATTTACTTCTTATCTTCCATCATCTTCTATCTCAGCGGTCTTTTGTCATCGTCGCCCTTCCTTGCCGATCCGTTCTTGTCGAAGCTATCTGCAAAACTACATATGCTTTCTCTATGATTGCTTGTTGCAGCGTCGACGTTAATATGATTGTCTTCCGTGGAATAAATAGCTACGCCTACTTGTAAGCTTGAAGATGAAGATTGGCTAAGAAACCCCGTGTTCCTGTTTGTATTTGACCTGCTATTGAACTCAGCTGGCCTATCTAGTCCTTTCTGCAATTCGATAGATACTGTATTAACTCCGCGAACAGTATAAATTCTATCTATAGAGATTCTTGTTCTGCTATACGTGGATGTAAGGCCTTTACTAGGAATGTGTTGAATTGGAGGCATGGAACACCAGGGCTCCAGGATGTCACGTGTGGAATAGGGAGCCCTTCGGGCCCGGTCAGACCGTATGTGGAAGACGGTCAGGAAAGGCTGTAATCTCAGGGCCCCACTTATAGGTCCGGGGTGTAGTCCAAAGCAGACAGCCCCTTACAACAGAGGACCTACACACAATACACACACATGTTCAAGGTCATCAAATGGTCACATAAGCAATCCAACAGAATGTTTCCCTGTTATACTGTCTCAAGGTCGCCAAAAGTGCTATTAGAGATAACACTATATTATCGTTATCTGGCAATTTTCTCTAACGTATGTGATAAGCGAGTGGGCCAGACAAGTAAGTGAGCCACAAATACTGTACACTGAAAAGAGCTAAACCTTAAATTTTTAAAACTAGCTATCTAATTATTAAAAATAAAATAAAAATAATGTTAACTATTTAACTAAAAAGAAAACTATATAATATTTTTTTAGATTTCTTAAAAAATTCCTTTATATAGAAATAGCTAGGTATACAGTGCGAATAAGCTTTTTTTAATATAGCTTATTAAGTAATTTTTAAAAAATCTAAGAAAATTTATATTTATTTTTTATTATATAATAGAGCTATTCTTATAATATTAGCTATTTTACTCTTAATTTCAATTTTAGAGAATATTTTAAAGATATTTTAATTTAAGGTGTAAATGTCACGGGCCAGGGCCCATATCCTTGCGGCTGTGCCGCAAGACGTACTTGGCTCGTGCGCGCCAGGGGTGGGAAATCATTCCACAGCTCAGGGGCACTTAGGAATTTCTTTCTTTCTTCTTCATCTTTGATGTAAATAGCATCCTGGACTAGATAGCTGGAATACAGTTACTAGAGGCCGTTCACAGTAAATACTAGGAAATTTCAAAGTGTCTGTGAACGGCCTCTAGTAGCTGGATTCCAGCTATCTAGTCCAGGATGCTATTTACATCAAAGATGAAGAAGAAAGAAAGAAGTTCCCAAATGCCCCTGAGCTGTGGAACGATTTCCCGCCCCTAGCGCGCACGAGCCTCGTACGTCTTGCGGCACAGCCGCAAGGATATGGGCCCTGGCCCGTGACAGTGTCCCACTCACTTATCTGGCCCACTCGCTTATCACATACGTTATTAAGTCTGCTATTGATATCTTAATCTTGAGCTTGATTATATAGGCAAAGGGATAAAATTATATATAACTAAATTTATAGTTAGCAGTATCTCCCATTATCTATTCCGCTTTTCCTCGTCTTAAAAGTTTATCAGTTTATATAATATAGAGAAATATAATAAAGTTGGCTTATACAAATATATTATACAAGCTTATTATAACTAGAGATAATAAGAATATCTATACTGAGGGAGAAGCCGATAATATATATATCAAACTTAATTAGACTCTTATATTTGGTTAGGCTATTTGCTACCAGGTTGTGTTAAATAATACAAATAAAATAGAAATTAAATGTCACGGGCCAGGGCCCATATCCTTGCGGCTGTGCCGCAAGACGTACGAGGCTCGTGCGCTCCAGGGACGAGAAATCGTTCCACAGCTCAGGGGCATTTGGGAACTTCTTTCTTTCTTCTTCATCTTTGATGTAAATAGCATCCTGGACTAGATAGCTGGAATCCAGCTACTAGAGGCCCTTCACATTAAATACTCCGTCGAAAAAGATAGATTGCCTTTTCAACACAGTCCCACTACTTGTTAATCCAGATATCTCTCTCTGAGATCTGGAGACAGGCGGGGATCCAAATATTATAGACCGAGATATTAACAGCTGTAATTAAGACCGCAACACTGACCTTAAGACGGTATGCCGTTACCGGATCTGTGAGAAGTATAGAGTAACAATTAATAATAATTTGAAGAAGAAATTGAACCTAAAATAGTTAGAATTATTAATAACTTCAGAAGGGTAAGTAGGATATACTTACTTAAAGTACCTATAACGTACATGATAAGCGAGTCGGAAATACAAGCGAGTCGGAAAAAATCCCACACTATTAAGATAAAAACTTTAATAAAAACACAACAACGCTTTAAATCAATTAAAACTAATCGTTATCCCCTTCTTCAGAAGTCTCAATTATAATCTGACAGGTCCTTACATTATGACCGGCCTTTCCACAAGTTCCACAGCGCCTTTCCCTCGGCATCGCCGACCTCCCTCGACCACTACTTCTCGACGATTCAGCTACTACCTGCGCATCAATATCTCTCTGATCCATTTCATCCCTCCCCTCATCTAGAGTCATCTTCCCTCCTTTACGTAGGCGGGTTCTTTTCGCTCTGCGCCGTTTACTAAGAGTCTCATTTACCTGTCGAAGGATCTGGACCTCAGACTTCAATAGGGCGTTCTGATGCATTATTGCCTTCGTTCCCTTTGAAAGTGACTTCAGCGCCTCAAGAATTGATGCTGGAGAGCTGCTCTGATGTCTTCTCATTCGTCTTTCGAGGTATTCAGACTGAGAGCTAGCTTCAAGTATAGTCTTTGGGGTCTTCGAGACCCAAGGGTCGGGAAGGCTGATCTCCTCCCTCACCGGTGTTGGAGTCCGTAGCTGCACATCAAGCTTCGATATGATATTTTCTGGGTTCAAGGGAACAAGTCCGGCCCCTCGAAAACCTCCCTCAATATTACTCCTTGTTATGGCGGCTTTGTGGGCAGCGTAGAAGGCTGAGAAGAACTCGGTCTTCGAAACGTGAGTTATGGAGTGTGACGGTCGGGTCTAACCTAAGGGTATAGGGTAGGTCCGAGGCGTGTGGTGTATGATCGAGTGGATCAGGACGTCGTAGTGAGCAATGTAGGTCACGGTCTGGTAATGGTAGAATAGTAGATTCAATGTAACCAAGTGTGTTGATAGCTAAGGAGCTTAAGGCTCTGGTTAGGGACTTAAGGTCTTCGTCTATATAGTATTGTCTGGTGAGGCGATCAGGAGTACGGTGGTCGCGATCACTGGTGATCCGTCGGGATCACTGGTGATCGGCCGTGGTGGGTCCCTGATCGTGTACTACAAGTAACGTGAAAAAGTGGGCACGTCATGGTTCTGCCGGTTGTGACCGCCTGGTCCAACCTGGGCCGTGACACGATGTCCCCCCTCCCGTTGGTCTTGTCCCCAAGGCCGCATAAGTAGACCTGGTCGTTTGTCTCAAGTTAGTGCGTAAATTCCTCATCCTTCCTTCCTTAATATTTCGTGGTTGCGATGCTGACAAGATGTCCAGTCGCGTAACCAAATCCAAAAAACCCGCTGCGAAACGTGTCTCCCAAAACCGTCATTCCCTGCAGATTCTTGTAGAAGCTGTTGGTACTTTGGCCATGCCGTGTTCTTATTGTGAGCAGAGGGGGCTTGTGTGCAAGATATCCCCTCAGTCTTCAAGTCGTTGCCAGTCCTGCGTGAGGGCTGGTGAATCTTGTGACGGGTACGGCTTGTCCGTGGCCGCTGGTGAGTGTTTTTCCTGGATGACGTGATTTGGTGGTTTGTCTGACGTTCGTTTGATCAGCTCAAAAGATTGCCGCTGAAAAGGAGCGTTTGGAGCGTGAGGAGGAGGAGGCAGAGGAGAAGCTGTTACAGCTTCAGGAGAAAATGAATGCAGTTCATTTGGAGATGAACACGCAGTTTGCGCGTATCTCACGGTTGCGTCGTCAGAAGCGTCAGGTGACCACGAAGGGTCTCGACATGATTCGTCGGGGTCTCGAATCGATGGATGCCTTGGAAAAGGCCGAGCAGGATGAGGCTGCTGCGGAGGAAGTGTCCCACATCGACGGGACTTTCCGGGACTATTCCGCGGAAGTGGTGGATGCTAGTTGGGATTCCTTGGGTTTGGGCGATTATCTTTTGCCTGCTTCCGGCGTTGCTGGTGAAAGTCCTTCAGAAGGCGTTGCACATGGGTGAGGTTCTTTGCTGGTTCCCATTGGTTGTCGCTTTCTGGGTAGTTTTTCCACTTAATGAGGTATTCAGTTTTGTTGTTGACTTTTCGTGTCTCGAGAATCTTCTCGACTTCGTATTCCTCGGGGCCTTCGACCTCTGTTTCTGGTTCATTGCCAAACTTGGCCATGATGTTTCCTTCTGTGCTCTCGAGAAGTGAGATGTGGAAAACAGGGTGAAGTCTGACTTTTGGTGGTAAGTCTAACCGGTAGTTGTTTTCTGAGATTTTTTCGAGAATTTTGTAGGGTCCGATGTATTTGTAGTCCAGTTTTTTGTTTTGTCGTTTTGTTTCGATGTTTTTTGTTGCGAGAAGGACCATGTCTCCCTCCTGGAAGGATGGTCCCTTCATCCTTTTTGGGTTGTAGTATTTTTTCATCTGGTTTCTGACAAATTCGAGTTCGGTCTTCATTTCTTCATGTAGGTTTTTCAATTTTTCTGTCGTGAGGATAGCTTTGGGGATGATCAATCCATCTCGGCTCGTTCTGTAGGCGTCTGGGGTGAATCCAAAGTTGGCGTACGCTGGAGTGAGCTTCGTGCTTTCGTGTACGGAGGTGTTGTAGCTCAGCTGTGCAGTCGGGAGCTTCTCAACCCAGTCGTTCTGTTCGTAGTTGATGTAGCACCGAAGGTATTGTTCCAGTATTTGGTTCATTCGTTCCGTCTGTCCGTCGACTTGCGCTCGGAACGCCGTGGTGAGTCGGTGGTTTAATCCCATGTGGTCCATCAAGCTTTGCCAAAACTTTGAAGCGAATGGCTGTCCTCGGTCGGAGAGGATCTCCGTCGGGAGCCCGTGAATGCTGACAATGTTTCGCAAGAAGATGTAGGCAAACTGTTCTGCATCTGTCGATTCCTGGTAGGGTATGAAATAGGAAAATTTCGTGAGTCTGTCCACGATGACAAGAATGCTGTCGTACATGACTCCGGTCGCGGGGTCTTCTGACAGGGGTAGTTTCGTAATGAAATCCATAGTGATTGAGTCCCATGGTCGCTCCGCGACTGGTAGGGGTTGCAGTTTTCCGTATGGTTTGTGGCGTCGAGCCTTGGTTTTTTCGCATAGTAGGCATTGCTTGGTGATAGCTTGTACTACTGTTTTCATCTTAGGGAATTGGTATGTCGTTCTGACTCGATCGAGGGTTTTATTGACTCCCTGATGTCCGTGTGGCGGAAGTTCGTGTATTTCCTGCACAAGTCGGTGCTGCAGTTCCTCAGGAACCTGTAGCTTGTCTGTTTTTTCGTCTGGGGGCAGCTCGTCGTTGTATCGCTGTATCTTGTCGTGTAGTTCGTTGGTGTTTGTGACGACGTAGGTGTTTCCCAGGGTTTTCTTTCTGGTTTTTTCTGAGCATTCCGGGCAATTGTCGATTGCGTACCGGAGCGCGTTCTGGAGTCCACACGTGTTGTACGTTTCGGCGACAAGCTGGCACAGCGTGTCGGTGTTTCCATCGTGGGGTCCTTCTTCGTGCAATTCTTGCACTATTTGGTACTGGTGGTAGTAGGGAATGACGATGCGTCCATTCTGGTACCTGATTTCTCCAGTGTGTCCGCGTGCCCAATCCATGAAGTCTTGTGCGGGTCCATCCCCGCGGATCAAATTCAGGTGTTCGGGTCGGGGTCGTATTTTTCGCGTAGCTGCGATGTACTTCTGCTCGAGGTGTCCTTCGGCATTGAAGTTGAGGATCTGTTCGTTTGTCTTGGGCTTGCCGGTGTCGAAGTCGCAACGTCGACTGATAGCGTCGGCTCGTCCATTTTCTGATCCCTTTCTGTGGATGATCACGTAGTCGAATTCTGAAAGATATTCGGCGTATCGTAGTTGTCGTCCGCTGAGTTCTTGCGTGGTTGCGAAGTGTGAGATGTTTTTGTGGTCCGTGTAGACCTTGATCTTGTGCTTGCTTCCTAGGAGGTAGTGTCGAAATTCCTTGAATGAGTTGACGATTGCGAGGAATTCTTTGTCGTAGATGGGGTAGTTGAGTTCAGCGCCGTGCATCTTGTAAGAAAAGAAAGCGATAGGGTGCAACAGTCCGTTGTCGTCCCTTTGGCCAATCTGAGCGCCTTGTGCGAAGTCCGATGAATCTGTCTCGAGTTCGATTTCTCGTTCAGGGTCAAAGGTTGCTAACACTGGCTCGCTCAAGATGATGTTCTTGATTGTGTTGAGTGCTTTTTCTGCGGCGGTGTCCCATCGAAAGTCTACTCCTTTCTTGGTGAGTTCTGTGAGTGGTATGGCGTGGCCACTGAAGTTCTTGATGAACCTTCGGTAGTAGTTGGCGAATCCCAGGAAGGATTGTACTTCCTTGACATTCGTTGGTCTCGGCCATTCACTGACTGCAGCGATTTTCTTTGGATCCATCCTGATCTCGTTGTGTGAGATGATGTGTCCGAGGAACTCCACTTCTGGGGCGTGGAAGTTGCTCTTCTCTGGTTCAACCAGTAGTTTTGCGTCTTGAAGTGCTTGCAATACCTTGTGGACGTGTTCCGTGTGTTCTTCTTCTGTGTCGGAGAAGATTAGGATGTCGTCCAGGTAGCATACAACAAATATGTCCAGATGCTCGCGTAGCACGTTGTTAATCATTCGTTGAAATGTGGCTGGTGCGTTCGTGAGTCCAAAGGGCATAACAAGATATTCGTAAAGTCCGAACTTGGTTCGAAAGGCGGTTTTCCATTCGTGTCCTTCCTTGATGCGGATGAGGTTGTACGCTCCCTTTAGATCCAACGCCGTAAACACCTTCTTACCATGGAGTCGGTCCTTGAGCTCCGTGATGAGAGGTAACGGGGTTCGATCTTTGAGCGTAATGTCGTTCAACCGTCGGTAGTCCACAACAAGTCGGAGTTTGCCGTTCTTTTTGGGAACAAACATGACTGGATATCCGGCCGATGACTTGGAGATCCTGATATATCCTTTCCGTAGCATGTCTTCGATGTATTCTTTTAGCGTGTCGAGTTGCATTTCGTTGAGGTTGAAGATTTTGTGAAACGTGGGTGTCGTTCCATCTTTCAGTACAATTTCGTGATCCCATTGACTGAATTCGGGTAGTCCTGTCTCGAGTTCTTCCGCGAAGAGTTTCTCGTAGATGCGGTACTGTGTTGGTACGTTCTTGAGTCGTTCTTCTTCGGGCATTTTCTTGTAGTCCTCGAGGTCTTTGTTCATCTGTGTGAACTGTCGTTGAAGGCGTCCGATCGTTCTTCGGAGTTGCATTTTCTTGCCTTTCTGGTGTTTGTGTCGTGTTCCCTTGGGGGGTGCTGAGGTGTCTGTCGTGTCCTCATGCTGATCCTCGCTCTCGCTGTCTTCGGGAGTCGGGATTGGAGATCTCTCGTCTTCTGAGTCGCTTTCGTCGTCGCCGGAGAGCACATCATCATAATCGATAAATGTCTGGCCAGTTCTCCAGTTGAACTGTGGGTTGTATTTCATCAGCCATGGGTACCCAAGAACAATGTCGTGATGCTTCATTGGTATGATGTCGAGGGTGACTCCTTGATTTCGTCCGTCAACGAACATCTTCAGGTGATCAACCTGTCGAGTTATCCATCGGTTGTCGTACTTGAAGTTGTCGCCTTCGAGATTGTGTACCGTGTAAGGTTTCGCTTTGTTCTTCCATGGTAGCTTCAGCCCATTGACCACTGACGGGTCTATGTACACGGCTTCGGCTCCGCTGTCCACCAATGCGGTGAGCCATACACCCTTGACTCGCACTTGCAGCTCAAGTGTCTTTCTTTGCTTTGCTGATTTCGTCGCGCGTAGAGCTTTTGTCGGAGGTGGTTCTTCCTCATGTGTGTCGCTCGCCTGTCGCTCTTCTACAGGTGGCGTGTGTCGTTTTTTGCGTAGCAGTTGTCCGCAGAATGTCCTACCTCGGAGCATTCGTCACAACCATTCCTGATCTGTCGGTACCAGGCTTGGTCTGTTTGGTTTAATCCGGTTCGAGTTGGAAAGTCGAATCCTTCGTCGTGCATTCGTCTGATGCGTGCGTTGATTTCTTGTGCCTCTATGCCGTGCTTGGGGCATCCGGGCTTGTCGCAGGTCATTGTGTTTCGTGCCGAGCAAGGTTGGGTGTTCCAAACGGTCTCTTCGTCGTTGCACTTGGGGGTCATCCCTCTGCGTTCCCAATCTTCCATTTTGCTCTTCCAGGCTCGGTCGAGACTGCTCGTTCCTCTGTGGTTCGAGAAGTCGTAGTTCCGGTGTATCAAAAACTTGATGCGTCGGAACTCGTCTCGATTTTCCCAGCTGTGTTCCTCGCAGTCTGGTTCATTGCATCGTAGTGCTTTCGTGGCAACGCACTTGGTGATGTCTTTGTTTTTGCGCTCGTGCCATTCCCTTATCTTCTGTTGTTCGTGTGCGCGGCATTCCTCGGTTTCGCAGTCGTCGATGGTGCTGGTCGGGTTGGTACATTCTGGTGGAAAGAGGTCCCCTCTATCCTCCAAGCATGCAACGCCGATTCCTGCGTACCATCGGGTAACACGGAAATACTCGAGTTCCTTCTTCAGGTATGGTTTTTGAATGGGTGTGTTGTTTGTTCGCACGGGGTAACAGTTCTGATAGATTTTGTCTTTCTCGTGTGTTTGGCACGTGTGGACGACGCATGATGCCCATGAGATTTCTTTGTGGTTGGGATGTGCCACTGCCATCCTTGGGTCATCGTCTTTTCGTTCCTTCGGAACCATGTGGTGTGGGTTTCGGCCTAGCTGCATGTCGTAGGCGCGAATGTAGACGGGTTTGTCCTCGGTAGGTTCTTGTCGTTCGTTCGCGAGGTCGTCATACATTTCCATTGGTTTTGTCCACATTCGATTTCCGAGGCTGTCGTGTGTCCAGTGTCTTCCGTGGCTGGGTCCAGTGTCTTGTTCGTCCTCCGTTTCCGGGTATTCGTCAGCGGGGGCGATGATGTCCTGGTCGGCCACAGGGAGTCCTAGTTTCCTGGCTAGGCGTACTTCTCGGCCGGGGTGTACCCACGGGGTACCTTCATCCCTGGTGTAGAAGCGCCGTCGGA